AGTATAGTATAGTATAGTATAGTATAGTATAGATATAAATATCAGTCACCCTGTGAGATAACAGTGGAAGCCGACTGTTAGACAAACAAATGGTAACCACCTCGAAAAGGCTGTAATAGACATGTTCAAATCTAAACATTCAAGAAATGTACTGCAAAAAATAGGGCGATAGCGTGTTTGCGGTGGGCATTATGCAGGCGTGCGGCACGACGGCGACACGATCACGGCACGGCAGCGTTACCCGCTACCGCATATAAAGCGACTCGTCCCAACAAACAATACCCAAGTCTATATTGGATCTAGGAAATGTTCAACAACCATACATGTGGTACAAAACAATAGATTAAACTACATAATATTTACTATCAAGTTTAAATTAGCAAGCAGAAACGTAATATTCTGTCGTCATCGTAAATCCCCCAACACACATTCAGTTTTAATTCAATTCAATTAGGCAAATCTGAGAACTGTACAGTGTAACTGATAGTTACAATTTTGACTACTAAACCAAAAACCTGCTACGAAACTTAAAATCTATACTATTATAATAAAGCGTATACACACAAATCTTTGTTGCCTAAGATGTCGCACTACAGCATATTTTTGAATAATTATTTTTTTAATAAAAAGCCCTACACTTACGACACGCTTTAGGCTTTATATTTTTACGCCATTAAACTTGGGGGTAAATATTTTGGATGAAAGCCCTAATATGGGAAAGAGACCATAAGCGGTTGCCAACATCATGGAAACAAAGTTGTCATGGTTTGCCATGTCATGTCATTGTGACATTTGCATTTGATTTTTTGACAAATGTGAACAATAAAATAGAATTTTCATAATTTCATGCGGATGAAGCCGCACGGGAACAGCTAGTATAAGCAATAAAATATTACTTCACTTCACATAAAATCGCATTTGTATATTGAAACTTTCGAAAATAAAGTTATCAAAGACTTACCATAGTAACATCACGTGATTATTCTGAAACAAAGATAAAAAAAGATTATATTACTGACTAGTTTTCGCCCGTGACTCCGTAAAAAGTGAGTAGCCTATGTGTTGTTTCAGACTATCCTCCACATCTACGCGAAATTTCATCGAGATCTTTTTTTCCGTTTAGGCTACAAACTCTAACAAACATCCCTCTAATTTTAGCATTTACAAGATTATTAAAAAATAAAATTATAAGGTGTTTCGGCAGTGGAATTGCATTTGTGCACTCCTAAGATGCATGCAAAGCGTTAGTGACAATAAAACATCGACCGTATAGGAAGTTATTAAGCAAGCAATCTCCATGTAAATAACTTGAGCGTGTCGTTAGGGGTCTATTAAAACGGTTATAGACGCTCGAACTTCGCACCTTCGAATACATTACAAATAGTTTAACTATTATTGCCACTACATTTAATAGCTTTGGTGTTTTAAACTTTAATGGAACATAAAAGTTACGATATAATAGAAAATAGAATTGCAACTCAGCGACTGGGTGGCCTAGCAATCATTATACTGGCAAGAGTTTTATTAAGAGTAAATTAAGGATCATAATAATTGTATTGTCAGGAATTCTTTTACAGTCATTTATAATGACGTTTTAATAACAAAAGAAAAATGTATCAACATAAAACAGCATTTTAACATAACTAAAAAATTACATATTTAATATACCAAATATTAAAGATGAAATGCAAGCTTTTGGTTATAATAGACGATACATTAATTAGAAATACTTCTACATTTTAAGAATTTATAGCAAAGCAATGAAACGATAAATAATGATTACGTAATAATTATCAATCGAGTTATAGATGAGAGTAACAGCGGTCATTGACCACTTATAAATACTATATAAAATAAAAGCTAATACTTTTTTTATTAGACTAAAGAAAAAATAACAAATGCTTGTAACGAAATTTGTACAACAAGAAAAATCATAGAAGTTCTGGCACATCTGGAAAACAATATATGTAGTCATGCAAAAAAGCTACCAAAAAATATACTTTCACATTCGGTTCGAAAAAAAACAAATTGCAATGTCATTCTGTACATGAATTATGATAGTGGAACCCCCGGTTATATACTTTTCGATTATAGATATATTTTTCTTGTCACCATTACTTTGATATTAATTCCCCTAACTGAATTCAGAAATATTTTCTTATTCATGAATTCAATAATTAAAATTATAAAGCTTAAAAACTTAGAGCGGGCCCACCTTTGACTAAACTATCCCACAATTATTGCGATTGTCGATTGTTTCGCAACCAATTCAACTGTTTAGTTGCACAACTAAAAATCGAGTAGTGTGCTAAATGAGCTAAGATGAAGGTGCATCTTAGCTCATAGAAATCAAAGCGCGACTACTTGTGCGATGGTTTAGTCAACTGAGCGCGCGCTCTTATAATAGTTATTCTAATAAAGCAAATAAATACAAAACACATTTCATTGTACAGCTAACGATAAAACCCGGTAGCACTAACGTTACTTTATTAGCGCGCAATGAATTCTTATTTATTTTATTTGAAACGCCGTTGGCGCACGATCCTCTCACGAGTCAATCTAATAAATAGCTCTGGTATTACTTGAGATATAGTAGTAATAAGATACCCAGTAGCGAAATATGCGCCGGTAGCCGACGATAATGGCAAGTTATTGGTACCAGAGGCGCGGATAAAGGAGTTGAAATAAAACTTAACTATTTCAATATATGTTTATTTTTTGTATATAAAACGAATGTAATTTTATGCGCATTTTCGAGTAGCTTCGATCTTATTTGGTATATCCAAAATTAGTTACAATAATCAGGTAATATTTAATATTAAAATACCAAAGTAAGTAAAATGTCTAAAAACATTTTTAAAACAAATTAAGAAACTACTTTTTAGCTTCTTATTATTGACTAGCTGTTGTTCGGTACTTCGCCCGTGTAAAATATAAAACAGCCTATGTTACTCAATAATAACGTAGCTTTTTAATGGTGAAAGTATTTTTCAAAAATGCCCAGTAGTTTTTGAGTTTATTCAATACATACAAAAATACAAATCTTTCCTCTTTATAATCTTATTATTGAAAACTAGGTAAAACGCAGTTCGACTGTGATAGTTTCGAATGTATTCCCTACACTCATGAAGTCCATCATCATACAAATTACCGCGACCCGCAAAACAAGACAGGGCTGTCCGGATATTAATTTAGAAACAGCCGTAGGGAGAGTCACGAGGTGATACCGTTTCCACCTACGGCTGTAATCTAGACAATTTGAGAAACGACTGAATGATCCCTACTATCTGGAACAACTGGAATGTACTAGGGCTCTTTGAAAAATGCCTTATGTAATTTTACTAAACTCAAAAATATAAATTCGAAAGTTTAGATGCATGGATGTTTGTTGAAGTACCACCTAATATGAAATTTGGCATAGATCTAAAGCACAGTCTTTTTAAACTAAGTTTATCTATCATACTAATATTATAAATGCGAAAGTTTAGACGGATGGATGGATGGATGTTAGAGTTTGTAGCCTAAACGGCTGAACGGATTTCGATGAAATTTAGTATAGATGTAGAGGACAGTCTGGAAGAACACATACTCACTTGTGTTTTTTTTAATTCCACGCGGACGGAGTCGCGGGCGAAAGCTAGTATAATATAAAAGAAAGTAGTGTTAGTTACACTATTTATAACTCAAGAACGGCTTAACCGATATGGATGAAAATTGTTGAGGAGGTAGCTTAGAGCCAGGAGACGGACATAGTATACTATTTATTCCGTTCGACTTTTGTTTTTTTAATCCCACGCGGACGATTATTAAATAAGTAAAAGATTTCGAACAGTCGTTCTAGACAATGAACAGATTTAGTTGTTAAATCAATATCAATCTCAATGATTCTTAAATATAAATAACATGCCTCGTTATTTACACGATTTTAATTAGAACTTGCGAATACATATTCAATGCGTCTGGCAATTTTACAAATAGAATATTCTTAGTATTGGATTAATGAATAATACATTATTATATATGTTCAGGCCGTCGACCGATATTTAAGGCCGTATAATTTTCCTTTCCTGTGTTTTTGGAATGAATAGAAGGATATCGCATAGATTTAAATAATTAACATGAAAATGTATATTGTCGAAGGTTTGTATGTTAATGTGGACATCGTTAAAATGCAACTTCTTACCGATTTTTTTGCTGTCGATTGCCGTTAGGGAAATAGTTTATGGTTGTTTTGAAAGATTTACGACGAGCATTTGTTTTTAAATGAATTGTTTACTGAATGCATAATTTGAATGTATTATTCATCTATTCTAATATAATAAAGCGTAAACACACTACTTCGTGGCGTAGGATGTCAGCAATCACAGTATATTTTACGATAATTCTTTATTTAATATATATTTTCACGCTATTAAACTTAGGAGGTAATATAATGGAAGAAAATCTTCATGTAGGAAAGAGACCGTAAACTACAAGCTGCCAACATTAAGGAAGGAAGATTATTATAGTAACGGTAATTTTGACATTCAAAATTGAGAATTTGACAGATGTAAACAATAAAATATAGTTTGTACAATTTCATGAATATGAAGCCGCACGGGAACAGCTAGTCAAAGATAAACGGTTTATATGAACATAGTCTCCGTATCGAAATTCAAATAAAATGTAACATAATTTTAGGTTACCTTTATATTTACATCGTCAGGAATACCATAAGTTTGTTTTGTCGTAATATACTGTCCTTCAATGGAGTAGAAATACTTTACAATAATAAAAAAATTAGACGTATTGAATTGTACAGTGAATCAAAGTAACACAAATATAATATAACGCTAGTATTGCCAGGAATCGTACGATCTAATTGTCAGGGTTGCCAAAAAAAGTGGTTATATAAATTGCCTTTTTATTTTGTAAAACACCATTGCGACTATTGACGTAAACAATCATACATCAAGATCTATATTAACATGTTTATTCAATAAGTAATACACAATTAAAAACAATATGTTGTGGGCACTGTGGGTTTTGGAGCCAGCGTGGTGGACTATGGCCTAGTCACCCCTTATTAGAGTAGGCTCCGTGCCCCTAAGTGAGGACGTATAGTGAGCTGGTGGTAGTGGATATTGCACCCTACATTTCGAGTTAATAACGAAAAATGACATCCTTACATTACAAATTGAAAAGGTAACTAAAGAACAGACACTTCATAGGCTTGAAAAACATTTTTTACCATCTTGCACGGGCGAAACTAACATATTCTCATTAAACTCTTCCGCTAACCCTGGTACGAAGAATGCGCCGTATTCCAGTACAAATTCGCTCGGAGCTAGCCACGTACTATAATTACGGTGTATCAGCGGCACTGGTTATTGAAAGGCCGGCCGTAGGGGCGGGGGACATTAAGGTCTGGCTTATAATTTGACGGACCAGCAAGCCGATGATGCCCTAACAACGGGTAATGACCGTCACCGAAACATCGTTATTATTAAGCGTACTTTGGGATGATTGTAAAAATGCGAAATATTAACTCACTTTTTTGTTAAAGGATAACTTATTACATATTTACTAAGTTATATATATTGCAACACTAGCTTTCGCCCGTGACTACGTCCACGAGGAATTACAAGACAAAAGTATGCCTAGTAAAAGCCTATATTGACTATCCTCTACATCAATACTAAATTTCATTGAAATCCGTTCAGTCGTTTAGGTTACAAACTCTAAGAAACATCCATCTATCGATCCGTCCATGCATCCATCTCAACTTTCGCATTTCTAACCTAAGTAACAGTTTTCTACAAGCACCGATAGTAGTAAAGTCATTACCAAGCAGAATACATTTGGATATTATTTACGTCATTTCATTAGCATTGCGTTGTAATCATCAAACTGCCAATAAAATTTTAACACAGTCGTATAATTTCGATTTGTACTAGTTGTTGTCACTATAAAGTGTCAATAATAATTTACTTATACCAATGTTTATGTTATGTGTAATAGAAGAGCGTACTTACATCTTTGACTACACTATCGCACAACTGTTTAGTCGCGTTTTGATTCCTATGTACTTATGTAGAGGTGTGCACACTACTCGATTTTTAGTTGTGCAACTAAACAGTTGAATTAAATCGAGAATCGCATTTAGTTAAAAGTGTGCGTATGCTACAACGCTGAGATAATACAACTTTCGTATTCGATAAGGATTAAATATACGTCATGTTATTTTCATAAAACATTAGAGAGTGAATTCGATACTTCAGACAGGTATAGTTGTTTGAACACGGTCTCGATTAGCGAAACGTATTTCTAACTGGCCACAATGGCCTATCCGTCGACAGCCTGACGGAGCGACATCGCGCCGCGTGTAGAGGCGGGGCACAGTTGACACAACGCCGTGGGAATCGAACCTACTAAATGTTAGTACATATTTTATTATTGGGTCATAGACTTAAATGCAAATGCATGCGGTTGATCAGAGGTTTAACCAATATTATAATCTACAGGTCCTGGGTTCGAATCCCGTCGTGGACTAATGTGATTTTCATATTCCATGAATACAATTTACCCGACGTTCTTACGGTGAAGGATAAATATGATGTAATCTGCACATATCGGCGAAGAAATTTAAATGTGTGAAATCAATACGCAGTGGTCAAGCCGTGTCGAATATGGCCTCGTCAGTTTTTACTAACGGTAGAGCAAAGGTAAATATCTACCAATCATTTAAGCGAAAGGGCATTTACACCATAGGATATTTCCTTTTGTTAATTTCACAATTGACTGGAATTTATCTGAAAGTAAAATAGGGTATGTTTTTTTTTAATTTGACGCGGACGAAGTCGCATGCAACAGCTAGTTTTATAATAAATCGATTCCAATTTATTATAATAAAATTTGAGCACATATTCTACAAGACAATAAATCAAGTGTGACATTGTATAGTGAATCTTGGTTGTCCGAACGTCGACCGACAAGCGGCGACTCGTGAGAACATCGCTAGAACAAGCAACATCGTCCTCACGACTCCACTTTCCTGGATTCCAAAACTTAAACTGCGAAACAACCGACTATAGTCTAGGAATATTATACAAAAAATATCAAACTATTTTTTTCACTGCATCGTACCAGTCCCAAATTTTTGGTCCCAATTTAATATAAATTTCTCTTCGATTAAATATAAAATTATAGTAACTAATACATTGAAGGAATTCTCAGCCCATTAAAGTATACTAACAATTAGGTATTTGTTATCAGGAGAAAACCATTTAAGCATATGCAATGTCCGCCGGCTGTCTCATTATTCTCAGGCATTGTGCTGTAGGCAAGTCTAGACCGGGGTGGACGGGACCTGAATGGATGGAAGATGGGCCCAAAGATACCTTAATTGACGAGGGCCTGTACCCGAAACCTTAGAGCTACATAAGCGCATTACCTTATCCAGTATCTTAAGTTAAAGCGAACCATTCACATTTTATTAATGAAATAATTTAAAAAATCCATATATTTTTTCGTTTATATCTTTTATATAGTAATTTAACTTACGTTAAACTAGCTTTCGCCCGCGACTCCGTCCACGTGAAATTAAAAATAAACAAAAGCAATTAGCCTATGTGTTCTCCCAGACTATCCTCTACATCTGTGCTAAATAACATCGAGAAGCCGTTTAGGCTACAAACTCTAACAAACATCCATCCATCCATCCATCCATCTATACTTTCACATTGATAATATTAGTTACATATAATATGCATAGGATAATCATACTTCATACTAATATTACAAATGTGAAAGTTTAGATGGATGGATGGATAGACGTTTATTAGAGTTTGTTGCCCAAACTGCTGAACGGATTTCAATAAAATTTGATTTAGATGTAGAGGATAGTCTGGAAGAACACATAGGCTACTTGATTTTGTTTTTTTTAATACCACGCGGACGGAATGGTGAAAGCTAGTTAGTAATTAATAACTACTATTGGACTTTTAACGTAACTTTTACAATTCCGATGTTCGTCTACTTAGCCCATAATTACGCTATTGGATAACTTCAATTAGCACAAACAAGTACAATGCCATAATTCTCAAACTTCTATAGATCATAAGACAATGTAAATCATGTAAGGTAACTACGTAATTTTCTATGATTGCGTACAGAAATAACACACCTAAGCAACAATCAGCTAAAGGATTACCACACAAAGTATCCAGTATTATTGTGGATAGAAATCGATACAAAGTATTAGAGGCTCATAAAGAGGCATAAAATTTTCTGCGCCTAAATAGGACCGTCTCCTTAAAGGAAGCGGGAACTGCAACTTAATGGGCTATGTATAGTTTAATTAAATCGTTTTGGACTATCTCGCGAGGCGTGCATCTAAGTAACGGGCCACACGGCATCGGGTGGATTGTTAGTGTTGCCTTCCTTATAAAATGCTTACGGTAATTACGTAAGGCAAGCCTTCCCTGTTATCGTCTTGATTGATTTCTATATAACAATGGGGGTCCGCGAAGTGTAGTGTCTATTGTTAGGATATATTAAATTTTCAGCTTGTTCAATTTAACGACCGGATAGAAATCGTTCGTATCAAGCTATCCAAAACCTAAAAAGTGAAAACAATATTACCTTCCTTTGATGCGAACAAATCTTACTAATATTATAAATGCGAAAGTTTAGATGGATGGATGGATGGATGTTAGAGTTTTAGCCTAAATGGCTATAGGAATGTTGATAAAATTTGACATACATGTAAAGGTTAGTATGGAAGAACACACAGACTACTTCCTTTTGTTTTTTTTTAATTCCTCGCCGTCGGGGTCGCGAACGAAAGCTAGTGTATTACATATTTTTTGACCAACTTCCCAAAAGAAGGTGTTACTCAATTCGTCTGTATGTTTTTTAGTATAAATATTCGTACTCAATATGAATGTTACAACGTTAAATTTACATATAAATAGTACACATTAAATTATTATCTTATCGATTAAGTTTCAATAATTTAATAACAATCACGTCAGAAACAAAGAAGAAATTAAATACACACATATTTATTTCGCACTCAACAACACGTCTAATTCATAACATTAGCAGCTATTGAAGCTCATGATTAGGAACAATTAGATGTGTACTATCACAACAATAATTGAAATGGTACACAAACAATCGTACAAAATCGTGCCATACTTTGTTAGATGTATTCATTACTTTTTATATATGTTAATTAACTAGGTTTTGCCCGCGACTCCGTCCGCATGAAATTTAAAAATAATAATAACGAAATAAAAGAATTGAAGCCTATGTCGCTCACAGAGTAATTACCTTTCTAACGGTGAAAGAATTATTAAAATAGGCCCAGTAGTTTTTGAGCCTATTCATTACAATCAACTAAACTTTTCCTCTTTATAATATTAGTATAAAAGTATAATTAGCTTACTTTATATTAAAACTGCAGGTATATTGTTCATCAGATCCCGTCCCGAACGTCTCCCTCTCCTGTCTCCCAATTTCGTGCAGAAGCCCAGTACAGTACCGGTGCCTTCCTTTAGAGATCCCGGGACATTCGTTCTCGAAGATGGCCACTGAGTGGGTTTTAGTAAGTCAAATTTCTCATAATCTTTTCCCCAAAAGGCTGAGTATCTTTTGAAAAAAAAATTGGACTCCGTTACATATTTACAAATACAGTCACACAATTATTTTATTCTTATTTGGTGATATTTGAAACACTTTTGGCATTGATTGTACGTACGTATGAATAAGAAATTATACCATAATTGTAGTAGGTATGCAAATGAACGTGAAATACAATTGTACACAAAAGTAATGACATATTTTGTCTTAACATAATTGTATGTACATTCAGTCTATTAGGCGATTTGTCGTCGACAGTGATTATGTCCGCGTAATTATTTCTAAGAATTACATTACGATTAAACAACGGTGATAAATATTATAACACATATTAAGGCCACGTGAGGCTTGTTCAAGTTAATAATTTTAATTAAATATAGTATACATGTTTACTTCTATAATTGACTATAATTAACTCATTGAATTAAATGAGATTTAAATTGATATTTATATATTAACCTTGAAAATTATAGATAGACCATATTTCATACTTAATATTATAAATGCAAAAATTTAGATGGATGGATGTTTGTTAGAGTTTGTAGCCTAAATGGCCGAACGCATCGATGAAATTAGATGTAGAGGATAGTCTGGAAGAACACATAGGCTACTTACTTCTGTTTTTTTAATACCACGCGAACGAAGTCGCTAGCGAAAGCTAATCGGATATAAAATTAATAACTATCTATTGAAACATTTTAGAACATTCACTTTCCTTTATTGTGAAACTGCTGAATGTGTTGCCATATGTGGTTGCTTAGAAATTATAGATTTTGGTTCATCGCAATTTAATCGAGCCTATGTTACCACTGTTAAGAAACTCAGTTTTGTGCTGGATGAGTAGCACAACACTTGATCATTGGCATATACGTCCCGTCCCTAACTGACATCTGTCAATGTTATGCAGACGTATCGGTTAAGCGCGCCATTTTGGTGGGAGTCAGTACTTTAAATTTTGGAGTTAATAACGTTAATTTAATTAAAATCATTGCTAATTAGGAATTATTATTTTTTTATAATTAATTAGATTATTTATTACTAGTTAAAAATTATTAGAAAGAGTCATTCAATTGATTATATTTAATATCATAAGTAGTTTATGTACTAGTAAAAGAATTTAGTTTATGGGTGAAGTTTTCGCCAAGAAACTGCTTTGGCAGTTTGGCAAAATTACATATTTTTGTTATAAATTTAAGCTACTTACAAGTGAATTTAAAAAAAAAAGTTCTAGGCCGCTCTACCAACCGCCACCTTCATCGCCATTGAAAATCAAATAAGCACAAAATACTACAACTTACTGCCCATATATGTAGAGGTCAGTGATACAGATGTATTATAAATAATTACATTTATTTCATCTATGGTCGATGAAAGCGGACAAACGTGGTTGTACGTTGCGCGAACGTCGTGGCGTCAACGTCGGTAGTTCCCAACGCAATTTACTATTAACACTAAAAGCTAAACTTTAAACGGCCATAAAATCGGACGCCATCAAGTTAACGTTTATCGCCCGGAGTCAGAAATCAGTTGGTGCATTAAACAGCTTCTTGCGGAACGATGTCGATTTAAAATTGCATTCTCCATTTTACTAGTCAAAAGCTAAAGGTAAAATACGAAGCTATGGGACTTTAGAGTGACCAACCAAGACACTGTCAAAGATTTTTAACAGTATCTTCAGAAAAAAAAATGTAAAAGATGTTTAAGGCTGTCAAAAACTAGATGAAAATATCTCACAAAAACCTTAAAATTTTAATTGGCTCTTTTATTTCATTCAGGCTCATATTAACAAAATAAAGGAGAGGAATAAATAAATAAATAAATTGTTTCTTAATTAAAATATACACAGATGATAAATAAAACAATGATGCATACCTGTTTCACTTCATCAACTCCCCTGCCTTATCCTACTCCCGTAGGTTCGGCGCTCCGGGTTTTCGTCCTCCAAAGCACTCTATCATCTGTCATCTCAGTCATCACTCTTCTTGATCATGTCACCTTTCACGCAATCCATCTATCTCTTTCTAGGTCTACCTCTACCGGTTTACCCCTCCACATTCATAACTAATGTCCGTTTTGTTACATGCCATTCCTACCTGTTTCACTTATTGAATAAGAAAAAAGGAGGTGGAAGAAATTACTTAAGTAAAAAGTTAATGAACAGTAAATAAAAAAGTATTAAAAGCTGAATTTAGTTATATCTTCAATGCCATACATTATCATTCCTTTTAATTTAAGAATAAAATTGCAATAATAATAAATTTGACATTTTTAACAAAAGGCCCCTAAGAACAATCGAAAATTTTAGAGTAAGGAATAAGATAGGAAATAAAAGAATAATTAATAAATAACATAGTAAAGATTTAAGTCACTTTGATGGTTTGAACATTTCCAAAAAACATATACAGCACATAGTTCAAATGAAAATTTGTATCCTTTAACCAAAGGACATAATTTTTTTATATTTATAAAACTAGCTTTCGCCCGCGACTCCATCCATGTAGAATTAAAAAAAAACAAAAGTGAGTAGCCTATGTGTTCTTCCAGACTATCCTCTACATCTATACCAAATTTTACCAAGATCCATTCAGTCATTTAGCCTACAAACTCTAACAATCATCCATCCATCTAAACTTTCGCAGTTATAATATTAGTGAGATTTATTTTCACAATTATTATTTTAGGTTTCTTTTTCTATCTACCTTTTCTAGAAAACTACATAAATAAGCACATATTAGTTTAAACTTAAACCTTAAGTTTGTCTTCAAGATTTGTTTTAAGAATAGAATATGCATGTAACATTCTATATAATAATGTAATATCTATGCTCTCATGAAGAAAAAAAATTGGAATGAAATCCTCGGAACTGAAGATTTACAGATACTTTAGTAAAGTAAGATTTAAGTCACCTTAAGAGTGTAGATGTTGAAAATGATCACATAAACAAGAAAGTATTAAGATTGAATGGGATAACTACAAAGGTATATGAAGATTGCAGAAAGTGGATGGATTGTGTGAAAGTCGATTCAGATATAATGGCTGATAGAGATGTATAGAAGAGCAGCACATACTGAGGCGACCCTCTGTAGCGTCAAGGGTAAGTTGTTGACGTTGTTCGGTTTTGTAAAAAAAAATTAAAACATTGATAATAAAATCAGAATGATTATACCTATGTATGTTTGATCAATCACCATAGCTTCTTATTCTTTAACAACTTAAAACTAAATATTACATAATTTATAATATATAATTCATAACACAAAGCCAGCGATAAAACTTTTAGGTTTGAAATCAAAAATCATATCTACTAACCGATTTTTTTCTTAGTTTTGACTGGTGATATCTCTGTTGCCTTAAATCGAGTTTTAATTTTTCACAGAAAAGAAGGAAAATAATAAACGAAAACACAAAACAAAACTTAGAATAACAAAACAAATTACGCTTAATGTCACTGTCGCAGTCAATGTCAATCAACTGACAGCTATCATTGTCAAATCATTCGGCACACAGATTAACAAAAGCGTAAAAGATGAAAAAAAAAATTTGGACGAAATCCTTATTACGCCCAATACTTATAGTTTGTCTAAATATGAATGATTAGTTTGATAATTAATCTAGTATATTTGAGTTGCATACTAGGGTATAAATAGTTTCGGATTTTTTAAGTTATCTTACCCGTCGGGCATAAATGAAACTAAATGCCTCCTGAAACACAGTTATTACTATCTCAGGAGACAGAGTCCCACTAACTGTACTAAACTGTTTTAGATCAATAAATTTATTTAATTTTTTAAATCATGGGAGCCCACTAGCACCCTTCTATTTTGCCATTTTCAATCTCCATACCTTTTTCATATTTACCGAACCAACAGATAGCATTACGTCTCTCACCAGGCCAGATATCCTTGTTTGACTATACTGAAAAATTTAAAATTTAGAATGATTACATTGTGAACTAACGTAAAGATAATTATAAAATTGAAACGAAAACGAAACAATAGATGCCCTAGAGCTCAAAACTGCATCAAGATAATGGTCGATTTTAAATTATCAATATCTCCTGCAGATATCAAAGAAACAAAATTTTAGGTAAAATAAATGGATTTTAAAAGGTTCTTTTTTAATTTACATTTTTGTCAAACAAACTCAGGTATGAAAATAATCTTAGTTTTATTATTTAATATTAATATTTTAAATTGTTGCTGCATAATTAGAAGTGGTTAAGGTATCAGTGCTAACTGCATACCTAATATTCAAAATAAAAATAAAAAACAGTTTACTATGAAAAAATTTTCAAACACTATCTGTTCTCCAGACTTGAAAATTTTCCTTTGTTTGTGGAATTTTCTTTGTTTGTATAATTTTGTTAATGACCATGACTCCTTACAATAACGTAGTATTATTCACAATTTTTCCAAAGACTATTAAAATTCGCGTTGTTAATACAAAACAGATTTCAAGTATTATTGAATATTGGATACTAAAGTAATGCATTGCAAACATCCATTAGGCGTTTAAACGTGAAGGCATAAATAAACAGGTTCATGATTTACCATCGCAACCATACTATACTAAACACTTCTCGAAACTACGAAAGTATAAATAGCTAAAATCAAATAGGAAATATGTAGGCACCTAGGTCATTAAACGTGACTAATATAACCTATCACGTATTTTATTCAATGTAGGGTAAACGGAAAAATGTAACATTGCTATGGGAACTACTTTAAAGACCGGAGATTTGGTGTTTTGGTAGCTGGCCTCCCCTTCTAGATCAAGCCTAGTTCACTGTCTGACAATTTAATAGTTCATTAGGTCCTTTGTAACCAAGTCAAAAGAGCAAACAAGCAAACAAAGCATCTTATGTCGTGTTCTACTCCCGTATGTAAACCTTGTGAAAGTATTGCTTGTGCTAAATTTTGAAGGTCATCATTTCATCTGTCATTTATTACAAGTTTTACTAGTGTCATTAAATCCTGAATTCAGTCATAATGTAATTGACAACACTTTAGGATCGGTTTTCACTCTGTGTGAAGCTTTTGTTGATTTTGATCAAACAAATTGAAAAAAATTTTCGTTATCCGGCCGCTTAAGAGTTAATAAGTGCTTAAAAGAATAAATAGTTATTATCGGGTCGTTGATCGTAACATTTCCTTTATAAATTGATTTTAGTATAGTGTAGTGCAGCACAGAAATAGCCTCCCGGGTGTCGCTGCGACGCCAGTAGACTCGCCACCGCCGCTCCCGGCTCCCGGCGCGCTCTAACTTTCCTGTGATTTATAAAGTGTTTTAACATAAATCCATTGATCTGTCGCCAGTGATATAACCTCTAGAGCGATAACAACAATAAAGTGTAAAAAAATATGACAACCACAATGTGATTGGAACAAATCCAAAGTGACTGTGAACCTTACGTGTGTGTTTTAAGGGTGGTTTCCCTTTACGATTTGAGAACAATCGAGGAATGATTGTTTTAAAATAGTCGGTAATTTACGCACATCTGCTTTCATCTCACACAACCATCAGGATCTTTACAAGAAATGTATCAAGTTGTCCGTAATTTGATTAGGATTGTTAAAATTATTACAAAGTTTACGTTTCAATTAATTTGCAATTAGGATTCCATATAATTGTCGTAACAAGGAATAATCGACATGAATTTGTTTCATTGTAATACTGTTTAATATTTGTTCATATTACTATGAAGTAGAGAAATTAGGTCGAGTTCTTAGTACCCAAATAGGGTGGACAGGACAATGTATCACTTGAACGAGTTTTGCATCTTTTATTACAGACTAGTCTACTTAAAAATTAGACCTCAAATGTGTTATGTTATGTATTAATGAAACAGCAGGCATTTATAACGAAAAGTTGTGATTTTAAGACTGAATTTTAAATCAGCGATAGATAACGAGACAATCGAAGACTGATTACGGAAAGCGTTAATTAAACAAATGTGCCTAGTTTAAAAAAATCTTTGTAAAGTCTGGTTTGTTGGGAATGATAAGGAAATGAAATAAATGGATCATTTTACTAATTCACTAACATTATAAATGCGAAAGTGTAGATGAATGGATGAATTTGTTAGAGTTTGTAACCTAAATGGCTGAAGGGATCTCGATAAAAGGTAGAAGATAGTCTAAAAGAACACATATGTAGGTTACTTGCTTTTGTTTCTTTTTAATTCCGCGCAACGGATTCGCGGGTGAAAGCTAGTGAGATAGTAATTAAAAGACCAAAAAAAAAATAATCTCTGCTTTCATCTATTTTTATTACTTATTTATTACCAAACTTTAAACAAAACAAACTACACAAATTCATTGAATTTGTTACGTTATATATTTAAGTAAGATTCTATAAACGATAATACTAGTTTAACAATGATACATACAAACGATTTTAGTTAAATTTATGTCTGTTTTCTTAACTCGTCCGAAGATAGTGCCAGTAATTGAAAACATTTTGTGCGGTATTTTAGTTAAGCGATTATTAAGAATAGTGTTTTATAAAATTACCTCTAAAAATGTAAATGCCAATTTAATTAGATCATATTTTAAAGAAAATATAGTAAACGGTAAGCGTTAGGAACTTTACAAAAGGAAGAAAGAAACTCGAACATTTTCAAAACATACCCTTACCTATCTACTCTTTGAACTTACTACGCCAAAGACAATCTTGGCAGATTGACAGTTTCGAACTTCACGGAATTGGCAGAAAGATAAAAGAGATTTATTATTACAATACATCAAATATGTGCCTATATTTGTCCTAACACACGCAAAATTATTTGTTATTATCAATTAGTACTTGCATAAAGTACCATCATCGTTAGTTCTATACGTCTTTACCGATTGTCTCTGAACCTATCCTTAGTTAGGGGTTTGAAATTGGAACCCACTAAGACTGGACATCCTATAGATGAAATAATTGACTAATCTAAATATGACTTAACCCTTAAATGCACGATTTTTTTCTTTTAAATACTATAAATTGAAACGGATAGTGAATTGAACATAGATTAAGGAAAAACAATTTTTTTTTAAATAGTCTATTGCGTATAGAAGAAAAGATTGATGTATAAATGCAACATCATGCATTTAAGGGTTAAGACATTTAATCTGATTATATGATGCGTTGATATCCAGTTTTAAGTATGTACTTTTTATTACTATGTAAAAAGTACTTTAATAAGCAAACAAGCAAGCGGCCACCCGAATTCGCCAAAACCACGAAGCGACCACTGCCCATAGACATCCACAAGTGCAGGATAGTTGCCTAGACATAATCTATGGAGGAGGAGACGCACAAAAAGAGGATATTTCTCCATCCTCTGCCTTTACAGTCAAATCACTTCCTACTTACGAAATTATAAGATTGCAGATCCTCCTTACCGAAATATTAATATTAGCGACTACATTTAGATATAAAGTGAATTGTAGCGCAATTAAATTATCTATAGTGCAGGTGCACATTCCAATGTCACATCAACGAGACATCCTTGAGTATTTAATGATGTAACTATTCCACTAAAATTATGCCATTTATTTTTTAGATTTTCCAAAACGAATAAAATCATTCGCTTTTGATATATTCACATATCTAAAACATAATTGACATATTAATATTAAACATCATAGACAAAAACATATGTATTAAAGTTTTTACGATTATCAATGTAAGGTATTAAAACTTTTATAGCTTTACATGTGATTGAGAGTTATATCAATAACTAATGACGTAAAAGACCTAGTTATATATTTCATTCGTTTTATTGAAATAGGAAATCATAATTCACTTTCGCGTTAGATATGAAACTACTATTTTTACATGTTAAACTTCCGGACTTATCGTCTTACGTTCCGAACGAATCCCATTTGGCACGTTCCGTTTCATTTATGTGATTATTGCTTACAATGTTCTTACAATGCAATCTGCATTTTATTGATAGAGTTTATCAATTTTTCTCTATATAGCCATCATTACAAAGAAATATTATTCGTAATAGGCAAACTAAATATAAAACATTTGAAATATTACATTAACCATTAGTATTGTGCGAAAGAGATATAAGTCAAAAATGGGAAATTAAAATATGACGGCAAATAGAGATATTGATAATTTGAGTTGTAAAATAAAAAGTAACATAGTTACTACGCTGAATAACAAGGTATTATTTACATTAAATAGCTATGACAAAATTACTAAATATTTACGAGGTTAACATAAAATAAGTAAATTAATTACTCTGATTCATCCAAAGCAAATACACAAGCCATTATTATCGATAAGTGACGTCATCATATAGCGTCAGAGCTGTAGTCGGGATCTGAAGTAGACATCAGACCTGGCAAAAGGCCAATATCATTCACTATGATTTCAATTGAAATGAGGACAGGGAGTTTTTCATTTAAGCTACGAAAAAAAATATAAACAGTGACAAAAATTATTATTAAGATCAAAATTATAGAGATCTTTTTATGCAGGTTTTACACCGTCTTATCAGTTTTCAACAGTTTGTTAGCCTTGACCGCATGTTCCATAATTGAAACTTAAGATCCATACGATTGCAATTACATTAACTAATTCAATTTCTATAGTTATTTTGTATTCAGTTCCAGAAATCTTTGATCCTCCTTACCTTATTTTTTTTTCTTTTTAGCCGTAACTGATGACTAAGAATCAAGGTTTTAGATGCAATGATGAATAACGGCACGAGGCGTGCCTTAACAGGCTCAATACACAAGATAAGAGAATTTGAATTGGAAAAAGTAAGTATTGTAGATCAGTTTGAAATATAAACGAAACGTACTGCAATAAAATCAAGTTCCGTTTTAGGTATGTTTAGTCGAAGAATTCGATATACTACAAATTGTCGGCGAAGGCTGGTTCGGGAAAATACTTCTAGTTGAACATAGAGCTTCTGATACTGAAATAGTTCTGAAAGCTTTACCAAAGCCTTACGTGTCTATCAGAGATTTCTACAGAGAATTCCATTATGGTCTCCATTTGAGCGCACACAAAAACATTGTCACCACATTCGACGTAGCCTTCGAGACCGCCGGCTTTTACGTTTTCTGTCAGGAATACGCACCTCTAGGTAAGATTTAGCGAGCACTTTGAAACGATTTGTTCGCTACTCAAAACATCATTTGGCTGAAGCATTACATTACAATGTAAGCACCCACGGCTCCAACGAGACAAATTCAAAACTAAACTGTTTCTTGCAATCCTTACGTGTTGGAACGTATCCAAAACACCTATTTGAATGAACATTAGAGCTAGACCGTTTGCAATGTCCGACCTCATTCTCATCGAATTTTATTTCCCTCTCGGAATTTTTTATTTCGTTAACAATGGTTTAAAAAAACAATACTGTGGCAAACGGTTTTATACAGCCAATAAAGATAATTTAAGTGTAATGTTTCAACGTTGTTGTTCATGTTGAATAATATGAAAAAATTGTTTCAGGGGACTTAACATCCAATATGCTTGATACTGGAATAGGCGAAATTCACACAAAAAGAGTAGCGAAACAATTAGCAGCTGCACTTGAACATTTACACCAAAGGGATCTTGTACACAGAGATGTGAAACTAGACAACATTCTTATATTCAAATCGGATTTTTCACGTATAAAGCTATGCGACTTTGGTGAAACGAGAAAAGTTCAAGCTGTTGTAAGAAGAAGAAATGAATGGCTGCCATATTCCCCGCCCGAAGTATTAAGACTATCAATGGATAGCAGCTACAAGTAATAAATATTTAATCTTATAAGTAAATACTTTATTGGCATCTATTGCCTATTGTTCTTCACACTCCTATGGTCTGAATGCATTATCCAAATAAACAGTGCATTGCATACATGTTGCGTCAAACGGCAGCAAATATTTTGAGATATAATCTAAATAATAGGTGATGTAATTCATTGTTGATTGTAATTTTCTTGTTTGTTTCAGAGCACTAGTTAGTCATGATATTTGGCAGTTCGGTATAGTTATCTTTATTTGTCTCACAGGATGCTTGCCTTGGCAGAAAGCAGCATTCGATGATCCTAGATATGTAAGGTAAGATAAAATATTTACACCTTTAACAAAAACAAAACAGTGCGTGTTTTAATTCTATTGACGAGTCTATGAGTCTCGGTGTGATTATCGTCGACGTTATACATATCTTGCAAGAATATTTTATATCTCTTCTTCTAGTTTATTTCTATTCAAAGCCTAATGCAACAAAGTGGATGATATAAAATCAATACTGACAAGTTTTAAATTGTTTGTACAGTTATTTGAATTGGTACAGCAGTGCAAATCCTCTTAAGAAGCAGCCGAAGCTATGGAAAATGGTTTCATCAAGGGCGCAAAAAATGTTTAAAAAGTTTATTGAACCAAAGGAAGAGAAAAGAGCTACAAATTTCGTGGAACTATCAAGGTACTTGGATGACCGATGGATGGCTAAAGGATACACGGACAGAGTGGGTAAGTTACACATGTTCTCAAAAATGTTGACTGTATTCTTTTGTAGTTAATGAAAAAAAGAAATCATATCGTAATAAATACTCAAATGTCGATTAAAAGCAAAAAACATATGGATAACAATCAAATTAAGAGTCTATAAAGAGCATGAAGGTTCACCAATGACTCTTAAATTTCAGCTGGCGGTGACATCGATGAGCTATGTCCCTCCATGTACAGTTACCACAGTGATCCAAACGAAAAGAATATACTCTTGAGGCACTTCAGGGACAATGGCGTCGAAGTTATTGTTGACAGACAAGCGAAGAAACAGAGAATTCGTGAATGGATCCAAAACAGCGTAATCGAGGAAGCAGACGAAGAGGTAACACAAATAATTTTTATTGACTGTGTCTTTTTATTATGTACTTAAACATTTTAAATGTCTTATCGATTGTTTTGTTTTATAGGAAGAAAGCAATTATGAACCTAGTGTTATGGATGAAAGCGACGGAGAGCTTGAAGACAGATCACGACCACATCCAATCGACGAAAGCCATAGAGTAACTCTCCGCTTTGACACCGAGAAGCATATCAATCCAAGAACTGGGGAAGTCATTGAAGGTGTCAAACACACTGAGAAAAATCCTCTATCGTATGATGTACAAAACATAGAACCTGTAGCGCCAAGTAATGTCGCCAGGCGATATGGGATAAAAGAAGACGCCTCACTACATAGCTCTACCAAGGATAGTGCATACGGGTCTCTAGACGTTCCTTCGCAACAGAAAAGTACTTCAAACAGACCAGATACCAAACAAGTATCTATAGAAAGAGCAAGCGACGTCTCCCCGAGTAGATCATTGGCCGGATCATCGATTCATCAAACCGTAACTCCCTTATCTTCACATGTTCAAAGATTTCAAAGAACTGAAGAGGTATTTACTAAAGAGCTAGAAAATCAAAGAGGAAGTACTTCGACTCTTCATTCTATGGGCAATTCGTCCAGATCTAACAGTTTACGTGTTACCAGAAATAGCTCTTTAGACAGTGCGTCAAATGTTACTAATGATAATAATAATTCGCCTTTAGAAAATGATGTTTCTGGTGCATCATCAAGACCGAATAATCCGGTTATAACGCAAAACGGTTTTAGTCCGGGTACTAAACAGACTTCAGCTATCACACAGCCATACGTTTCAATGAAGAATACGGTATACGAAACTGTCGCTACTCGTACGGACCTTAATCAAAGCAAAGATGAGAACAATATGAAAAATTCTCCAGACAGTCCATACACGTCAATGATGAATATCGTTCAAGGTCAAATTAAAATTAGTCCGCTCGCAAACGAAACTGACAAAAATATAGTAAATGTGTCTGTAACATCTGTTAACCGTAAGAAAGTGCAGTAAATTATTGTCTTTGCTCAATTTGGGTACAACTTCAACAATTCACTCTCCTAACCCTGAAGGGTAGGCAGAGATTAGAGTTTTCATTTGGCCTTTTCCTGACACACCTTGAGTTGTGATTCCAAAATACGCAGCTAAGTTGACATCATTTTTACACAGATATTTGCCGTGAATATAACTTTGATGATTATTAATTTTTGTATTGATGTCAATAATAGGGGTGTACACATGAAAAAACAATTTAATGATTAATATGTATAATCACTGACTCATATTTTTTTTTTAAATGGTGATGGTACAAAAACTGATCAGTTTGTCTTCCATTTAATAAAAAGGAAAAAATTTCTAAATTCAATACATACATTTTAATTTTCATTTCTTTAACATCATTTTAGACTATAATCAATATTTTTTCATAGACCATATATTATTAAGTGTTATTTATTTATTCATTACAAATAATTTACTTTTGTATTCCAAATATTTCTATTTACATTAGTCAAATGTAAATAACTTTATTGTGTAGGTATTAAGTAGATAGTTACTTTAAATAAATTTATCTTTATTTGTGTATTTCTATTTCTGTGTTATACCATATTTTATGCTTAATTTTTGTTATATGTTTTTATTATATCTACTGTCCCTAAACAGCCTACTAATAGTCTGTAATTCACAAATGACTATTTATAAAAATTTTAAGTGTTTATTTTTAAATGGATTATTTATTAAAAAATTTTATTTAAGAAATTATTTAAGAAAATCTCATATCCATTAAGATATGAGATTTTCTGATCACAATTTGATCACTTTTTAATGTCAAAAAAAGTTGAAGGATAATGGTTTAATTTCAAAGGTTCTGGGTGAATATTGTTTAAAAAGGTTTAAATTTCAATTAAAATCTCCCATTTTTTGTACCAACTAGTGTGGCTTGGTGGTTTTAATATTCATATGGATATTTTTATCTACTTACAACAAAATTGTATGATGAAGTTTACTCCAAATGTAGTAAATATATTGATGTTTAATTTTTACTCTGTAGGTAGTTCCTAATTTCTTGTAATCTCCAGTCTACACTATACCAGCTACAGAACGCCACTGCGCGTATCAATTTCTTCTTTTATTTTAATAGTTCATATGGCAATAAATAAAAAACTTACATCATGTGATTTTTTATTCTTTCCCTCGTTGAACATCAGCAAGATCTTAGACTACGCTACTATTACAAATTCGTTAAATAACAACATTGCCTGATGATTACAGATACATAAATAACCAATGTGGAGATTTGATCAGGAAATGTAATTAAAACGACTAGAAAACTCCGTTGCAAATTCTTGACGGATATTTTTTGTGTAAGAAAAATGACAGACTCATGTGCAGTATACACTTGGCCAGTACAGTTCATCAGTAACTTTCTAACCAAACTGTCAATTAACTGGCAGAGTGTGAAAAGCCAATAGATGTTAGCCAATGAGAGTCGCTTGCTGTCACAACCACAACTGTCTAACTGTACTGGCCAAGTGTTAACCATCCATAATGTGTAGTCATATTCCAAAGAGGAAGTCATTTTCCGGCGAATCATTGCAATGTGAAAATTGTTTGAGGCGCCCCCAATCTGAACTTTATTTTTTCTGGTTAATTGATGAGATTTAAAAAATGATCACCGTGATTAATCAAATTAATACTACATTTCGATGACATATTTTTATCTAAGATTAGACAGCACATCAATTCCATATTCCACTGTGGCAACACAATTACATTAATTTAAAATCGTAATGTAATGTCAATGTCATAGTACATCAAAATTGAAAATACCTCCGCGCGTACCGTATATTATTTGCGGTTAACAAATGGATAATTGTAATGAGCTTTGTGTGCAATAAATTCAAAAATTTTTACAATCCCGATAGTAAATACAAAGTCAAGGATTATGTAGATCATTGTTTATGTATCTGTTCATTACAAAAAGATGTTCTATAACCTTTAATAGTAATTTTATTGGTTATCATTGTTTGTTCGTTAGAATATCATTTCAAAATGCAAAAGTTACAAGACAGTGTTTTTTCAATTATTAAGACGACCAATCTGTCTCCTGCTGTGTTTAGTTTTTTGCAGCCAACGGAAGATTTTACGGGTGAGATAGTACAAAGTAAATATTACAGTAAATATTGTTGTGAATTGATGATATTAATTTTTTAATATATTTATAGATATCACCCCTTTTGGTGGGATTTTAAGAGATACGAAACTTGGCTGGCTTGCACTTGGACCTAAGTTTTGCGTTGTTGATCTTAGAAGCGGATTAAAAGTCGCAGCGCGAACTTTCGGCGCTGGAGTGAGGTAAGGCGGCACTTGCGTCATCGATGCATCTATGCTACGTATTAAGTAAACACAACATAAATACAATTTACATCTGAAGGAACAGTATTTAACGTTTACAATATTAAAAAGAAATAAAAAAAAACAATAACACATTATTTGTAACCAATTTAGTTGTAATGGTGAACTTTGAAGCCTAAAATGTCCTTCTGAATATGTGAAAAATTACCTATAGATATAAAACTAGAAGTAAACTGTACTACATATTACTCTCAGTTCTTTTAAACACAACTCCAATTGTATATTTACCTAAATATATGTATAAAATTTATGTATTTTCAGTAACAGCCGTATCTCAGTGTCAAATGTAATAGAGCTCCCAACACCATTGACAGAGAACTCTCATCAACTAGTTATCAGTTTGGACTATGATAATGGAATGGGCATGATATGTGTTCTGCATGTGAATGGATCACAGTTACTCCATTCCATACACACTGATGTGGTGGTCACAAAACTTGCAATTTGTGATGCAACACCTGATGGACCATTTGCAGCATTTGATAATATTGTGGCAGCAGGAACCAAGAGAGGAGAGATCTTAATATTTGACTTAAACAGAGCTTCTTTGATTAAAGGTATTAGTTAATGTTTTAAAAATCTATGCTAACATTGTAAAGAGAAAAAAATTGTATGTAATGAATAAAGTTGTAAACTGGGCTGCTTCAAAAAATTTTTACACTTTAGAAAGCTACATTATCACTTACTAGCTTTCGCCCGCGAGTCCATCCACGTGCAATTAAAAAAAAACAAAAGTGAGTAGCCTATGTGTTCTTCCAGACTATCCTCTAAATCTATACCAAATTTTATTTAAATCCATTCAGCCGTTTAGGCTACAAACTCGTAACAAACATCTATCCATCCATCCATCTAAACTTTCACATTTATAATATTAGTATGATTAGTATGATTAACATATGCTTTATTACTACTTTTTTAATTCATACAACTAAAGTCACAGCATTATGTAGTATATATATATATATATATAATATATATATTAAAATATTTTAATGAGACCAACCTTTATCATATGCAGTTCTAATTAAGCCTTGTAACAGAAGCAGATTTTTTAAAACTCCTAAAATGTAAATAGACATATGTTTTCAGCATTAAAAGACATTTCCCAAGGATATGAGCATTTAGTACTGAACGAAGAGAATGCAGCAAACATTAAGTTTTTACCATTAAAAGATTTACATAAACTTGAGGAACAAAGGGACTTGGCATTAGAAAACAAAGATCATTTGGGGTTTATATTAAATGAAGATTCAACATTTGATGGACAATATATCTTCCATAACCCAGATGGTAGTGTACGAATGAAGGCTAAAAGAGACCATATAAGAGTTACAAGTCTGCAGTATATCCCGGAAATAGCAAGTTTAGCGGTTGGCTTCAACTTTGGAGCCTTTCAGTTATGGAATCTTTTAACTTTGGATTTAGAATTCACATCTCAAGTTAATGTTGAATGTTTGCCTGTTACTCATTTTGGATTTCAGGTGGGTTTATTGTATAATTAGAAGTTTAATCTCTATATTGATGAAATATATTGGAAATCTTTTATTTGTGTAAATAAGGCATTTGAAATAATCCAATGGCAGGATTTTTGTATTCTTGGTTAGGTTGAGTGTTAAATCTATGCTTGAAAAATTTTAAGTGTCATGAGGTGGCAACGCCACAACACATGCTGGTTATCCAAAAGAGTAGACAGACACAATGGATTTTCACTAAATTTTTTATCTGTACATGTTTAAACTTTCTGCAAAATGTCATTGAATTTTTTTTTTCTTAATAATAATATGACATGATTTAAAAGGGTTTTTTTGTCTGTAAAAACTTAGATGTGCAGCTAATCGCTTTTATTGTTTTTTTTTTATTTAACTGTATTTTTTTATTATTTTCAGGAGCCATGTGATGATCCGAAAGCATTCTGTTACCTCTGGGTTGTTTTCTCAGTGATAGATAGATTTGAAGAGGAGGAGTTTCCACTGGCTGTGTTGTATTCATTGTCATATCAAGGAAAAAGGATATTGTCAGAATCAAAATACTTGTATCAAGTAAGTTAATATGTAATGAATATTTTAAACAGATTTAAAAATATGTTTTGACTAGCTGTTCCCATGCGACTTTTCTTTATTGTATATGTATTATCTGTATTGTCAAATAAATGTATATTGTAATGTCAAAATGACATGACATGAAAAACCTTAGCAATCATGCTTTCTTGATGTTGGCAACAACTTATGGTCTCTTTTCCACGTTAGGTTTTTTGTCCAAAATATTTACCCCCTAAGTTTAATGGCGTGATAATATATAGCCTAGAGCGTGACGTAAGTATAGGGCTTTCCATATGTATAATGAAATAAGAATTATTCAAAAATATGCTGTAATTGGTGTGTTTGTGCTTTAAAGTGCTGTAAAGTGTGTGTTTATGCTTTATTATAATAGTATATAAAAGTAATTGAAACATTAACAAAATTAGACAGAAAAAAAATCAACCAAAAAGTATTTAATCTTTGTAAAATAATAATCAAGATTATTTAGAAAGGTTTGGTATAATCTTATTCTTATTGAAATTTACTGTATATATGACTTGTTTTTATAGGATTTCTCATCAGCCACAATAAGATTCCAAATAGAACTGAATGGTTCCGAGCAGTCCAACAGTCTGATAGGTGGGCGATGTATATCATGCCATACTTATTCCATCAGCTCACCTCTTGGAGAAGAAGGTGAAGACAGTAAGTAAATTCCCAAATTAAGAATAAAATTTGTCAACAAATTATTTTTTAACCTTTTCAATTCTCAATTCTTGACTTTTATTTTTACTTGATGTTCTCTATAAAATATATTATGTATGGATTATTTTTGTAGCCAATGACAGTATTCATTTTATAGGGTGATTTGTAATAATATGAATGGTATATTCTTTTTCTCTCCGTTTCTCCTTGTCCCTCCGCTACTGAGGGAATCCCGTCTGGCTGTAATTATTTATGTTCAATCAGTATGTAATTATTCTTTTTGGATATAAATATCTATTTAGTATATCTTGTATTAAATAGTATTTTTATAGACTATACTCTACATCTGTGCCAAATTCCAACGAGATCCATTCAGCTGTTTAGGCGACAAAATAACAAACATCCATCCATCTAAACCTTTGCATTTATAATATCAGTAAGACAGTATGAAAGGGTGTTTATTTTATTTTTATAAAAACTAGCTAGATCTGGACAAAATAATGTAATTGCAGGTATGCTCAACATCAGCCAGCTGGTGTGGGAGTGCTGGGGGGAGGTGGGCGAGGGGGGTGAAGTGGAGCATTCTGCACACTACGGCATGATGCTGTTTGACTTGGACCAGTGGTACAAGGATCAAATGCCTGGTAACTTTTATTATACACTTATTTCATATTACTAGTTGCTAGCGATTATGTGCACTTGAAATTAAAAAATATAATCTATGTTAGTGATAACATAGCTTTTTATTAAGGAAGGTATTTTTTAAATTGACTCAGTAGTTTTTGAGTTATTTCAATACATACAAAAATCCCAAAATTCCAAATCTGTCTTCTTTATAATTTTAGTATTGAAGTATGGATATAGATTGGTATATTAGTATATAGTATAGATAAATATAGATGAAGATTTTTTTATATTTCATTAAACATAATTAGCTTCAGCGATATTTATTTGAAACATAGTATAGTAATATTTATGTAAATTTTAATTTGTCGCCTATTTTTCGCTATGCAAACTGACGTATATGTCAGTTTATAACCTTCGATCTTATTTTGAGATATGTTTCTTTACATTGTTATCTTACGATTTCATTAAGAGATAATCTTACTAATATGTTATCACCAATGTGAAAGTTTAGATGGATGGGTGTTTGTTAGAGCTTGTAGTTCAAACCGCTGAACGGATCTCGGCAAAATTTGGTGGAGATGTGGAGAAAAATCTTGGAAGTATTCTTAAAAATAGAGTGACCTATGTATACATAGGTTACTCTATTTTTAAGAATAATATTTTTTTTTAATTCATGCGGATGGAGTCGTGGGCGAATGCTAGTTAACTGATAAAATTACTATGTATAGCTACCTACCCTTTGGAGAGCAGCGCGTTCATGAGCGTGTTGCGTCCGGCGGGCGGGGCGGGGGCGGGGGCGGGGGCGGCGGCGCTGGACGCCCGCCTCGTGCCCGCCTCGCTCGCGCCCTACTCGCACGCCACCCGCCTAGAGGAACACTTCTACCCTAATTCATTGCAGTACAGTAAGTTGTATTTTACTAGACGTTAACAGTGGTAGAGCCCGCTTTAACATCTTCGCACAAATGAACCGGCTCGCCCCCAGCAATTTAAGTCCCTTTCTCTTTACCACCCTTTTCTTATAAGGAGAAGTTGGGAAGGGGAAGTGGTTTTGACAGTGGAGGAGATGCATAGGAAGGGGAAATATACTATATTTAACAGTGGTAGTGCCCGCTTTAACATCTTAGCACGAATGGGCCGGCACGCCCGATGTAATACCACGACCACACAGAAGACAGGCGTGGAATGGAAGCAATTCCGTGTTTCATCTGATGAGTGTGGTGACGGAGGCCTAATTTAAGTCCCTTTCCCTTTACCACCCTTTTCTTATAAGGAGACGATGGGAAAGGGAATTGGATTTGACTGTGGAGGAGATGCATAGGAAGGGGCAATATCCTTTTTATGTGCGTCTCCTCCTCCGTCGGATAAGGGTAGGCAACGCATCTGCGATCGCGGATGTCTATGGGCAGCGGTCGCTTCGCCATTTTGGCGGATTTAGGTGGCTGCTTGCTCGTTTGCCACTTTATATTATAAAAAAAAAAGGGGAAATATCCTCTTTATGTGCGTCTCCTCCTCCGTCGTATAAGGGTATGCAACGCATCTGCAATTGCGGATGTCTATGGGCAGCGGTCGCTTCGCCATTTTGGCGATTTCAGGTGGCCGCTTGCTCGTTTGCCACCTTTTGTTATAAAAAAAGCAATACCACGACCACACAGAAACAGACATGAAGTGGAAGCAATTCCGCGTTTCGTCTGAGTGTTGTGCCGGAGTCCTAATTTTAGTCTTTTACCCTTTCCACCCTTTTCTTAAGAGGGAATGATGTTTAAAGATTTTTGTGTAAAAAATTGTGTTTTATTAAGTTGTAATAGCGTAATAATCTACAAGTTATAATTATTCATATCTTATTTCTGTACATAATACTCTTATGTCCACAGACTGCATATGCCTGAACACATCGGAGGCAACAGTACTTGGAACGGTGGGGGTTCAGCGTCAGATCATCAACTCGATAGACGAGGCAGGTCCTACAGCACTGCTGTCCCCGGGCCGGCTGCACCTGGCCTGTGTCACTGCGGGCCTCACTCCACTCTATGTACCTTACAACCATGGCTACAGGAACATTACACAGGTAGGTACTATCATTCATGCTAGGGAACTAAATATAGATTTAATGTGACAATTTTACACTAATTATTGCTTTTAAAATAAATAGACTCGTACGAAAATCATTACAATTGCTATTTACATCTTGTGTTTACATCATACTTCATACTAATAATATAAATGCGAAAGTTTAGATGGATGGATAGATGTTTGTTAGAGTTTGTAGTCTAAACGACTTAACGGAATTCGATGAAGTTTCACATATATGTAGAGAATAGTCTGAAAGAACACATTTGCTTTTGATTTTTTTTACTTTGGATTTTTTTTAATTCCACCCGGACGAAGTCGCAGGCGAAAGATAGTATGTTATAAAACAGTAGAAAGAACTATATTTGATTTTTGTTTTTCTTGCAAAATAAATATAGAGCGAGAGGGGAAATATGAAGACAATGTTCTAAGAACATTCTCATTTATATTAGTTTTTAGTTGTATGTATATGAGTTTTCGCCCGCGACTACGTCCGAGTAATAAAAATGTAGTTTATGTTCTTCCAGACTATCCTCTACATCTGTACCAAATGTCATTGAAATCTGTTCAGCAGTGAAGTCTACAAAACATTTGCATTTATAATATTAGTAAGACTAGTAAAAGTAAGATTTATGATTTCTTATAGGAAGATCAGCGCAGATTCCTTCTATCGGTGGCGCTGGAGGCTCGGCTGACTCGCTTCCTGAAGCGCTGCGCACACGACTGGGCTACTGGCACGCACACTGGCTTGGGATGCACTCTCAGTTTTCTGGTGTGTTATACAATTTTGAATATGTTAATCAAATGACAAAATAATTTCTGCGATATTGTAACATTTGCGACAGCTAGAGAGTTATCCTAAAGAGGTTAGAATTGTCGAATTCTTATTTACGTTATTAAAACAAGCAGAAAAGGAAAGGAACTTTTTTCAACAATTTTTTGTCATATAATTTTACAATAATTAAAAAAAAATGTAATGTAAAGATTGTTTTCATATTCTTACCATGTAAGTCTTATGTACATTGATTTTAACTAATTTATATGACTTTTTTAAAGGTTGAATGGTGTTGGAAGAGAGCTTTAGAACTAAAGGAAAATGCCAAAGAGTTGGTAGCTCCGTTATTTACCTCAACTATATTGCCTGATAGGTAAGATAGCTTATTATTCCTTAATACTAGCTGTTACCATACGGCTTTATCCGAATTAAATTATAAAAACTTTATTTTATTGTTTACATTTATCAAATTCTAAATTAGAAATGTTAAATTATTATTATTTCTTCCTTAATGTTGGCAGCTTGTAGTTTATGGTCTCTTTCCCACGTGATGTCTTTTTTCAATTTATGTTATAAGTTAATAGCGTTAAAATATGTAGTCTTAAGCATGTCGTAAGTAGGGCTCTTTATTAAAGAAATAATTATTTAAGAATATGCTGTGATTGCTGACCTACGCAACGAAGTAATGTGTGTTTACGCTTTATTATATAGCTTTAAGTAGTATTATTTCGATAATTTCATCGATCATTCATTTTTAGAAAACTGTAGAACATTATTCACTTGAATGAAATAGGAATTTACTAGTTTTTGGTGTTTTCAGGAACATAATGAGATGTCTAGAACACTGCGTGCAGCAATTGACGCAATTGACGGGACTTTTGGACGCCATTTTAACTAAATGCTGCAATTTGGTTGTACCGGATGGTATGTTTAAACTTTTACTTTAGTTTATTCGCATTACATTATAAAAATACTTAATTTTATTATTTACATACTTTTTATTCTAAATATCAGAATTCATATGCTCAAATGTCAGACAAGTAACCATGGCAACCATGATTTTAACTGGTATTGGCTTGCAGATTATCACCCTTTGGTAATTCTCTAAGTTTAGTAGCTTCAAAATATATGAAGTGTGGAAGTCCAGAAATGATGCAGAAATAGTATAGATTAAGCAATAAGTATTAAAAAAGGCAAGAAGTGCTAAATGGTAGTTTGACGAATGTATGTAGCATATAAATGTATGTAATCTACACTAATATACAGAGGAAAAATATGTATTTTTGTATGTATTGAAATAATTCATTGAAAAGCTACGTTATCACTGAGTAACATAATATTTCTTACGTAGACGAAGTCGCGAGCAACAGCTTGTAGTATCTGCTTACCCTTTGCTAAATCTCTAAGTGTATGAAGGAAAGTATTTTGAGTCTAAGTACATGTATTACTTGCGTTTTCAGCGTTAAGTGAGATGGAGGAGAAGTACAAGTGCATCGGCATCGTGTCGCTGTACCTGCAGGTGGTGCAGTGGTTCCTGCGCGTGGGGCTGCTGCCGGAGCGCGCGGGCGCCTTCGCCGCGCTGCCCTACCCCGCGCACCAGCTCTACCATATATACAACAAGAGGTACCTTCAATCACTTACTATTGTTAAAAATATCGGTACTGCACTAGTGGCGCAACACTACATCTTACTTCTTACTAATATTATAAATGCGAAAGTTTAGATGGATGGATGGATGGGAGGATGGATGGATGTTTGTTAGCGTTTGTAGCCCAAACGGCTGAACGGATCTCCATGTAATTTAGCACAGGTTTAGAGCATAGTCTGGAAGAACACATAGAGTACTTTTTATCCCGAGAATAGTTACGGTTCCTGTGGGATTCATTAATTTAGTTTTTTAATGTTTACTTGATCATTCTGCACGAGTTCAACATATCCTTTTAAAATTTGGCCCAGATATAAAACAAAGTCTGGAGTACACATGGGATGAGTTTCATTCCCGAGAAATGTCCGGTTCCCGAGGGATACGTAACTTTTTGTTATTTATATAGTTCTTATGTTTTCTAATACCACGCGGACGAAGTCGCGGGCAACAGCTCGTTATCTATATAGACGTCCCTTCCCTATGACAAATGTCAATGTCATTAGATTGGAATAGCGCGCTATTCTAGCGGACTAGAGCTCTAAGTGTTTAAGTAAATAACGCTAGCTTCAATTATAATAATAATAATAATTAAAACTAGATACTATAATAGTGTAATTACATGATAATTTGCAGACGTGTGAAGCTGCAGCGCGTGCAGGAGGGCGGAGCGCCGGGCGGGGCGGCGGGCGCGGCGCAGGGCTCTTGCGGCCTGCTCTACATCGACCAACTCATCGAACACGAGTTCGGCGGTCAAACAACCCACGAGTAAGTTATGTCCACAGTTTCAACTACAGTCAAACTATAAAATCTTTTTTAAATATTACAGTAATTGTTCAATTGCTAAACGGAAAAAATCAATATCAGTGACTAAATATTAAGTTAAATATAAAAATACTAATCTTCCGTCTTTATAATATTAGTATATTTTCAATATAGCGCGGAGAGTGTGAAAGAAATTGAATAAAAACTTTAAAAATGAATATTAATGTAAAAACTTGAAAATAAAATACAGCCTAGGAACTTTAGAAGATTTATTGAAGGAGTGAAATATTAAAAAAAAAATAGTAAAATTTAAAACTTGTATTTTAATTATAAAAAAGAAAAAGTATATCTAAAAGAATGCTAGTTATACCGCCAACAGTATAAATAAATGTTTCCTTGTCAGGATGTGGTTGAAGGGCGGCAGTGAGTGCGGGGGATTGTACCCTCCGCCCTCGCTCTACTCTCTGCTGCGGCTTTACTTGCTGCCTGACATCGCCGAGGAACACAAACACTCTCTAGTACTCTACCTTCTACTGGACTACTGCACCGTCTACGATGAGATAAGGTAATTTGAGCTTTATGTCCATAGACTTAAAGTTTATTTTTGGTATATCTATTTTTTATAATGGTAAATGCTTGTAATATGAATTTTATTATGTTTGTTTAGATACGAAGCGGTAATCAGACGGCTGATGCAATTCCCCACAATGTTTGGTCTGAGCAATACAGCTATTAAAGCCACGCAGGCGTTTTGGCATCTCGACCATAGAGATTTTGATGTAAGTCAACCATTTTTAATTTAAACTAAAACTAGTTTTTGCCGCGACTCTCCGCGAAGTTAAAAAAAAATAGTAATCTGCGTTCTTTCAAACTGTGTTCTACATCTATGCCAAATTTCAACGAGATTCGTTCAAAACTCTAACAAACATCCATCCATCTCAAAACTCTTGCATTTATAATATGAAGATGATACAAGATAATTATGTATCCTTCTAGTTTAATTGTATCTAATAATATTTTACGCAGTTGAATACATTACATATTTTAGTGTAACAAATGCATAAATTTCATGAATTTTTAATTTAATTTGTTTAAATTTTTTTCAGTTCGCATTAGACCAATTACAATGTCTCACTGGCAACACTCTCTCCGACTGGCAACACCGAGTCGTGCTGTCCTCCTTACTCGCACAGAAAAAGACACAAGCGGCACTACAATACTTGCACGTGCGCAAGCCAGCGCCAATACAGAGTCCTGTAAAAAAAGATACCATATCCAAAGTTAATGACAACGTTAAATTAGAAGACTGGCAATGTTGTTGCAATTTGTATCTAGCACGAGGTCTGGTGTTTGAAGCTATCGATGTTGTCAGAATGTGTGTGAGAAACGCAAGCACTTCGGATGAAAAAGTTCGCGTATTAAATTTCTTCTACAAAGGTCAGATACAAAACTATTTGTTCCTAATCTATATAGATTATAATATTATTAAGAGGAAGGATTTTTAATTTTTATATTTATTGGAATAACTCAAAAACTATTGGGATGATTTAAATAGCTATGTTGTCACTGAGTAGGTTTATAACAATTTTATTGCACGGACAAAGACGCTAGCAACAGCTAGTACTGCAATAATATAATTGAATTATACTGTCTAGTATGAATTTAAAGGGAATTTAACATTAAACAAATTCAATTTAGGGTTAGAAATTTAAATTTCACCAAACTTTTAATATATTAACTTTTGCTTGCGACTTCGCGTGTAATTTATATTATTTTAAAATGAATTCAGTCGTAGAAGTATGCAATATAGACAATCAAATCTTTCCTTTTTATAATAGTATCGATATTTAATTCGATTCTTATTATAAGTTTTAATGCATATAACGGAATATGTTTAAAAAAGCGTTATATTACAGGGTGCCGCAACACAGGCCAGCTCTCCAAAGTTCTTCAAGTGACGTTATTGCCCGGGGAGGAGGAAGTTTTCATAAAGTATCTCAAGGACTGCAACGACACGCAAACTTCTGACATACTTATTATGTACTATTTACAGCAAGCTAGGTAAATATATCTACTATTTGGTACTCTTGTGACATTGCTCAGATGATTTGGTTGCATCAACGTTTTTCTTGTCGATATGGTTTTTTTTTTGTAATATAATTTAAAACGTTTATTGTATTCTATTGTCATATAGACTTTCAATACAGTATAGATATTTAACTGTAGCTATCTTACTTCTTACTAGTATTATACATACGAATGTTTAGATGGATAAATGTTTGAAGCCTAAACTGCTTTAAAGGCCTCTATGGAATTTGCCATAGATATAGAGGATAGTCTGGAAGAACATATAGGCTAGTTTTGTAATCCCACGAGGACAAAGTCGCGGGCGCAAGCTAGTTTGTCAATAACTAAAAACTAATCAATACAATACACGAGATGACACTAAACTTGATAACTGACATACATTAAATGAGCGAAAAAATATAACTATGTCTCGTCTATATATTTTTTAATCTCTGCAAACATTTATTTGTAAATAACCTTTCCAGGTATTTAGAAGCAGAGGAATATAACAATAAATTGAAGGAGCATCGCAGCCGCAAAGAGTTGTCTATATCAGCGGAGTCGCTCGCGGAGTTGGTGGAGCGCTGCCACACGCGCGACACGCTGCTCAGCGCCGCCTGCGCCGCGCTGCCACACATCGCGTGCCGCGTCGCCACCGCCGCCACTGCCAATGCCACCAATGCCACTGCCACCGCCACTAATGCCACACGGCTACAGGACACACACGGTATTTTTTATAAGCTGTCTATTAACAATATGGTGCTTATTGTCTGTTATATAAGCGTCGGTAGCTCAGGGGTTAAACCCTTAAATGTCATCATCTTCATTCTCCTTATCCTACTCCCGTAGTGGCGCAACTGGTTTTTGTACTCCACATACGTCATCTCAGTCATCACTCCCTTTTTCATCATGTCACCTTTAACGCACGGGGGGAGGGGGGTTAGACCCTTATAAGTATGATTTTTTAAATCAAATTTTATAATACTACAAGTGTACCCTATATTGTGTTTACTAATGGGGAAATAAGTTAAAAATATCATTTGCCGATAGGCTCCTTTTTGTTTTTTAACTTGAAGTTTATTAGTCAAAGGTGTAAACAGCATTATATTAGAATAAAATCAATTGTAGATGCCCAATTTGATTTATAACACCAGTTAAGTCAATGTGATTTTAGATTTTTCTAATGCTTGGTTCTGGTTCACTTGGACAGTATATAAACTACTAGATTTCGCCCGCGACTCCGTCCAAGTGGAATTGAAAAATACAAAAGTGAATACCCTATGTGTTCTTCCAGACTATCTTCTATGTCTATGTCAATTTTCATCGAAATACGTTCAGCCGTTTAGGCTACAAACTCTAACAAACATCCATCCATCCATCCATCTATCTGAACTTTCACATTTATATTATTAGTAAGAAGTAAGATTAGTAAGATTGTAACAGTTTATCTAAGGAGATTGAGGACAGGCGACGAAAAGTTATTTATATTAGATTTTTCTTTTCAGGTATTGTTCCAAAACCAATGTCAGTGTACGTGCAAGTGACATCGCCTAAGAACACTTTCACATACAAATCAACGTTTATTCAGGTGAGTTTTTTTTATTTTTTAAGTTTATCCAGTGTCCAAGGTTTTAATTTTAAAGTAAATACATGTTATAAAGTGCGATTAAATTATGTTTGTGTTTTTTGTTCAGGATACAATTGAAAATGCAAGCGAAACTTGGTCCAATAAGACTAAAACTAGGAAAGGCGTTAAACGTGCTTTGGAGATTGAAGAAACACCGTTTATTTGTACACCAAAATTAAATCGAACTAAAAGGTAAGGATATTTTATACATATTTTATTTAATACGACCTGTTCCCGTGCGGCTTCATCCGCATGGAATTATGAAAATTTTATTTTATTGTTTACATTTGTCAAATTATCAATTGCAAATGTCAAAATGACATGACATGACAAACCTTGGCAATATTGCTTCCTTGATGTTGGCAGCAACTTATGGTCTCTTTCACACTTTAGGTTTTTTATCTTAAATATTTACCCCCTAAGTAGGTCACGCCATTAAACTTATTTTCACGCCATTAAAAAATGAATAGCCTAAAGCGTGACGTAAGTGTAGCGCTTTTTGTTAAAGAAAGAAATATTCAAAAATATGCTGTAATTGCTGACATCTTAGACAACAAAGAAGTGTGTGTTTACGCTTTATTATAATAGTATAGATAGCTTTAAACTTTCATGGTTTTTACAAATATGATGTTCTTAAGATACGGGTTTAATTTATTTTATTATTTACATTTGTATAACTTTCAATTGCAAATGTCAAAATTCAAATGCACAAATCACAATGAAGACTGTTGACATTACTGACGATTACTGTTACCATGACAACCTTACTTTCCTGCTATTGGCTTGTAGTTTTTGTCTTTTTCCCGCCTGACGATTTATTCCAATTTATTAACTCCCTAAATTCAATAGCCTGAAATATATCGCAAAAAGCGTGTCGTAAATGTGGGGCTTTATAATAAAAAAAAGGATTATTCAGAAATATACTGACATCCTACATTACTAAGAAGTGTTTGTTTACGCTTTGCTTTATTAGTATAGACATAGATTTAAAATATTACAATAAGTGCTTATTTTCAGTCTATTCATGAGCGGCGACAATACAGGCGAGATAACTCCAGCCAAGCGCACCAAGTTAGAGGCGACCAGTCCAAAGACCCCTAAGACGGGTACATACAAGGCGAGCGCGGAGCTCAGCCAGCAGATGGCCACGCTGTTAGACATGCCCGAGGCACAGAGCCCTTATAGATACCACGAGAGGAGCGAAACGGGAACCCCACATAGTATACTGAAGGTTAAAATACCATTTTAAATATATTCCTTATCATTATCCTACTCCCGTTTTTGTCCTCCACATAAAACTCTATACGTCATCTCAGTCATCACTCCCTTCTTGATCATGTCACCTTTCACGCAATCCATCCTTCTCTATCTCTTTCTAACACTAGTGGTGTACTCTTCACACTCATAACTAACGTTCTCCTTGTAACATGCGATTGCTAACCTTTTACTACTTACCTTCTCTACCACTAGGGCTACTCTCAAACATCCTCTAATATACTCATTTCGTATCTTTAAATATATCATAAAAATATTATAAATGCGAAAGTTTAGATGGATGGAAGGATGTTTGTTAGAGTTGGTAGCCTAAACGACTGAACGGATTTAAGATGAAATTTGGTACAGATGTAGAGGATAGTCTGAAAGAACACATAGGCTACTCACTTTGTTTTTTTTTCATTCCACGCAGACCAAGTCGGGGGCGAAAGCTAGTTCTCTATAAAATAGTTAAATCTAATACTATAGCAATTTGCGAGGAACGATTGAAAATATTTCGATACTAGTATCCTTTCTGGGAAGGTTCACTTTATTAGAATTTTCCAGAAACAATCTAGAATTGAAAACAGTGATAGGGGGCATTTAGGAAAGAGAAATATAATTACTATATATGAGCTGTCGCTTTACTTTTTAAGCGGTACAAAGCTGCTTTATTAATAACTTCTAGAATAAATATAAATTTGTTTTTTTTTTCAGTCTCAAAGGCTAGAAGGTATGGAGAGAGAAGCCGCCGCGTCTCCCGTTGACTCGCGCTACTTGTGCGACAGTGGAGACGATCTCATAGAAACTGCCAGCAATAAGACTAACTACAGCGACTCTAAGTAAATAATATTTACATTACAATTTAAATAATCTATTCTAATATTATAAAGATTTGTATTTTGGACCGATATGGCTATTGGGCCGATTTAAAAAATTATTTTACTATTACAAAGCTACGTTATCCACTGATTCATCGACGCATCCCCCATGGCATTCAACATGGGCTAAATTTTTCAGTAGTTGTCGCTAGCGACTCCGCGTACGTGAAATTACAGAATAAAGTAAACATGGATTATGGTACTCAGTGAGAGCTTTTTATTGGTAAACGAATTTTTGAAATCGGTCCAGTAGTTTTAAAGTTATTTCAATATGTACAAAAATTCAAAAATACAAATTTTTCCACAGTTTATTTTTAGTACAGATTATATTTTTATTGTACGCAAAGTCGCAAACATTAAAACAAACAGCCTAGTCATACAAATATTATAAATGCGAAAGTTTAGATGGATGGATGGATGTTTGTTAGAGTTTGTAGCCTAAATGGCTGAACGGATTTCGAAGAAATTTGGCATAGACGTAGAGGATAGTCTGGAAGAACATAAAGGCTTCTCAGTTTTTTTTTTAATTCCACACGGTAGGAGTCGCGGGCGAAAGCTAGTATTAAAATGAAATCGGTTTCAGGTGCTTACTGCGATTTATAACTCCGGTATCAAATTTGCAACTTTAGTTATTTAAGGGTTAATTATGAATAATGTGATAATTCCAGACATCTGAGGTTCCGAATGCCTTCGGATTCGGAGTCGAGTTCGTCCCCGCCCGTGGCAGTCGCAGTGCGTCCGCAAACAGACAGACACTCCGACAATGGAGATGATACTGAGGTATTTATGTAACTATATATATATATTAACATCATAACGTAACAATCGAGAGAGTGGCTACTTGAATTCGCTGAGAAAGCGTATCGATCGCTGCCTATATACATCCGCAATAGCAGATGCGGTGCCTTAATCAACGGAGGAGACCCACATAAGGAGGATATTTCCCCTGCCTATGCGCCTCTTCCACCGTAAATCCCCTTTTCCTTCCCATCATTTCAGTAAAAGAAAATGGAGGTAAGGGAGAGACCAAAATAAGGCCTCCGACACCACACTCATCAGAAGAAATACGGAATTGCTTCCACTTCACGCCTGAATTTCTATGAGGTGGTGGTAATGCTGCCGCTTGCTCGTTTGCCACTTTATATTATAAAAAAAAATTAACTCGAAATGTATGTTTTTGAGAAATTGCGTTTTTTTTTTGTAGTTTGGCATTCTACGGTAGATTTGAAATAAGAGAGAAAATCTCTTTTATTTTCATTCTATTGTGACATTTGAATTAGTCGAGAAGAATATGTTCGCGAAAATAATCGTCGTTTATGATGAAAACTCAAAAAACATAAATTTTGAGTTAATTCTTTTATGGATATAGGTGCGATATTATTGAGAAAAAAATGCAGTGATGTTTATTAATTTTTTCTCATTCCAGAGTGAAATTTCAATGGAATCGCCGCCGAAGAAGTTAGCAACCGAAGGTAAACCTCAAGCAAGGAAATCTTATAAAGACAACGTACGAGCAAGGTAACGTTAATTACTCCACTTTTATACATTTCATTTAAATTTTTAATTTAAACCTTTTTTCAGTGCCACTGTTAAATACTTTTATAATAATATTGAAATGTTCAATAAAAACAGAAATATTTGGAATGTCAGTATTTCCTCAGGAAAATTGCACATTTCGATGATTCAAATGTTATACTTTTGGTACTTTGTACACATAACCGGTTAACACGATTCCAGTCCAGTTATAAAGTGGATTATCACTGGAACAAAGAAAAACCTCACCGGAATGCGATATTGCAGTTCCAGTGTAGTTTAAACATAGCCGGTTATAAACCAGTGCTCATTATCACTGGACTGGAATTATGTAAACCTTAAATGATCTCTTTTTTTTTTCTAGGCGATCCCTCTCCATATCAGTGAATAGTAGTTTATCAGACGATCCGAATGCATCTATAGAGAGTATCGCTGATATACCTATAACATTAATCAATCCTCGATACTCGCACAAGGGTAGACAGAAATCGCAATCACCCAAACCAGATAAATGTATGGATGTTGATGACTTTGTATGTGAGCTGAGACCGATGAATGAAACTCCCAGAGGCAGAAGAAGTCTTAGAGAAATCAGTGGACAAAGTACACCATTGATTATTAGGTAAGAAGTTTACTGCGTTTTTGTATAATCATGTTTTAAATAACAGTTTTTTGTATATTTTTAAGGAGAAATTCAGATTAAATCTACTTGTGGTAACCTATAGGTCGAAATTTGACTATAACGCATATTTAACGATACTTTTGAGTAAAGAATTTCAAATCTATCTACATTATCTAAGAAAGTACAATAGTTTACGGTTAACATATTAAAAATTAAAAATATTAAAACTTACTAAAAATTGCAGGAGCAGATCTATAACACCTGAGAGACAAGACTCGCCAGTATCAAAAACTCTTCAAATAACCAGAGCTACAAGGTATAGTAATATAAATTATCTATACTGATATTATAAAAAGGAAGGACACACACAGAAGACAGGCGTGAAATGGAAGCAATTCCGTGTTTCGTCTGATGAGTGTGGTGCCGGAGGCCTAAGTTAAGTCCCTTTCTCTTTACCACCCTTTTCTTATAAGGAGAGGATGGGAAGGGGAAGTGGATTTGACGGTGGAGAAGATGCATAGGAAGGGGCAATATCCTCTTTATGTGCGTCTCCTTCTCCGTCGGATAAGGGTAGATAACGCATCTGCGATCGCGGATGTCTATGGGCAGCGGTCGCTTCGCCATTTTGGCGGATTCAGGTGGTCGCTTGCTCGTTTGCCACCTTATATTATAAAAAAAGGAAATATTTGGATTTTTGTATGTATTAATAATAATAAAACTTTATTTCAAGAAAATCTCATATTTTGTTAGTAAACAGGCTTTTTGACTAGTGTTAGTAAGTAAAATGTATTGTAATAACTCATAAACTACTGGGCCGATTTTAAAAATTCTTTCATCGTCATCGTAAGAAATGTATTTTTACTGTTAGTAACATGAACTACCTTTATCTATACTTATATTATAAAGAGGAAAGATTTGTATTTTTGTATGTATTGAAATAAGCCAAAACCTACTGGGCCAATTTTTTTTTTTTATTCCACTATTAAAAAGCTACGTTTTCAGTAAGTCTATGCCATGTTACTATATTTTAATTCCAAGTGGACGAAGTCATGAGCGACAGCTACTAAAATATAAATATAATTATTATGTAATATGAATGTAATTGAACGAGCTTTCGTCCATGACTCCGTCCGCGTGGAAATAATAAAAACAATAATGAGTAGCCTATGTGTTCTTTCAGACCATCCTCTGCATCTATACCGAATTTTGAAATTCTTTTAGCCGTTTAGGCTACAAACTTACAAACATCCATCCATCTAAACTTTCGCATTTATAATATTAATGTGATTATAAAATAAATATGTTAATATTATTTATGTGTCAGGAGTCGTTCCCGGACTCCAGAGATGAGTCCCGGGTCTCTGGAGTGCATCCCGGAGCAGCCGCGCCGCGAGAGCGCCAGCGCGCCGCACCCCGCTAAAACTACCCTTAGCATGCCTAGACCACTCAGGTATTTATTAATTAGATTATTACCATTATCTATACTAATATTGTACAAAGAAAAGATTTACATTTTTCTATATTGAAATAACTTAGACTATTTTGCCGATTTCAAAAATTCTTTAACGATTGAAAAGCTACGTTATCACTAGTAACATAGGCTACTTTTTTAAAAAATTTCATGCGGACGAAGTTAGCAATAGCTAGTTAATTAATGTTTTTAATGAAATTTTTCTTTTTCATTAAGGTTTTTCATTCACTAGGTTTACGGGACCCGAAAATTTACTTATAATTAACCAATAAAAAAATTTACCAAAAATTACAAAAACATCACAAAATACTTATTAAATTTGGTATTTTTAAATCTTCGATACATTTAGTTCACAGTCTATCTATTTTTTACAGTGAAGTTACAAGGAGCAATTTTTATACAAATTAAATTTAAATATTGAATTGTTTTATATTTCAGAAGCAGATCTCGTACACCGGAATTAGTAGAAAAAACTATAAAAGAGACAACAAAACTGTCAGCCATCACTGAAGCACCCGTCAAATGCTACGAGTCGCACACACGCAGCTCTAGGTAATATTACGGTACTAGCTTTCGCCCGCGACTCCGCGTGGAATTAAAAAAAATAAAAGTGAGTAGCCTATGTGTTCTTCCAGACTATCCTCTACATCTATGCCAAATTTTATAGAAATCCATTCAATCGTTTAGGCAACAAACTCTAACAGACATCCATCCATCTAAACTTTCACATTTATACAATTTGTAAGAATATTAGTTATATTGTAACATACATATAAAAAGTTAAGGGAGAATGTCATGGTTTTTCCGTAACTAGAACAATATACAGTAGAACCTCAATAACTCAAACCTTGGTAACTTAAAAAACTCTGTAGCTTCAATAAATAATAAGTTCCCTTCCTACCAGAGCCCAAAACCGTACTGTAATTGTAACTAGCGATATTAATTTAAAAACTCAACCACTCACCGGAATGGCGCGCTATATCCAATACGTCAAATGACATTGACAGCTGTTAGGGATGGGACGACTATGCAAATAATCTAGTGTTGCGCCAATCCTACAGCGCAATATAATCGATATAACAGTGGTAGTGCCCGCTTTAACATGTTAGCACTGCAGGGCCGGCACGCCCGGTGTAATACCACGACCACACAGAAGTCTGGCGTGAAATGGAAGCAATTCCGTGTTTCGTCTGATGAGTGTGGTGCCGGAGGCCTAATTAAGGTCCCTTTCTCTTTACCACCCTTTTCTTATAAGGAGAAGATGGGAAGGGGTAGTGGATTTGACGGTGGAGGTGATGCATAGGAAGGGGCAATATCCTCTTTATGTGCGTCTCCTCCTCCGTTGGATAAGGTTAGGCAACGCATCTGCGATCGCGGATGTCTATGGGCAGCGGTCGCTTCGCCATTTTGGCGGCTTCAGGTGGCCGCTTGCTCGATTGCCACCTTATATTATAAAAAAAAAAAAGATATCCGTTTAGCAGTTTAGATAACAAACTAACAAACATCCATTCATCCAAAATTTCGCATTCCTATTGATTAGATTTATTTAATTTTAAGAAAATACATTTTCATATTGTATTTCAATTTATTTATGACTGTTAACTGATTTGTTGCCGTCTTATCGTTTGTTTAATCTTAAGAGGAGGACCCTCACGATACAGGCTGCGTCTAGTGCGAGGGTACTGATCAACACATATTAAAAATTCTACTGTATCCAAAAACGATATTTTTCTACCTCTCTCCATAGTTGGATTTTAAATAAACCATTTTTTGATCTATACTATTATAATAAAGTGTAAACACACACTTCTTTGTTGCCTAAGATGTCAGCAATCACAGCATATTTTTCATTAATTCTTTTTTTTTTATAAAAAGCCCTACACTTACGTCATGCTTTAGTCTATATATTTTCACGCCATTAAACTTAGGTTGTAAATATTTTGGATAAAAACCCTAATGTGGGAATAGACCATAAGTTGCTGCCAACATCAAGAAAGAAAGATTGCTAAGGTTTTTCATGTTGTCATTTTGACATTTGCTATTGATAATTTGACAAATCTAAACAATAAAATAAAATTTTCATAATTACATGCGGATGAAGCCGCACGGGAACAGCTAGTTTTCATATAATTATGTTGATATAGGAGTAGGTCGTACACGCCGGAAGGCAACAAGCGCAGCGTGGCGGAGCCCACATTGGAGCCCATCACAGAGGCGCCGGCGCGGCCCGCCACCACCCCCACCCCCACCCCGTCCCCTACCACACCAACCACGACACGAGCTCTCAGGTAATCTACAATATACATATAATAAAATTGGAGTGTCTAATATCAAAAGAAAAATTCCAGATTTCGGGAAGCTGATGTATTTACGCATTTAAAATTTTTAGCATGTCAGCAATCACAACATGTTTTTAAATAATTTCTATTTTATTAAACTTAGGAAGTAAATAATTTGAAAAAACCGATATGCGCTAAAGGGACACAAAGTACAAGCTGATGTCAAAGGCCTTCATTGTCATTAGTGCATTTGAATTTTGACATTTGCAATAGAAAATTACACAAATGTAAACATCAAAGTTTTTATAATTTCATGCGGTTGAAGCAGCGCGGGAACTGCTAGTATTTTATTGTAAACTATGCCAACATTTTGGTTCAAAATAACTAATTTCGTAATTTGTAGAAGTCGTTCCCGTACACCCGACGTAGAGAAAATCCCCGAACAACCAATAAGCAGTCCACGAAGCTTAAGGCAAGTATTAACTTATTTGTAAACGTTTCTCCAACTATTTCAAAATTGTAAAAACGTTAGTATTTTTAAAATCTTATTGTTATAGAATATTTTAGACAGTAAAATTTGCAAACGCCCAAATGGTTTCAATACGCCAAAATAGCGAAGTGACTATTGTTCATAAACATTTGTATTTTATCTGTTCTTGCCCATTATATTGAATTTACTTATTATGATTGTTTAGAAGTCGCTCTCGTACACCTGAAGTGGAGAAAGTTCCTGAAGAACCAGTCAGCAGCCCACGAAGTTTGAGGTAAGTCTACAAAAATAGTCTACTAACTTGGATATTTACAAAAAAGACACTATTTTTTTCTTCTATTACTTATGTCTTTGTTATTTGTCTTGGTATATGTTTTGATTTTGAATGTCTAGAAGTCGGTCCCAAACACCAGATTTAGAAAAATTACCCGAGCAACCGATTCTGTCAAGCCCACGGAGTTTAAGGCAAGTTGAAATAAGGCAACATCTTATAATTAAAATATTTTTATTGTATGATAAATTAAAAATAATATTTCTTTTAGGAGCCGTTCGAAGACACCAGAGAAATTATTGTCACCTAAAAAGGATACTGGTAGTAAAGGAAGAAAACCACTATCACGACTTGTATTGGAAGCGAACGCTTTCGCTAAAACAAAGCAAATAAGCGAAATATCCGAAGTCCAAACTAAAGAAACAAATACTGAACAAACTGAATCTGTTATCGAATGTACACCACAAAAAGCTAGCAACACTAAAAGTCTTATAGACGTTACCTTTTCACCGATAGTAAATAAATCAATATTACAAAGTTCCACAGAAAGCTTTTCGGTAACTGAAAAAGTAATTGAAATCAATGAATCTACTTCAAGTAGTGATTTGAAACCTTTGCCCGCTTTTACCACTCTACATGAGGTTTATTTCGAAAAATCTGTCTTGCAAACTGACGAAAGCAGTATTATGCAATCTTCTTTACAAGAAATACAGAAATCGACCGAAGCTAGTGTTCCCGATATTGAAATGAACGTTTTACCTCAATTCACGCCTATCGATGAAAGCGATTTTAACAAATCCGTGTTAAAAAGTAGCGACAGCAGTGTCGCTGGAAATCGTAACAAACAAGATGATGTACCAAAAGCCATTGAAGCGTTTACAACCTTCAATGAGACAGAATTTGATAATTCAGTACTCAAAAGTCATCTTTCAAGCATAGCTCATGAAAGCAATGAAAATGAGGAAGGGAAATATACTAATATTTCTAGTCTAATGACAAGTGATAGCGACATTGAAATGGTAGATGATCAGAAATGGAAATACAAAATCGATAATCAGAATAAAGATAGTGTTATTCAGAAGGAGAAAGAAAAAATAGTTGAAATTGAGAGGGAAATTAATGAGATTGAAGAAGATATAGCAGTAGGAGAAAACAGTAGTGACGAGGAAAATGCAGAAGACAGTAGTGGTGGAGAAAATGTTGAACAAGGAGATAGTAGTGATGAAGAAATCGTTGAAGAAGAAAATAAAGAAGAGTCTACCGAAAGCGAGGAAGCTGACGATGAGGTGATATACCATATGTATCTCTAAATGCATTCTAGTACTAATTAATAGCAAATGTTTTGTTATATCATACTAATAATATAAATGCGAAAGTTTAGATGGATAGATGTTTGTTAGAGTTTGTAAAACTAAACAGCTGCACGGATTTCGATGAAAATAGGCATAGATGTAGATGATAGTGTGAAAGAACACAGGTTACTTAATTTTTATTTCCACGCGGTCGGAGTCACGAGCGACATGTAGTAGTAGTAACACTAAAAAAGACAAATTAAATAAGTTATCACGACTATTCGTGTGTGTGTGTATGTGTGTGTGTGAAGGCAACAGTTATAATTCATTAATACTGAAACATTCAATTTTCTAGGTATCAGTATCTGATAGTAGTGACGAAGTTATTTGCATCGATGATGATTCCGACTCAAATGCCGCTGACGGGATTCCACAAAATAAACAGACGTCAGAAGAATTACCTCTAACAGATCAAACTGAAACACAAACTGAAAATATAGATGTAGTTGAAAATATAACTAACACAGGCGAAGTCGATGCTGAAATTGAGAAAGCTATTGAAAATGTAATAACCGAAGCACCAATAATGGAAGTTTTTGAAGGAAAAACACAAGAGAGTCATACTGAAAGAATGATTGAAGTTGAAATAGATCAAGATGTTGAAATGAAAGTATCAGAAAGTGCACAAGAGCAATCAATCGATGTATTGAATCAAGCTAATATTTCGTTATTAACAGATGATAATTCTGACATTAACCTCACATATTCAGATGATAGTAATCACAAAGTACTTGGTAAGTAACCTGTAAACCTTACATACCAGTTATCAAACAATAGTACAATATTTTAATTGCATTTAACAAAACTTAGCAACGATTCCATAGGCTTTTTTTCGTTTGTTTCATACATTTTTCACTTATGATCACTAATCATCGCAGATCAGTCTAGTATTCTTGTTATAATGGTTATTTATTTAATTTCTGTCAGTTCCAGATCAACTTCGAGAAATAGCGCCTGTCGAAATAGAAAATAATGAAATTATACCTTCTAATATCCACGACATAGTGGATGCTTGTCAACCAGTTAACATTGAACCCACTCCTATTGAAGAGGTTACAATACAAGAATGTAAAGAAATCGAAATGACTGCGACGGCACCTATTCAAGAACCGAAAGATATCTTCGCTGAAAACAATGTTAAAGAAACTGCACCTGTTTTTGAAGAAACTAGAGATATTTTTGTTCAAAATACTGTCAGAGACTCTCCTGATGTATTGGAAACTGAAAGTTTTAATAAAAATATAGTAGAAACTACTCCTATGGAAGTTATTACTGCCACAGAAGATGTAGCTGAAACTGTTAAGACTGATGTTACAGAAATGTCTGAAACAAAGAACAGTGAAATTAAGGAAATGCCAGAAACGAAGGTCAGTGAAATTGAAGAAATGCCTGAAACAGAGGTCAACGAAATTGTAGGAATGCCTGAAACGAAGGTCAGTGAAATTGAAGAAATGCCTGAAACAGAGGTCAACGAAATTGTAGGAATGCCTGAAACAAAGGTCAGTGAAATGGAAGAAATGCCTGAAACGAAGGTTAGCGAAATTGAAGAAATGCCTGAAACGAAGGTCAGTGAAATTGAAGAAATGCCTGAAGCAAAGGTTAGTGAAATAAAGGAAATGCCTGAAACGATGCTCGATAACATTGAGGAAATACCTGAAACAAAGGTCAGTGTAACTGTAGAGATGCCTGAAATAAAAGAAAGAAGTGAAACAAACGGTGGTGATAGAAAGGATATACTTAGTTCAGAAGTGCCATCTGCAATGGATACGGTACCTTCGGCAGAAAATATAGAAGTAACAAGCATGAAAGATGAAATTACCACAAAAGATTCGTCCGAGTCTATGGAAACAGATCAAAATGAGGAAGTTAAAGAGACAAAAGCACCGGCCATAAGAAAGCGTACTCAATCAACCACATCGAATAAATCCAATCAAGAAATTGATAAAGAAACATCCGAAAATACAACATTAGAAGTAACGACTCCATCGAAAAGAGTTTCCAAATCGCCAATGCCTAAATCTAGGGTTATGCCAAAAAGACGCACATCCAAAGATGTGGATGAAATGGATGAAAGTGTCACCCCTGATGAGACTCTAACACCAAGAAGAAGATCAACTCGTTCTAGAAGTAAGAACATAGACGATAACTCTAGTGTCGCGTCGGAATCTTCAGTGAAATCGAGTAAGAGCAAGATAGAAGATACCGATAAAAAGCCAGTAGCGAGAAAAGGACGGAAGTCGATATTGAACACGAAGACTGAATTGTGTGTTATACCTGAAGTGGAAGATAATAGTCAGAAAATAGAAGAGAGTAGTGAAGATATTCTTAATGAAATATTAGCAACTGAAAGGTATGTTTTATTTTTGTATTCGTGTATGTAACGAATGAACTCAAAAACTACTGTATTTATTTCATAAATTCTTTCACTATCGGAAAGCTATGTTATCACTGAATAACATAGGCTTTATTTTTAATAGATATTCTTTTTAATTTTGCGCAGACAAAAGGTAATGTAAAATTATTTGCTATACTTAGTTTTCGATGGCAACCGATTGCTATTTTTTCTAGGTCGCCTTTCTCTTGTTATTTTTTATGACAATAAAAACATTATCTATTGCCGATACTAACCATCTTTATGAAATACTATCTTAAATTCGCGTCTTCGTCCGCGCGGAAATGATAATTGTAATATATTTATTACAATTATATTTAGACTATGTTACTCAATGATAACGTAGCTATTTATTGGGGCAAGAATATTTGAAATCGGCCCAGTAATTTTTGAATTCTATGCATACAAAAACACAAATCTTTCGACTCTAAAATATTAGTATAGTTTTCTTGAATAAAGATTTTTCTCTGGTAAATAAAAAAAATTAAAGCACACGCGTATTTACTTAGTTCAGTTAATATCAAGCGCTGGTTTATTTATGATAAAAAATCATTTTTTTCAATGCAGACTAACACGACATCAAAAAGCCATGTTAGAATCGAAACTGCGTCCGAGCACGCCGCGCAGCCGCCGCGCCAGCGTCGCCAGCGTCGCCTCCAAATCTGAAACTTCTGTAGACGAGGACGTTGCCGACACTCACATGGACCGCGTACAATTACTAGACAAGGAAACTTTCGATGGTATGTACATGTTTATAATAAGTGAAATATTGCTCGCGAACATCAGGTGGGAATTACTATTTTGTATGAAATCCCCCTTAAATCCCCTTGAGTTGTAGAAATAAATATCTATAAATCAATGTTTGTTAGCATGGTATTAAGTTCTTTTCTTGACTGATTTAAAAGATGATTTTTTTTATTTTTTTTTTAATTTTAGCTACGCGAATTTTTGTAATATTGAATTTATAATTTAAAGTTAAAAGCATGTTAACATTCTTATAACTAAAATCCGATTAATACATTAATAATTTAAAATATTATTCATCAACATTTAAAACGATGACCTAAATCGTGTTCAACACAAAACATACTTTTTGTGTTGTAAAAAAATTTTCATTTTTTTGGTATAAACATTACGGATACGCAATATTTTTTTAAAAGCAAATGTGATCGAAGTTTTTATTTTGCAGCTTTGTATAGTGGGCCATAGCAGCTTGTAGTACATAGATAATTTTATTTGCAATTTTGATTCGGAATTTTGATGAGCAAAATTTTCAGACAAAATAAATTAAAATAGATCGATAAAATTATCTTACTTTGCATCTTTTATTGTGTTAAAAATATTTCAAACATAATTTTTACCTTTTTTTAACAAGCACGCTTCTATTACGTTATCTTGGATAGCTTTTGTATTTTTTTATATTAGAAGGTAGCGAACAAGCTTGATTTCCTTAGTTTATGCTCATCTAAATTCCAAAAAATTCCTGTACTCTTCCTAACTGTTCGGACTAACAAATACTAGGGCGAGCCGACGACGAGGAATTCCCGCGAGCGAGCCCCGCACTCTCGGATACTAGGCCACGACGTAAGTACACGCTTTGTATAGCTTTACTTTCTAGGTGTCGGAACAACGGCTACGTTTTTATTTGTGTTGTGCTGATCTTTGCTTTAAATATAAAACAAGCATGTAGATAATCTAATTCTCGTATTGTATCGAAACAAATGTGTGGAAACTGGTTGTGGAAATCAGCTGTTCAACAGATTTTAGGACTTATCATTTTGGTTGGAAAATTGTTGAATTATCTTCTGTGTTTTGTCAATGTTTTGTGTAATCTGTTGGAAATGGCCAATAAAATAACAAATGAAAATTGTTGAAGAGAAAAGATAAGTTTGTTTTAACAATTTCTATGCCATGATCAACAATAACCTAACTATATGTAATGTTGTTTTGTGAGGGTTAAAGCATAGGTTTTTTCTTAACGCGTTTTTGGTGAACAGGTGATTTTTAATTTGCATTTCCTATCTTTTCATTAACTTGTATATTGTTTGCGTTTAAATTTTTTCAAATCGTTGCTGCGTCTTAATTGGTTCAATTGATAAACAAATTCAAATTATTAAATTGATTTTACAGACGCAGCAACGAACTGTATTTCTTTCAAGCGTTTTAGATTTCATTACGAACAAGGTTAAAAAACATAGAATTTTTTAATTAATTTCTCTAGCTTCAATAACAAGCTTACTAAACTAAATATTAAAAGCGCATAGTTCTGTGATTTTCTATTATACTAGAGATGTAGTTATTTTAATATGATATTCATATATAAATTAAATAATTATATGTTTTAGCGCGCACGGCACGGTCCGCATCGGAGACGGAAGCTCAAGCCAAGGCTAAGAAAGTCTCTCGCAGAACTTCTGTGGACATCAGTAAGTATCCACTTAGTTTAATCTTTCCGAATTATTTAAGACTCACTTTTTTATTAAAAAAATCTAGGTTCTTCCGCAAGACATTATAAAAACATTTTTGTTCAAATTCCGTGTTTCTAATTGGCCGAGAATTTAAGTAAAACCTTGCATCTTAGCTGCCATTGGCTTACAGTTTTTGTATTTACACTTTATTAACATGAAAATATGCAAATTTAGGGATTTTTATTTAAAAAAATATGCTTTATTATATAAGTATAAGTAGAAACAGAGAACGCAGGAATGAATCGTATGTTACAAGGAGAACGTTAGTTATGAGTGAGAGTAGACCTAGAAAGAGATGGATGGAATGCGTGAAAGGTGACGTCATCAAAAAGGAAGTGATGACTGAGATGACGTATGATAATTATGTGGAGGACAAAAACCTGTTGTGCCACTACGGGAGTAGGATAAGGAGAAAGATAATAAGTAGAAACAGAGAAGGGCAGTGAAAGTTTACGTTAAGTTAATGGTAACTGGTACACATGCAGCGCTGGACGCGAGCCCTGTGCGCGGCCGCCGCGCCTCCTTCAACCGCGCGTGCGAGGCGCTGCACACGCCCAAGGGGCGCCGGCCCTCAGTCGACACTAAGGTATACTGTCAGATATCATTCCGCTAAGGTCCTTGGAGGTCCCGGAACATCTATTTCACTTGAGGATGGTCAAATACAACGTAACCCTAAAGCACGAAGTCGCTGTTGCTGGCATCTTCGTTTATGTGAAACTAGCTTTCGCAACTCCGTCCGCGTGAGATTTAAAAAAAGTGAGTAGCCTATGTGTTCTTTCAGACTCTCCTCTATCAAATTTCATCTAAATCCGTTCAGCCGTTTAGACTACAAACTCTAATGAACATCCATACATCTATCCAAACTTTCACATTTATAATATTAGTATAATTAAAAAATATAGCCTAATGTTACTCACTGATAATGTAACTTTTTGGGTTATTTCACATACAAAAATAGAAATGTTTCCTCTTTATAATATTAGTATCGTGTTTGTATAGAAGTCGGAGACGGAGGGCGCGTCGCCGGAGAGCGCGGAGGCGACGCCGCGGCGGCGCGCGCGACGCACCTCGCAGCTCTCGGACACGCCCACCTCAGAACTCGGCAAGAGGTAATTAATAATAATAAAACTTTATTTCGAGGAGATCTCATATTTTGTTAGTAAAAAATCTTATTGACTAGTGTTAGTAAAAGAGTAATTAAGAAACAATTTATACTAGTTACATTAGCAGTGCAAGTTATTGAAGCGCCGTAGTAAAGACTACACTATCCCATCTGGCTGCCAAAACAATCAGGAGACTTTTTACTGCTGTAGATAAGGTCAAAAATCAAACGATGGTTCAATATATTTTTAATATATCTGTACGATGGTTTAATTTTTAACGTGATTTTGTTTTTATTACGGCCTCTCCCACCACTGGCTGATAGAGGCTCAGATAGCTTAAAATAGCTTATACGTTCGATTGTTATCTGACAATTTACAAGAATTGTGGGACAGGCCCTTAGTGTTGTATCCATTTTAAATAAAATATACCTTTTATTGTGAAATTTAATTATAATATTTGAAGTTAGTCATCATAAATGGTCAAATAAGCATATTGTTTTATTTAAATACTAGCTTTTGCCCGCGACTACGTCCGCAAGGAATTTAAAGAAAACCAAAGTAAGAAGCCTATGTGTTCCTTCAGATTATTCTATACATTCAAACCAAATTTCATCTAGATCCGTTCAGATGTTCAGAACACAAATTCAGACATCTAAACATTCGCATGTATAATATTAGTAAGATGGTTCGGCAGTTGGATGATTTTTTTACCCTGTTGTTTATTGAAATATTTTTTTTTAGGTCAAGAAGAACAGCTGCTGATAAAACTAAGGAATCAACGGAGTAGACTTTAGTCGATATTTTAAGGACCCAGTGATGATCGAAATAGCATTTATCAGCACTATTGGATTTATGTTTAGTTTAATTCCGTTACTTTGTTCTTGTATAAAAATAAAAAAGTGTGATTTGGTTATTTTTTTTATTTATTTATTCACTGTCCTTTTTAGTTACAATTTGGAATTGTTTCGCATTTCAGCTAATTTTATCATAAAAATAATAAATAGGTTGATTTTAAATATAAATGCAACACAGAATTAAAATTACTAGAATTATTAGACATACAAAAATAGCAATTTTTCATTAGAAATGCGTAATTTTAATAGTTTGGTTAAGGCGGAAAGTATAGCCCTTATATTAATTTTTATAAAAAAAATAATGATTAATTTCTTTAAGTCCATAATTTCACCTTTTATTATCTTTATAACTCTTCAGAGATCTGCGTAGTATATTACTGTGTAAGGGAAGATTTATAGGCAAGCCTACATTTATATTGACATCTGTCGGTACCTCATTTGTACCAATTAGTTTCTCACAAATTGGTTTATCTTCAGGTTTCAATATAGTTTTTTCCGTACAATCGACCACTTCTCTCTTCTGTCTGGAAACAGGTTGAATATTTTCTTCTAGTTTATTTTCAACATCAATGTTGGGTTTAACTTCCTTATTTTGTGGAAGACCATTACTATATTTTAAATTATTTTTATCAGGTTTTATTTCTAAGTTATTTGGTTTTATTTCTTGATTACCCTTTAATGCTATCGGTAAAGGTATATTTTGTGCCATATTTCTAATGCTGGCTACATTTTTCTTAACTGAATCTTCACCTTCTTTGTATGATTGAGGTTCATCTGCTGAATGTAAATGTTCTTTGTTCAATTTTTTTTGATCAACTACTGAAGGTTTTTCGACGTCTTTTTTAGCATTTTGTGATTGAGGTTCTTGTTTATTAATTGGTTGGTTTTGTTCTTTATTTTGTGATTCAATCGATTGTAGATTGACTTCCTGTTTAACTTGAGGTAAATTATTTTGATTGTCCAGATTATGTATTTGTGATATTATTTTATTGATATTATCCTGTTTGTTGCCTACATTTTCTTCTTTTATTTGTTGTTCTGGTTTAATATCTGCAGATTTGGGCAGATTTGCTTCAAGAACCTTCTTTTCGCCAATAGCTTCTAAAGTTTCTGCAGCTTTTTTTGCTATTTCTTGGACAGCTTCATTAGCTATCTTTTGTAAAGGTTCTGCTTTTCTATCTGTTCCATCTATCTGAGCCGCCGGTTTGTCTGTAACTCCGGATAAACTCTGTATCGCCATATTTGCAATCTTTTGTATACTTTCAACTGCTATCTTTTTAGCTTCATTATCATCTATTTCTTTTTTATCTTTCTCTAGTTCCTTTTTGGTCTTTAATATTTTATGTAAAATCTCTTTCTGTTCTTTTATCAACTCTTTTTGTTCTTCCCCGTGTTGTTTTATAGTTTCTATGAGCTGTTGTTTCTTTAAAATGTCTATCTTTTCTTGACTGGATTCTGGTTTTACGATTTCCTTTGATTTCTCGATACCGTTTTGTTCAACTTTACCATTTCCATTACTCAATTTAGCTTCTTCTAATTTCATTTTTAAATCTTTCGGATGAGTTTCACTAGAAATTACTTTTACACCTTTAGGTTTTTGTTCTGGTTCGATTGGTTTTAACTTTGGATCTGCTTTTACTGGATTTTCGGGAGGTTTTTCATCTGAATGAGACTCCGGTGGTATCGGGTTGGGAGGCTGCACTTCCGAGTCTTTTATAATCTCTTTAGAAGCTTTGTTTTCAACGCTGTTAGTGATAATGTCGCTTTTTACTTCAGCTACTGGTATCACACCTGTAATATTTTAAAAAATCCACGTTTAATACATGCGGGGAGTAAGCCAAGGGTTATCTCAAACTGTCGTTCCACATACCTCCATCTTTCTCCATCTTCTGGAAGAAGTCTTCCACGATCTTGTCGATTCGTTCCTGTGTGATGAGTTTGTCGTCGTACTTGCTCTCAGCGGCCTGCAGGTTGGCGTACGTGCCCAGCACCAAGATTATCAGGCCTAATACTAAAATTACCTGAAATTTTTATTCAAAAATCAATGCCTATTTTAAATGAAACTTCTATTGACGTGATTTGGATAATGTCAGTCGCTTTTTTAATTAAATGGGAATAAAAAAAGTAAACAAATAGATTTTTCTTTTTTATTTTTAAGCTTTTATTTCGGTAACTATTAATTTCATTTGAATTATTCTATTTGCATTCAAAATGCCTATAATTATCAAAGGTTATAAACTTATCATCAATCTAATACATTCAGGGGGCGGCACACAGCGAAAAAAATCCAAATCATATTTACTTTAGCCAGCAATCTTTCATTGGTATTCTTGAAGGTGACATTGATGAAGCAGGCTGCGGGGAACACCACACAGATGAGGACTCCGATGGTGGAGCCGAGGAGCCCTAACACCACCTCTATATCTGGGAGTAGCAGACTGACGAACAAAGCGACTGCTACAATCGCTACTGTGATACAACGGAAAGTTGTCACTGGGATCGAGTGGTTTATTATATGGTCATGTTGAGCTGGATGCACCTGGAATATACCGGTTACCGTTTATATAACATAACTAGCTGTTGCTCGCGACTTCACCCGCCCGACATTAAAAAATTATAAAGAAATAATGAAAATTTAATAAAAAAAAAGTGTAGATTTGTATTTTTATATTTATAGAAATACGTTAGAAACTACTGGTTCGATTATATTTTTCTTTCTTAATCCAAATTTTAAATACATTTTTTTTATTTGACGCGGGCGAAGACGCGAGTAATTATTAAATCTATACTATTATAATAAAGCGTAAACACACACTTCTTTGTTGCCTAAGATGTCAGCAATTACAGCATATTTTTGAATCGTTATTTTTTTAATGAAAAAGCCGGTACAGTTACAGTCACGCTTTAGGCTATATATTTTCACACCATTAAACTTAGGGGGTAAATATTTTGTATAAAAACCCTAAATTGTGAAAGAGACCATAAGTTGCTGCCAACATCAAGGAAGCAAGATCGTCATCATGTCATGTCATTTTGACATTTGCAATTGATGATTTGACAAATAAATTTGTAATTTCATGTGGATGAAGCCGCACGGGAACAGCTAGTATAGTATATAGTAATTCGATTACCTTCTTGTATAGGAATGAGTAAAGACTGGCTCTGCAGGGGAATATAATGAGCGGGAAACTGAACGCCAGCGACATCACGAAGCCCAGCTTGATGACGTCACTGCCCAGTGTTGGACTCAGGCTCATCAGAATGTTGCCTGAAATAACCTCAGTTATCCCACACAGACGATAAATATTACCGTATCGGTTCTGTGTGTTGTTATTGATTTGAGAAAACTATGTTTTTTTTAATTCAACCCATAAGTAATAATCGTCGTCTATCGATTATGAGTAAAAATCGAAAATCGGAAAGATTCGAACCTGATTTTAAACAACACATCCCTACTAAATTATCAAGGGAATTGTCAAACTAATTATCCTTATTTAGTCAAACTATAGTCATGTAAGTTGTAATCACAGCATATTTATGAATAATACTTTTTTTTAATTAAAAAATCTACACTTACAACACACTTTAGGCTACATATCTTCATACTATTAAACTTAGGGTGTAATTAAATTGGAACAAAACTATTGCGAGATAGAGACAAAAACAAGCCAATACCAGCAAAGAGAAAATCAACATAGTAAATTATCTTTTATCTGTTTTGAAAAGAGAATTTCACAAAAGTAATAAACCATTTTTTTTTTTAATTTCAAGAGATTGTCACCGCACGGAAACAGCTAATAATATACTGACCTGATATATTCTGTGAACTAAATGCCACATAACCAAAGAAGCCTAGTGTAAAGTACACCGCTGTGCAGATGTTGATTGCATTCTTCGTCACCAAGTTCATCTTCTCCAGTGACAGAGAGGGTAACGACTCGAAGATCTCAAACAATTGTCTGAAAAGTTTTTAATAATACAAAAGGATTATACAATCAGCTGATTAGATACTTTTAATTACTTTAAAATACTGGGAATAGAAGTAAAAATGTTTTTAATATCAAAAATGACAAAGTTTTGATGGCTGTGTGTTAAAAAATTTTAAGAACAGTAATTTAGTTCAGGAGATTTGGCGTTTGGCGACAGCCCAGGGCTCTGAACCTTATAGGCATCAGACATACTTCGCCCAGGGCGGTAACTGCTAAAACCGGCATTAAATTTAGGTAAAATTTAGATTTCAATTGAAAAGAGGCCTTTATAATGCAACAAATACAGACCTATTTGTCATTTTAAATGCATTATAAAGTAAATTCATTGAAAAATAAAAGATTATTAGCCAGAGACATGTATGAGTAAATATTATTTCTCGTTTCTATTAAATTCAACCATACAAAAGTCTGTAAGTATATAGGCATAGTAAATCAGTATTTTTTTAATATTCGCCCAGAGCTCGCGTTAACTAACAATATTGAATTAAAATTGATGGGATATTAAGGGAAGAAGTAAATATTGTACTTACGTTTGGCAAAATAAGGCCATAGAGAATATAGGCACACATTGCAACACTCCGGATGGCTTCCACGTCTCAATACGAATATGCCAGTCATTGGTCAATAATTGAGAGGTTGCTTCGAATATTACCTGAATTAAATCCATACAAACACATCCAATACAATCGTTATACTCAAACATTATTGTATACCAATTATATTCTAAATTTCGCCCGCGACTTTAACTGCGCGAAATTAAAAAACAAAAGTTAGTAGCCTATTTTCTACCAGACTATCTTTTACATTTATGCCAAATTTCATTAAGAAACTCTAACATCCATTCATCCATCCATCCATACAACTTTTACATTTACAATATTAGTAAAAAGTAAAATTATAAATAAAGAATAAACTAAAAAATTACTGTTGTATATTTTCATATTTTAACATTAGAAAGGTAACATATGTTATATTTGTTACTAGTTTTATTTAATTCAGTGAGGATAAAGTCACGGGCAAAAGCTAGTTGTATTAAATCACATACTTTTATCACCAAACAGAAGTAGAAGCATATTGTTGCCGCACTAACATTACTCAAGCTGTCAACATTTTTTAATAATCCCAACGGCAACACACATACTAATGATACTATCACCATAATTGAGGTCCTGGAATATTAAAAAAACACTACTTAAATATAGTAAACTAGATAATTTAAAAAAGCATAAGAACTTGAAAATATTACTATAGGTTTTTTTTGTTTTAATAAATTTTAATTAACCCTTCAGGGTATCAAAATTACTAAATACAGTAATATAATAATTATGTTAAGCAATAGCGAAGAGCTTCGACCAACACCTCAAGAAGCTCTCGCTAGACAGTTGGATTAAGGGCCCTATTTAAAAGGCGGTTATTTTAGAAACCGCACGCATTGTAAGGTTCCTGTCTCTGGAACTGTGACCACTGGTTGCTTGAGTCATTGGATTCAGCAGCCGGTGGTGCTCTATTTTTTATATAATATATTTTATTTTTATACAAATCTTGTAAAATGTATTATATAGGGAATAATAAATAAAGATATATGGATGTTAATTACAATATCATATTATTTACCTTAAGATATCACTTTGATTAATATTAAACATCTTTGCAATAATTTGAGGTCCCAAATCACCAACAACCACAAAATATGCTATGCATGTACCCATTAGAAAACCTATAATACCTAGTTCTACAGCTAACTTGCCCGCTGGTCCAAACACATGAAATGCTAGAAAAATAAAACAAAACCTTTTACTTTAGTATTGGAATAGGTATATGACAGAAAAACTGGTATATCCAGGAATAGGCTGCTCTAAACATAATTGATTTCAAAAAACTAAAATATTTACAAGTTCACATAGAAAAATTAAATAGTGCTTGCTGACAGATTTTGTCCATTATATCACTGTATGTGCTTAAAAGATTATATAGGGTGTCTGGTAAGTGTACAATGGACTACCACAGATTCCTTGATTGAAAATATGATGATTTGACCCAAGTTACCACTATCCAATGTTTGGGCATTAGTAGACACTTGTAGATTTTAAAAATAGTCGAAAGGGTATTAGATTTTATTAATATTGGAAAAAAACACCAGAAAAAACATCTCTTAGTGTAAATAAATCTATTTTGTACTTAAATTGAAGTTAGATAGGTCTTAAAGATCTGATACTATTTTCCGTTATACATAAAAGAGTTAAACATTACTTAAAGTACTGACCTTACCTAAAAATTCAAATGTCCTTCTCCTTGTAATAATTGCAGATTTTAGTAAAAAATGGCAACACAACCTTGACACAAAGCCCATCAGCAAGAGTATTAGACCAGCTAATAATACTCCACACTGAAAAAGTTACAATTGAAAATTGTATTAAGTTTTTTAATTGAATATTTTTTTGTGAAATGGAGGGAATATGGAAAGTGTGTAGGACAAAATAAGAGACATTTTACCATAATTATGAATTATCTAGCATACCCAAAGAACGGGCTATATTATTAATCTTTAATAACTAGGTTAATCAAACGAAAATAGTGCTACGTCTACTTTTTTCATGTCTGAATTTGAAGATACGTACTTGTTGAAAACAGAATGGCATAGCCAATATACCGACACCTATTATACTATTTGCTAATGTTATTGATTGCCCTGTGGTACCCATTATTACTTTTGCAATAATTAACAAACTATTAATGAAACTTTAAACACCAATAATATCACAACACATGATGAGCTTTTGTTATGACAGTTTTTGAAATATTTGACATCAATTGTTTTGACTTTTGACGTTTCAATGTTGCCATTATTCAGTTTCGACGTGTAGCTGTTCAACAAGCTGCACTTCCAGTTTGTTTCTCTTAAATATTTCAACAGGTATAAAGACTTTTCCGTTGCAATAGAGATTTGAACCTACACCACGAGTTTTCTTTAAATAGAATCTTCTAGGACCCCGACAACTGCCGAATGCTATGTTATTATTATATGGTATTCAGAACTCTGGAGAAAAGGTGTGTTTAAGACTGGTTGAATATGGATGGCCAATGAGGATATATATGTGGACGGCTCCAAAGTAGAAGAAAACCGAATAATGTTTGGTGGGCTTGTGTGAAAGAGTATAAGCTTAAGGGAGAGATACGAAGGCTGATAGAGAAATATGGTAGATCATTCTTTTTTTCTGACAAGGGATTTTCAGCTTAATAAAAAACATTCTCATACGTTTTATGACGTTTATTAATAATTATCTTTGGTAATTTATGCTAGTATTGATTGATATTTCGTAATATTGTCGTTAGTATTTAGTACTTAATGAAATGTTAATTTAGGTACATAGAAATTGCTTTATTTTTTAAATTAACAATGAACATTATGAACATTGAATAGAAATTTAATAGATAACTTCCTTCAGACGATAATACTGTTATCCAATCACACAGATAATTTTAGGATGTAAAACCAACTCATATGTTTAAAACTGAAAACAAATTTTAAAAATGAATAAACCATATTACAGCTGATTTGGCAGTGTAAAAAATAACAAACTTGACTTTACATTAAAAGTTTGACTTAAAAATGAATAATTTTGCATTATCATTATAATGTTTCTATGTACCAAAGTGTTACAAAATTACGATAACACTGTACGTAAATATTTTAAAATACATTTACCTTAGAGATTACTTATTTCCTACTATTATAAACATCAATCACACAGAGAACAATAATGGCACCTAAAACAATTCAAAGTGTACAATTATGAGTTCACACTATTTGAAATACTTGTTTAAAACATTTTTTTTTTTCATTAAAATGTGATCTTGCAATATAACATTGAGGTGATTTTTTTCATATTAAAAGCATGCATTTGACTAATTATGGCGCTATTGTAGTTGAAACACTTGTTCAACATTTCATACCTCAGCCCTTAGGATTAGACCAAGATTGTATGTATATTGTGCTGATATGACAAAAAAAATTATATCTGACACAAAAATGTATAGGACAGCCAAACACTTATGTAATAAATAGGTACATAAAATTGTTGAAACAATGGCACAAAACATAGTACATTCAACAATGTTTTAAATAATGGAAGAAATTAAAATATACCTTCTCCAATTTTATAAAATCAAACAAACATTAAACCTACTTATCAATCACGCCATAAGAAAAAAATAACATTTTATATTTAGTAAATCATATTAAATAATAATGTTTAAAATAAATAACAATTAAAAACTTTGGACTAATCACTTTAGTTTTCAATGGCAAGTTACAATTTGTAATTTTGGTTATTTTTTTATATAAATTACATGATCTTTGGGTTACCAATACTTAATGAAAATAAAAATTATTTAAAAATAATTTATCTATATAACGATTCTGTGATGTTATAACATGAAATACAATAATTGTGTAAAACATAAATAGTGCTAAATAGAATAATAATTTCTACTTCAAACAAAAACCTATACCAGATTTATAAACAATGTAGCTTATCACGAATATCCGTGAGAAAATTTTTCGTAACGTTATCGACAAAATTTGTATTGTACCATTCCTGAGCGTATATTATACCAACAAATCTCATACCAGATTTTATAGATCACGTTACGAATACGTTCTCGCAACTGATACGCAAATATTCGTGATAGACCCCGTGACATCTAATCGTGAAACGATTTACAAAATGTCATTTTGTATTAAAAATGACAAAACTGAGGGAACTTATCCCAGTCAAGGAACTTCAAGAGTCCCTTTTGTCTCAATTTTTTCCTAGATTAAGCATAAAAAGTTAATTTATGCCTCAATCGTTTTTAGTGTACTTTCTTTTCATTAGTTAGTAATTCTAGGAGTTCCTCGGTTGTCTTGTTCTCTTTTTCAAACTTGTCCATCTTCTCTTTTGGGACTGTACCTTTTAATAATGTGTCTATGTTGTTCCGAAGACGTTTAAGTGGGGATAAGGATTCATCTCTACATGGTGTATGCCCCATTGCCTCCAATGATTCAATGAGGAGATCATCAATCAGGCGCTTGTTAAACCCTGTCAAAACAAACATGTTTTAATATTCAACACAAAAGATTTATTCATACCTAAAAATAAAAATATTTACAAATTGTTAAAACTAGATTTCCTTTAAATTTTGATATAATCATTAATTCAGATCTTATGTGAGTTCTCAAATTTATAATCTTATATTATTCATCAAGCTAAAATGACTTTTTTTTAACATGATTCTTTATACATTTAAAAGTTGGTTTAATTAAAAAAAAAGAGATTTCATTAATTCTATATCTTTAAAATACAATTGTAATTCCAAACTAGCATTAGAATAATTGCAATTTTTATACAAATAACAGAATTTTCAAGCATACTTAGGTTTGCATAAGCAATAAATAATTAAAACCACAGAACCAGTTGTAACCAACACCTTGACCCATAAAAACCAACACCATTATTAACTGAATGTAAATGAACTCACTTATAGAAAAATTACCCATGATATCTGCTATTTCGCCTTCTGCCTACAAAAAGATGACATTTCTCTAAATATGACACTGACAAGCTGATTGGACAATATACTTCACAGAAGCACACAAACACTCAAAACCCTGTGTCGAACCAAAAATTAACAAATTAAACACACAAAATAAATGATTGTGCAAACTGTGTCGGTCATTGTAATGAAATTATGAATGTTCTGTGGTTTCTACAAATTCCACATTTTGTCTGTCCTAGGACTTTGAATGACTTAATTTGTACTGCAAATTTTCAAACAGAAAATGACTTATGTAGTGTAGTGTGAGATGGGTTCCTGTTATTGGCACACACATAGGAAGCAATGTATGCTAAATCCAAAATAAAACATCCAGTGCACTCATGTTTATGTGTGTGACCAAAAAATCGTCTTAATAAATAAAGATTTACGCACCTAAATACTTTAGTTTTTCTTTACTCGCAATCATGGTGAAGAGAAGAGCCAGCAAGAACCTCATTCTTGATAAACTCATAATAGATTCAACTTCAATATCATACTTCGGAATTGAATCATCATCTTGCACAGGAGTCTGCTCTGTTCCATCCAACATGCATGTCTTAGCGTGTGTTGCTAAATGGGCTTTCAACTTAAAGAATTGTGAACATTTCTCACACTTGTATGGTAGGTTATTACCATGAATATTTCTCATATGTGCCTTCATATGTGGTAATTGAGAAAAATAGAGTGGGCACATCGCACATTTAAAAGGTTTCTCACCCGTATGACGCCTGATATGAAGCATTAAAGCATTAGAATGTGTAAATGGACGATCACAGATCCTGCAAGGATATGGTCTATCTCCAGTATGACATCTGCGGTGCACATTCAACTGTGTAGACTGTGTAAAGCGTTGACCACATTCCGGACACTTATGGGGACGTTTCTTTTCATGTGTGCGTAAATGCTCTGTTAAATGTCCCTTGAGTTTTTTCTTACAAATTGGACACTGTATTAATATCCCCGCATGGCAAATTTGAACATGTCTTCTCAATGATGTAAGTCTTAGGAACTCTTTACCGCAATGCTGGCATATATAATCTTTTAATTTTAAATGACCTTTAATGTGTAGAGCTAGATTGCTTCTGCTATCATAGCTCATTTCACAGACAGTACATTTGTATTTGCCTGTAATCAGGTGTTCCTTTTCATGTTCATGCAATAGTATGGGATGTGGAAATTGCTTATTGCAAAATATACATTTGATTAACTTTTCATTTTTAACATGTATCATCATGTGCTCATCCAATTTCTCTTTTAACAAGAATGGTTCCTCGCAAACGGCACAAATATAATGATTGGCAATTTTCATACCCCTAGAGTGCTGCAGTTTCATATGAGTCATCATATTCTCTTTCATATAAAACCGCTTGTAACAATATTTACAAGCGTATGGAATCACTTTAAGATGAACATAAATATGTCTGCGCATAGAGGTTTTATTAATGAAGAATTTCTTACAGTAATCACATTGAAACACTCTCCGCTTTGGATTGGTGCTGTAAGTAAGACATTGTTTTGCCATCCATGATAGTCCCAGTTCTCTTTCTAAACATTCCGTCTGTCTGTCTTCAGTCTTAGATGCCTTTTTCTTATGTTTTTTCTTCACACTACCTTTACTTTCTTTATTAGGTTTTTTATTTTGGTTACTCAAACCACTTTCATTGTTATTAATCACTGTAGATATTGATGTTTTTGACGTCTTTTCTTTTGGTTTCTGTATCTTTGGTTGACTGTCCTGAATCTTTAATTCACTTTTTAATATATTATCAAGAAACTTCAAATGAACTTTCTTTTTGACTTTGATTCGTCCACTTTTTGACATTAATCCACTTTTAACTACATCAAAGTCAGCTTTACATTCAGGTTTAGATTTTTTCGTGAATTTATCTTTAAGAAGGTAACCATTCTTAACTAATAATCGGAATTTGTCTTCTTCATCCAAGTTCTCTTCATTTGAGGGTCTTTTCATAACTACGTGAGAATTAGTCCCACCATTTATACCTGTTGGCGATCGACTATTTTTATCAGTACTTTTAGATGAGGCCTTTTTAGACGCCTTTATTTTTTTTTTAACATTAGCCATTATGAACACTGGGATTCATTAGTGAGAATTCATATCAATATGTGAAAAATGTTACAGGGGCAAGCAAGAATAACCACCACCAAGGAAGAACGAATTAGTACAGGCGTCGCTTGAATACAACGTGAGGTATGTATGTTCTACGATAGCGTCGGCCGCGCACCGCACAATACTTACATGCACTGTTTGCATTAGATTCGATAATCACCTCTGCAACACTTAGTAAATGATGACTCTAATGTGCGAAGGACGAAGCCACTGCGTGCCTTTTGTCTTATACGAATATAGATATTACCTTGTTCTACAGCAATACAAAATATAACGATTCATCCATTGTATTCACACCTTGATCCTGATTTCGACTCCCGCACGCAACCTTTACATACACTTGTTCTACTTAAATAAAATAAAATATTTAATTCACGATAGAGAACGACATCGAGTGAAGATTAACGATGCCAATTTGTACATAAAATTAACATTTTTAGTTTACGATATCACAAAAAAAGAGACAGACGCAACGCAATAAGCGCGCCTGTCAATAAAGGTGACGAACAGGAAGGCATCAGTGACATCTGGCGGGCGATGATGTTGAAAATCGAAATAGGCACTTGAATGAAAACATGCCACTTCCACTTATTTTTGTTGTTTCAATTTAAAAAATACATGAAGTGAAATAAACAGTATTACATGAAGTTAAATAAATAATTTTACACCCAATAAATCAACATTTACATACGGTATCAATATAAATTTACACAATCGATCCGAGATAAGGAATGGAATTTCTACTTGAAGACATTTTAATCGATACTCTCCACTAATGAACGTAAACAGCTTGGCCTTTATCTTTCATTTAATTTAATAACGTTTTAATACAACCTACTGACGATACAGCAAAATTATAAATAATTTTTCTCGCGACATTAATGTATGTAACACTATAAAAAGCACTATATCTTTTCGTGTATCGATTGTACAGCGTTTTGTTTCATGTTTTGTAATTAGCGACAAGTTTTTTTTTTACTAAGCGACACATTGTTAGTAATAACATACAATAATTACAATTAATTGTCATTCTGTTTTATAGTCACTTCGATATTTGCAACGTTGATGTCTTTTTAATAGTGACCGCACTTTGATACTAAAGACATCAACGTTGTATTACTCGTATTATCTTATTGGTACATTTTTTTATGTCGATAGTTAATAACATTAATCTTTTATGCATATTTACGTGTTTCTAACGGTACAATTGTAGGTTTACACTTTCATGAATTATGAACGCTACAATTTTAGTTTTTATTAAAATTCAAGGATAACTTTAAAAATCGCTTTAATTTAAATAATTACAAGTAATTTATTAAATAGTTTCGTGTATGCGACAGAAGTTAGTTGAAACTTAAATATGGAACGAGGACATGTGTGGCTCGTAAACAAGCGATAGGTTATTATTAATTAGATCCATATGAAAAAAGTAGGTACCTAAGTATTTAATTATATATTTTACGGGGACATGAAAAACAATTTACTATTAATGCGTTGACAGTCGCACAAAGTTTACACTCAACGGTAGTCGTTTCATACTGGTAGGTTTCTTTACTAAAAATAAAAGAAACACGGGATGGAATAACAAAAAGATAAGATTGACAGATAATTTAATTACATGGTATTCTATACTAGCTTTCGCTCGCGACTCCGTCTGCTTGTAATAAAAAAAAGTTATTATTTAAGAGATTCTTCCAGACAATCCTCTACGTTTAGGCTACAAACTCTAACAAACATCCATCCATCCATCTAAACTTCCGCATTTAGAATATTACTATGATAAATGTCGTTTGCTTTGTGGCTCTAACCACAGTCGAGCACTCAAAATTATAGCAGATGCTTTCCCCATTGTGTCAGAACAATGGGCTCGGCTTGCACATTGCCAAACGCCGGGCACCCGTGAGCTTGCATAATGTACTGAACGATGACATTGTATAGACAAATGTTCTATTTTATGTGACGATTACACACAAATACGATATATTCAATGTCGCTTGACTTTTTTTTAAAAAAAAAAAAAAAACGAATTTATGAGCGACAATTTTATAGTAGGAAAGAACTGCCGAACGCTTGCCCGTCGATGTCTTTTCTTTAGTAAACTAATTTTACAACAATATAAGATACATTTTCATCTACCTATGGAATTTTATTGTTTGTGTTTTCAATTTCATCTATATTTGTATTTTTGTATGTATATAATAACTCAAAAACTACTGGACTGATTTAAAAAAATCTTTTACTTTATCAGTGTGTAACATAGGCTATGTTTTTTTTAATTTCACGCGGGTGAAGTCGCGAGCTACAAACAATATTCAATAACATTGATATTATCATATCAACTAAGTACCAGACCTTGTACAGTACTGTATGTGAAAAATGCCAACATGCATAGATAAAATGTTAATTGCAAATGATCTAATGCAATTTTATAAAATATAGAATTCCAGTAAACCGAGAAACCTTGATGTTTTGATATCGATTACTTTGAAAACCTACAACTTCCGCCTAGATTATATTACATTATATTTATCTATAAACTAGCTGTTCCCGTGCGGCTTCATCTGCTTGAAATTATAAAAAACTTTATTTTATTGTTTTCATTTGTCAAATTCTCAATCGCAAATGTCAAAATTACTCTTACCATAATAACTTTGTTTTCTTAATGTTGGCAGCTTATAGTTTATCGTCCCTTTCCCACATGAAGGTTTTTTACTAATTCATTTACCACCTAAGTTTAATATCGTGAAAATATATAGCCTAATGCGTGTCATAAGTGTAAGGCTTTTTATTGAAGAAAGAATTTTTAAAAAACATGCTGTAATTGCTGAGATCTTATATATAGTACTGACAATATCTGCTCAGTTTTAGTTTCATAGAACTGTTGTTGTACGAAGATATAACTCCTAAACTCTATCTAATAAGTGCCAATTATAAACGTTTTTTTTGGAGATCAGGTTATACATGGACATTTACAGCCCGTGTCTTCAATGTGATGAAAAAAAATATTTAAAAAATACGATTCTTATATAGTGTAAATTATAAATTCTTTCTGGTCAGAAAAAACTTTCTCTTTTGGCGTTGATGTTGTTGATGTTCATGAAAAAAAAAACATACAGACGAATTGAGTACCTCCTTCATTTGGGAAGTCGGTCAAAAATAAGGCGAACAATTACACGTTTGTTGACTTATTTCCATAATTAAAGTTATTTAAAAGTTAGTAACAGTGCATCTCAGTTTAGATTTCGTGAGAGAACTCTCTGAATTAGTTAATTACAATTGAACGATTCGAACGAACGAGATCATTTTCTATTAGCGACGCGACGTAATTTCTTTCTTTCATAGTTTCAGCCATTATTTCCATGACTCCATGTCCCGATTTTTGAACTTAATAAACAAAAAAGATCTCGGCTTATATTATCACCAGTAACACTTTTGTATTTTCCTTTATTGTTTTTGTTTAATATGTGTACCCTAACTTATATTAGTTGTAATTAACGTGATTCAACGTTTGTTATTAAAAAGTAAAACATCATTTTTTGTGAGCGCTGTGTACGCCTGTCATCTGTATGTTCTTCTGCTTCTTTGTTTTTCATTGTATACGGTATATTAATTTGGTTGTGAACCTTGAACATGCAATTGGTGTACCTTTCCAATAAATAAATAAATAAATTATCATGGTACACTTAATTATCCAAGTGTTTTCAAGTCAAGTGACAATTTAAACACTGTTATCATTGTAACTTTCTCTTGTAACATTGTTTTAACAATATTAACTGCTATCTTGTGTTTAGTTTTGTATTTACATTGCAATTAGTCGTGACATGTTACGTAAGATTTCGTGTTTCACGGAAACATCAAAACGGTTCATAAACAATGAATGTACTTACACAAGAAAGAACAATTTGTAATTGTTTCTGTATTTGAATAGGAAATTTAAAATTAAGGTTAAATAATGCATAGAAATGACAATTCAAAAAAAAAGTTCGTGGCCTATTGTTTGGTATTACCACAGATAACAAAATACTATACTAGTATTGAAACTTACTATTAGACTTATGCTGGGTTTCTGAAGTTTTCACATACTTCGTCATTACGATCTATTAGTGTTAGATTGACCTATGTTGAAGTGCAGTAAAACTCAAGTTACTAAGTTCGGAAACGCAATTTACGAATATCAACTATTTTTCTAACGGTCTATCTATAACTAACGAACCAAAAACAGTAACTGGAAACCGGCCATTAATAAACTATTAACTTGAGTCTAATATTAACTTTTGAGTTACTATATCAGCATTTTTAAATTAAATAAGAATATTGCAACAAATCACTTTTTATAACTTTACCTTGAATGTAAAAAAATCAGAATTAATAACCTCCTTCTTTTGGGAAGTCGGTTAAAAATCCTCGCCATATTGCGGAAGATTTTTTATTTTATTTACTATTAGCATTTAGCCTTTTAATACCAGTATTTGGACCCCTTTCTGGACATAGGACTTCTCCAACAAGATTACAAAGTGGTTCATAAAGGCGATGCAGAACACTCAATTTTTTTATATCAATAAGTCAGTTACAAGAGTTTACGCAGATGAATCCAAGGGTCAAGAAGTACCAAGACGAGATAGTTACATTCTTTTGTAAGGATTTCGTAGTCGCCTTAGACCAAAATTGTTTCCAAAAATACCTTAAACTCGGTCTTCTATACGGAATGACACAGTTCTAAACAAAAGACTTAAGAAATAAGGCTCCATTACATTGATAAGATAAAATATACAGCCGGGTGTTAGATGACGGCAACATACGATAAGGTCCCACCTTATCTTGAAGTCTCCAGATAATGTGGACTTTAAGTTGCTTAGTCTGATTTACACTGGTCAATGACCCTGCACAGTTCATTTAGAAGCTATTTATAGTCCGTACTCTAAAGCGATGGAGCATCTGGCTTATGCTCTGGTATTTAAACATTTTAAGTGCTCAATATAAGACACTTGTTCTAATAAATAACCACTTTTAAAATACTTGCGACTCCTAGTTAATTTTGAACTAAAATGAACTTAGTTATTCTATCAATGTTCCTTCCCTAATCGGTATATGCAGAATGCAGCGGACATAGGTAAAAGACAGTCGACAATTTGTAACGCCATAACCTAATTTCCTTCACAATTTCGTCACACTCTAGTTCCAAGCTAGTGAGATTAATGTCGCCCGAGATAGAAGCAGGCCGATATTTTATATATGTAGTTATACTTATCTGATACAAGTATGTACTTTAAAAAAATAATAACTACTATAATTAATTCAGCTCAAGTACTACCTTCAGATCTATACGAGGTTGCTTTGTTAACCGTAGAATCACATTAAAGAAAAACATTAGACATAGAGAAAAAGTCTTTCTTGATTACAATTCCAAAATCCATTCGTGCATTTCTAAAATACATTTCTAGTAAGTAGCATTATTAAAAATTTAAAAACATATGAGCAATCTAATTGGGCAGGGGAATACGTGATGACATCTAAAATTTTTCGCTCTAGTAATCTGAGATTAATCTCTCTGAGACTTCCATAGTTAAAGTACCACATCGTTTACCACCACAATTGGGTTCCACTGTTTGCATTTCTTATATCGAATTTTATTCTTCGTCTTAACATCGCAGTGAATGGACATTGTCTATTTTCGCGCCAATAGTTTGACAGTTTGACTTTTTAAATAATAACGGAAAAGGATTGACGTATAGAGTCAGTAACACGCATAGATTTAGTTACATGTTTGTAAATGGTGAAAATGGTGAGAATGTGGTGGCTGTTTATATTTTTAGCGAAAATGGTATTGGCTAATAACAACCAGGTGTCCGCTGAAGAACCTCAAAAAGGTGGGATTGATATTTGAGTGACTCTTAACTTATAGTATTTTATTTTAATTACAATCATTTATTAATTATTTCTTTTGGAGTAACTGCTTAATTAAAATATTTCAATGGATCATGGTTTTATTTTTAAGTTACTATATTTATATTGTTTAAGACAAATTGTGTACATCTGGAATTTAATTGGTGAAAAATTAAACAGTACCGTCGCATTTTAGACCATGTAACTTTTAATTTAACAATCTTTAGTTATATTCTACAATGAAATAAATATTTGAAATGTTTGTAAACTTTTATAGTTAACTGTTGTAATTTGTTCACACGCTTTCCCTTTGTATACCTAATGGCCCAATTTATACAATTGTACTTTTATGCCGAAATTTAAATTTAACTTTTTTAATTTAACTTATTTATGTAGTTAATTGTTAAATTAAAATAGTTAGGTTTAATTTAAAAGCTTCTAACTGAATGTAAAAGTGTTTGAGACTACGCTAGCCTACAATTGTTTTACGCTGATGAACAAAAACAATGGAGGAAAATAGAAATTGTTGGATAGTTTCGAGAAAGAATTGTTAACTGACTTTCGTTTTCTTTTATTTTGTTTAGTAAACAAACATTGTCTACTCTCTCAGTGTTACTGCCATTCTGTCATTTAGATGACTTAAGCCGTCCCTTAATAAGACTTTCTGTTATTACACTAAAGGACATTTGTAGAATTAACTACCCGTTTTAAAAGAATTTAAGAAGTGTAAAATGTTTTTTTAATTTTAATGTCATAACCACAGACTCTTTATAATTTTAGCATCGCGATTCCTTCCGTTATTCGAAGTGAAACGTTTTGATGGCAGGCCGGGTCCTCTTGCCCCGGGACCTGGAGGTCTTCCGCCGTTGACTTCAGCACCAGTTGTAGGAGAAAGATGCTCAGCCAGGTTGGAGTCCGCTTTAAACCAATTAAAACGCAAAAAGAGGAATCACGCGAAAAGTATTGACATGCCTTTGGTAAGTTATTGATCAAAAGAACTCGGTTACCATCATTTTAATTTCAAACTAACTGTCAAATTAATGAAACAATTTAATCTTTACAGAGTCAAAGCATAGATTTAAATGGCTACAGTCTTTACCAAGAAATGAGAAGCGTTCCTGTCGATATGTACGTAACTAGGATGAGAGTTAGACTGCCACAGAACAGCGACTGGGTTCGCGTCGAGAAATGTTACTTTGACCCTCGAAACATTTCCTTGGATACCATGTTACTATTCCACGATATCACCATAAGTGGCAACGTAGACCTTTACGACGGTAATGAATTCGATAGAACCGCAACCAATCGAAGACAACGGTCTTACCCTGATGAAGAGAATTCATACAGATCTAAAGGAAACGGCTGTAATATGATTTTAAGGCTCAGAAAAGCCGGTATTGGTTTCCACACAACGCCACTAAACCAACAACCAGGAAAATTCAACGTGAAAACCGACTCGGAGTTCGTCGAACCTGGATTCATAAGCGTATATGCGTACGGTTGTGAAAAATATATTAATAAAAATTCTGTCAGGAATAAAGATAATCTGCCTTTACGACGAAAAAGAAGATCGGATGAGTTTACCTTCGATCCCCGTTTAGATGAGAGATATTCTGATATTTTAGAACAATCTTCCGACGTTTGGAAAACTTACGAACCACGCAGCAGAGTTAACTACGAGAGAAGTAAGTTGTTTAGACCGGATGACGATTTGGACGAAATAGAAGACATATCTAGGGAAATGGAAGATATATTTACCAAGGGAATACGGACTTTATTAACGACTTATATGAAGAAGGAACTACAGCCAGCAATAAAGGACACTTTGATGAGAAATATGGGCTACGTTGTATCATATGGTTGATATCTATACAAAATTGTAGAAATAAAGTATCCTATGTAAATGGTATAGCACAAATTGACTGAAATATAGCACGATTTCAACAATATTGCTTTTAATTGGTCATTTGTTTTAGTAAAAACAGCGAGTATTTAAGATAACAGTAATAAAAACTAAAAGAAATGTCAACTAATCTTTTACGTTCTCAGTAGTTCGTTCAATCTTTAGTATTCCAGGCGTTGAACTTTTTTGTAGGGAGATATTTGTATCAGCGACAAAATGAGTACAAGTTCTTAGCGCGTCGGCGGCTTCTAACAGCCACATTTTAAGTGAAAACTTCATATGTTAAAGTACATTTTTCGTTTACAGGATACAAAAAGAGAATGTTTTTATAAATAATTGTTTTTTTTTATTGCAGGCTTAACTTTCTTATTAACTTTTAGAGAGGTCAAAATTAAAAATTAATTAAATCGGATGTTAATCGCACGGCAGATTTTAAATCTTATTTTGCGATCAAATATACAGTGAGCTTCCAATTAAGTTAAGGAGCAAGACTGATTTGTTAATTTTGACAATACTTACAAATCGTGTTACACGCGCGCAATTTTCAACGACCATAAAGTTTGAAAAGCATTCTCATACTTACATCATAAAGGTTTTTATTTTTATTCGTAACAAATAAACTTAAAAACAGCCATCGATTTTAAAAATTCATTCACTGTAAAAAAAGCTAAATTACTACAGGATAGTACTACTATGCTATATTTCCTTTAATTATTTTCGACGAGCTAGTAGACAATTAATAAAACAAAAATTTGTCAGTAAAAAGATTTATTTTCAATAAGTTATTAACGACTACACTAACAAAACAGTTTAAAAAGCACCTTTTTACATTGTTGCACTTTAAATAATTATATTATAGTCTTTGTAATTAAATTTTTCTTCTTTTACTTTATGGCTTACAATTTAATAGATCCAATATATCACCATATTTGATAAATAATACTTTATTACACAGGAAAATCCTGAATTTATTTGGCAGAAATACTAATGAAAAAAATACTGCAGCTTGTTTAGTCTATGTGATGTAATGAATTTTTAAATCCACATTTACACATCTTTTAGCTTGGTAAATGTATGCATATTTATGCAGCTGATTTTTAAAAAAATAAAGACTTCATTTTGAATCTATTTAGTTGAGAAATATTTTCTCAGGTGCTGTTAGCAGGGTATTCTAACAAAGTCTGAAGACATAAAAAGATGACCCAATTTAGCCTTACAAATTAAAATAACTTAAACTAGAACAACTTTCTCTACTCTTTGTCTCAGCATATTTTAATCTTTGGATAGTATACCATGTACAACTTACATGCTTTTATGACTATATTCTTATTTTAAAACTCATGACCTACTTCCCAAAAGAAGGAGGTACTCAATTTATCTTTATGTTTTTTTATAAGATGACATGACAACTTTAGCTAAGTGATTGTACAGTCAACTGCAAAAATATTGTATATATTTAACAAACATTAGAAACTTTATAGGTCTTGTAACAAATATGTTTATGCACTAATCATTCAATAACATGTGTTCACAGTAGGAAGCGTACAGAAAGACAAGTTTTGAAACTGAAAGCATATGCAAGTTTCTTTAGCTTGGTAAACATACTTATGCACCTGACTGTACATCAAATCTTACTTATTTCATATCTTAATGTTATAATCTCAACAAAAAGTATTTAATCTCATCATAAACAGCAAAATGTAAAGCTGAAACTAAAATAGCTTTAAGTACACTGGGCCCATAACCTTTATAAAGTGCTAAGAACCCTTCATCTGTGATGGTAAGCCTTATACAATCCAATAAACCATTGCAATACATTTGTTTACCAAAACCTTTTCTATGTTGCTGAAAACCTTGTATCTGCAACCTTTTCTTAACAATATCAAATGGATATATAGCAGTTTTAGATACAATACCAGCTATACCACCTGCTAGAAAATTAGCTAATAATGACGATTCTATAACTCCGAATGTTGTAGACCTCTGAAAAAACTTTATCCTATTAAATATGTTATCTGTTAACAATTTGTACACCGCAAACTGTATCCCTGCATGTGGAGCTATCTGAGCTAATGTTGGTACTAGACCCTTGAACAATGCTTTACTGCCTTCAGTTCTAATAATTATAGAGAAAGCATTTATAAATCCTTTATACACTTTTTGTGTCTTTTGTTCAGCAATTAGTCTTGTCCTTATAGTATCAAAAGGGAACGACACTATCGTAGCTATTGTCGCCGCGGTGGCCCCGTTCGTAAAGTTCAACCAATGTTTATGTTCAATATAAAAGTTAGGGTCTGATCTCTTACATAATTCTGTAAGTTTTTCAAATGTAGAAAATTGTAGAATACCATAAGATATTGAAAGTAATTGAGCCGGTATATGCCCGCTCCATAGTGCGAAGAAACCTTCTTCTTTTATAATTGATGACAACCCTTGAATTATTGAACTGTATTTAGAGCCTAGTTTTATAGGTTCGGTTTGTAATTGAAATCTTATTTTTAATACATCTAAGGGTTGTGCTATTGCTCTTGTTACAGCACCAGCCGCTCCGCCGGCAAATGCAGATTGTAATGGTGAAGCCTGTTTATCAATTTCTTCTGCATAACACATATTTTTTAAATATACACTGGTATTAGGAATTTCAACCCATCTTTGAGTATGACAATAGGGTTTTCGTTTTCATTAATTTGAAATTGTACTATGTTGACATATTGATAATAGTGATTTTTAATAAAATAATAATTTGTTTTGCTAATATTACTTTTCCAAACTTTAATATTATAGGTTATGTAGGAAACAAAGACGTTGACAGGCAAATGGACATTGACAGTTTCATTAACTGATATAAAAACAATTATTTTTTAACTGATATTATAATAAAGATGGCTTTTTTAATCCTGCAGAAATAAAATAAAAGATTTCCATGGACACATACCTAGCTCCCTTTCCGTCAATAATACTTTTTAATGGATTTTCGATATAGTGACTTCTTATTTCTCAAATAAAAACCAGTAACCAGGCCTTAAAATATTCAAAAAAAAAAAGATTCTCGACTTGTTGTCAACTGTCAGTTGTCAAATGAAAAGTCACTTATTTTGCAATCCGTGGATGTGTTTCTCTATTTTTTATTACACTTTTGTAATTCTATAAAATAGATTCCGGTAATCTTTAATAATGTCGTCGCCACTTGAAAATTTAGAAACTCAATTAGAGATGTTCATAGAAAATGTGCGACAAATACGTATTATCGTTAGTGACTTTCAACCGCAAGGACAAAGTGTATTGAATCAAAAGATGTAAGTATATATATTAAAAATCATCTTGTTAGTATATATCATGTGATAAATAAACATTAAAAAAACAATGCTGCATTATTACTCAACCTATGCAAATATACGTATATCAGATATTTTGTAGCAAACAGTATCATTCTAGTTACTAGTGGGATAGAAATTTAACAGAAAAATAACGATTTCATTAATAAAGTTTTAATTATTCAAATATATTAATTTCAGACAGTCACTTGTTACTGGGCTACAAGAGGTTGACAAGTTGAAATCTCAAGTTCATGATATTCATGTGCCAACTGAAGTGTTTGAGTAAGTATTGTTGATTAATTCCTTGTACCTCACTTATAAACGTCGGAAACCACATCAAAATGGGCTTTTTTTAATTACAATTTTAGAATAAAACAAATTACTTATAAATTCACACAATGACAATAGTGTACTAAAAATTATTCCAATCATCCTTTTTTTACTTATGTAGGGTGTATCATTTTTGTCTTCAAGTTGATCTATCTTTTGTTATCTCAATCATCATCTTTCTAGGTCTAACTGTACTGGTGTGCCTCCACACTTATAACTAAAGTTTTTGTTACATATATATTCCTACGTGTACCTCAGCCTAAACTGCTGAACAAATCTCCATGAAGTTTGGTATAGATGTAGAGGATAGTCTGGAAAAACACATAGGCTACTTGCATTTGTTTTTTTTAATTCTGCGCGGACAGAGTCACAGGCAAAAGCTAGTAAATCATAAATAAATGAACCTAACTTATGTTTTCTCAATATAATATATTTAATAACATACTATAATTGAAATTATTTTATTACAGTTACATTGATCAAGGAAGAAATCCTCAGCTTTACACTAAGGACTGTATCGACAAAGCCTTGGCAAAGAATGAAGAAGTTAAAGGGAAAATTGATTCATACAAGCGCTTTAAGAGCCATCTATTGTCGGAATTGTCAAAAACATTCCCTAATGAAATAGCAAAATACAAAGCCATTAGAGGTGGTGAATAATAATTTAATATTGAAATATATTTAATTGTATACATAGCTGTAAGTAATTTAATGTTTTCTCTTGGAACTGATAAATATTGTATTTAAGTTTATATTGTCTTAAAATATGTGTTGCCACTCTCAAATTTGTATTAAAATGTGATTCCTGTCATTCTCTATGAGCAATTCAAAGATAAGAATATGTTTTTTTACAAAGAAGGCAATGTAATTTAATTGTTAGGTAGTTTTAAAGTAAAATATAAGTTTTTAAAAGTAGTCTTTTAATTGTGATAGTGACTACTATGGTTGTATGTATCCCTTTAGTATTTGTATAAATTTCTTATCTTCCATATGTAAAATCTCAATAAAAAACTTAATCTCTCATTGTTAACATTTTGCACCTTATAATACAACAGTGTGAAAATCTAAATAAAACAATTTTTAAAACATATTAAAATTTATTCTTCAAATTTTATTTTAAATATAATAATATTTATTTCATAACTATCTTTAAAACAATTCAATATACACTAATTACAAAAATGTGAAAGATTGCTTAAAGTACAAAATAATAAGTTTGGAGGCAAAACATAGAAATGAAAATTATTGATCCCTAAAAGAGAATGGGGAAACACTTTTATTCGTAAAAGCAGTTTCGATGGGTTGAAAAAAAAATTGAGGAAAATAGTGCAGCTAGAACAAATGAAAAAAATAATCAGGTTGAAAATCACCATTGATTGATGTAATGAGAAAAATCTTTAAAACAAATGTCTCATGCTATCCGGTAATATTAAAAACATTTTTTAAGTCTAATGCTAAATTAAAAAAATTGTTAAAACCTTGTGATTATTTGGCATGTTTGAATAATAAAACATTTGTAAATAAATTAATTTTTAAAAAGTAAAGTTAAAATTTTTAATTTTAAAATACGAGGGCATCTATGTTAGGTGTCAACTCTGTATTGTCTATGGTCGGGGCGCGCACGACCGACTCGAAGTCACCACTCTCATCGGTGTTCTCTTCTGGGTTTACGATCTCTACAGTTTCCGCGTCACTGTCATGCGTATATTCTGAATACGGTTTACGCAGTAAATCACTACTGAACTCCTCCCACATTCTGTAAAACTCCTTCCTCACTGGCTCAACCAGGAGTAGTTTACTAGTTATGTACACATAATTCCAGTGGTCGCATGAACGGTCGTTGCCCCAATTCAGCGTACCCGTCATGAGAATCCTGTCATCTATTAAACAAAATTTATGTTGCATTGTAAATACCCCATCGTTCTTTTCGCATTTTATTTCAGCTCCTGGAATAAAGAACGTCATACAAAAAAAAATAATAAGAGCTACTCAATGAAAAAAAAAAAACATCTACTTTTGCTAAAGTTATTCTGCACAAATGTTTCGTCTTATCGAAAATTTTACTGCATAAATTGTTGATGAAACCTAACATTTCGAAGTATTTACGTATTTGCTGTTTTATCCTAAATATTAATTTAAAAAGCCTCTGTCATAAAAAGTAGCAATTTAAAATGTTGATTGTCTATTATAATCATTGTCATAATTGTTTATTTATTAGATGTACGATATGAATTAAAATTACTAACCAGCGTCAATAAGTTCCTTTATGAAAAATTCCGTTGACTTATTGTAACCGGACCGATCAATGATTATTCTCGCCTTGATGTTTTTTTTCTTAATTAGCTGTACCAATCGTCCCTGAATTGCTGGATTGTGAATACCTGGCATACATACATTAACGCTCTTCGTCGCGGCATCAATGAAACTTAAGAGTTTGTCAAAGTAATTGTAGGCATTATATTGTAGTTTACAAAACACCATCACTTCGTTGATTTCTGTGATACGACTTTTATAAAAATAAGCTGCAGCGGACACGGCACATGTTATAGCAATCGCCGCGGCTGAAGACAGGACACGTAAGTTTATTCTCATTTTAAGTATTTTGAACCATAAATGGTAATATTTGGCGATTATTTGACCTAACCAATTCTTTTAACTTTGATATAAAATACAGAGGCCTTTTAAAACGACACCCTCACATGGTTAGCAAAAGACTAGGTTTTGTAATTCCATGATAGCTAAGTGAAAAGTTTTATTTTACTACCTACAATTTTAGAACATGTTATGTTTGTATTTCTTTTAGGCCGAAAAAGAAGAAACATTTCGACCGTAACTTTTAATAAAAATGTTGCATTGACTTTATGAATTTCTTCAATTTTTCTGTTATGACTTTTTAAATTACTTTCTTCCCCTTTGAAATACCAACATTAAGAGAACTTCTTGTATTCAATTATGAAACTAATATATTTTTTGATATCTTCAGTGACGATTAAAAAAAAATGAATCAGATTGAAACTTTTTATTTCACTAAAAATTAGCGATATTGAACTGTTACGTTATACATTAAAGAACGATTTTAATTACCTTATTGTGATTGGTTGTTGACATTTGGCGGGAATTGTGACATTGACAACTGACATTGACAGTCTGAATTTGTTCAGCTGTTTAGCATTTCTGTTTCTGATATGAGAAATTCGGATTATTTTTCAAGATAACATACTTCTTGAATTGTCATAAACATGCAAATAAAGAGGCTTTAATTGAAATTCATTTTGAGTCCTAAGTAGCAAGTAGTAGTAAGTTTTATTTATAGACATGGGTATTACAGGATTAATCCCATTTCTGGAGAAAGCCTCCAGAAGGGCAAATGTAGGGGAGTTTAATGGTTGTACAGTTGCAATAGATTCATATTGTTGGTTGCATAAAGGTGCATTTGCTTGTGCCGACAAACTTGTGCAAGGGTTAGAAACAGACATGTAAGTATGTTTACTTTTTTAAGTCCTAATATGCTCAGTAAATATCAAGATGACGAACTGTGTAACTAATAGACATGAGAAATCAGGTCTGAACTGGTTTAATGGATCAGCTCACATTGTTACCTTTGAGCTGCTTCTCAATAACTAAATTACCAAGGGAGATAACAAGCCGTGAACTTTCCGGTGACTTGTAGTTTATGTAAATCATATCTGTGTAAGAACAAATTAAGCAGATCTGCAAGTCATGTCCCTGATTTGCTTCACCCATGCTATATATAAAGTTTATCAATATTAGTTTGAATTATGCATTTAACCTTCATATTTATGTAAATTTCAGTTATGTAAAGTATTGTTTGAAGTATGTAACAATGTTATTGTCAAAAAACATAAAGCCCATAATGGTGTTTGATGGTCGACATCTACCAGCAAAAGCCATGACTGAATTGAAGAGGAGAGAGTGAGTTTTAATATTTATGTATATTTTACAATTTCAGATAATTTGTACAATAATTAAATTATAAGCTTTCTATGGTAATAGATATGGAATATTGATTGTATTCAATATTTGTATTTTTTTATAGATCTCGGCAGTTATCAAAAAAGAGGGCAGCTGAATTGCTAAGCTTAGGACAGGTATGTTCTATTACAAGTGAATATTAAGAATTTAAAATATCTAACTGATATAAATTATAACACATCAAAAATGAAAATATAACAAGTATTTTCCATACTCCTTTCTAATGTTATGTTCAAATTAACATATAAATTAGTATTTTTAGTTAATATAATAAAACGAAGGAAATTGCAAAAGGCAAAATGATGGAATAGAATTATTTACACAGTAACCATTGAAATAGAGTATTGTTAGCCTTTCAATTCTTTCAGATTATGCTGAATTTGTTGTGTTGTGATGTGTTCCAAGTCCCAACATTTAGACAGAAAACTGTAACAAATTCATCTAAATTTTCATATTCATTTATTTAACATAATAAATGCAAAAGTTTAAATGAATGGATAGTTGTTAGTTTGTAGCTTAAATAGCTGAATGGATCTTAATAAAATTTAGTATAAACATGTAGTGTAAAAGAACATGTGGGCTAATAACGTTTTTTTTTTTCAATTCCACTCAAACTGGGTGAAAGCCAGTGATATAAGAAATCATATTTTGTTAAAGATGGATGAAGCTCGTTCATACATGCGTCGTAGTGTGGACGTGACTCATGAGATGGCGCTAGCTCTGATCAAAGAGTGCAGGAACCGAAATGTGGATTGTATCGTAGCTCCGTATGAAGCAGACGCACAACTCGCCTACCTCAATATAAATAATGTAGCACAATTAGTTATTACTGAAGATTCTGATTTGATCTTGTTCGGATGTACAAAGGTAAATAGTCATTTCAGGTTATGTGTTTTTTTCATAGATTTCACAAGGGCCACACCTTTGACTAAACTAACGCACTACTATTGTGTGATTTTAGAGTGTTTTGCAGCCAATTCAACCGTTTATTTGCACAACTAAAAATCGAGTAGTGTGCGCACCTCCATATAAGCTAGAATTCAAAGCGCGACTAAACAGTTGTGCGATAGTTTAGTCAATGATGAAAGACTTAAGAAGCGGGTAACAGATTTTGTTAAAATAGCATTTTGTTTGTTGTTGCCTTTCATACAAATTTCATTAAAAAATTAAAGCAGTGACAGTAATTTTAACGTTTTTCGTTCCTCTAACCCTATTTTTAACTAGTGTGTTTTAATATAAGCTTTAATTATTATCTAAAAAAAAAGGAAATAAAGCAAAAAATGTATTTATTCCACAAAAAAATACAAAACTAAAGTTACAGAATGTGATTTTTTACAAAAAAAAAGCTATAATGCATACTAATTGAATAAATCTCAGGTACTTTTCAAAATGGATCTAGACGGTACTGGAACTCTAGTGGAAACTGCTAAACTACCGCTGGTTATGAAATGTGCAATAGAAAGCTACTCATTTGATAAATTCAGACAGATGTGCATTTTGTCTGGATGTGATTATTTATCTTCTTTACCTGGTATTGGTTTAGCTAAAGCTAGACAATTCGTTGTTGCGACGCAGGACCCGAATTTTGCTAATGTGAGTTTTTTTTAGTAATTTTTAGCTTGATAAGGCCTATTTTAGTTTTCTGTCAATTTATCATAGCTGGACTTCTTAAGCTTTTTAAAAAAAAGAAAAAACAGTCTGTAAAGTTATGCCAATAACTATAATAAGGTTTTTAAACAAATTTTTTCCTGTAAATTTAAAAAAAAAAAAATTTTTTCAAAAAATGTAATTAAAATTTTTTTTACAGGCTCTAAAGAAATTACCGAGTTTCTTTAATAGGTTAAATTTAGTAGTAACAGATGAGTATAGAGAAAGTTTTTTAAAAGCCGAGGCAACGTTCAAGCATCAATTCGTTTATAATCCTTTAGAAAGAAGAATGGTGCGTTTAACTGAGATTGACGACGAAGGTAAATATTTATATTTTTATTTTTATGTTATAACTGCATAGCATAGTATATTTACTACTTTTTGTTTTTAATTTCACGCGAACGAAGCCGCGAGACAAAAAAAGAAAAAAGATTTGTTTTTGTTTGTAACAATAACTGTAAACTCAAAAAGTACCAGAAAAATTTCTGAGTAACATAGGCTACATTTATTAGGTTCTTTTGTTTGTATACTTTTTTAGACTTGGAGAAAGCATTATGTGTGAATGCGGGAGAATTGTTAGACCCTAATATAGCTTACCAGCTGGCTCTTGGTAACTTGGACCCCTTCAGCTTGAAAAAGATGGACAATTGGGACCCTGATAACCGGCTAAAAGGGGTTTGATCATTTTTTTAAATTACTAAGTGTAAATAGTTTTCAATGTTGTTTTTTTGTAATTTAGAATTGAAATTGAATCTTAATATGGTTTTTTAATTACTTTTTTTAATTTTTTTATTAATGGTTAACTTCATTTTCTTTAAATATTGTAATCTGTAGGAAGTTTTTAGTAGTATGTAATTTTTTTTTTTTTAGAAATGCAATATGAAAACATCTTGTTGGAATGAAAAACCTTCAAATCACCCGAGCATTTGGAATGAGGGATATAGCAAATATTTAGACGATACAACACCTTGGTTGAAAAATATTAAAAAATTAGAACCTATAATATCTGTACCGCAGACAAGAATGAAAAAGAAAGTTGTTAATTTAGTTAGTAAATATGTACCAGAAACACAAGATATAAGGTAAGTTTGTACATTTTTTCCTTCGTGTTTTTTTATGTACTACATTGATTTTTTTTCCAGCTTAACAATAGAAACATTAAGTAACATGTACTGTGAGCCGTCGCCAAAAAAACAAAAAATTAACCTCGCTGCCGATTCTGTGGTAGAGACAGAAAGTCAAAAAATACATAACATTGCGCTAACAGAAGACGAAATTTTAGATGAAAAAATTGAACAAAACAAAAAGTCACCTATATTAGAAAGCAGAAAACGTTATAATAGAAAATTCTTAAATAATAGCAGTTTTTCAGTTTTAAAACGTTTGAGTAAATTTCCAAGGACCGTTTTAGGAGATAATATTATTGAAAGCAAGTTTTTTAATACAAATAGTACTGATAATAACACGAAAGATATATTGGAAGAATCGCCAAAATCCCAAAGTGTAGAAAAAAATCAAACTGATGTATTAAATAATGCAATAGAAATTGACACACAATGTTCAGAAATACCGAATTCTTTAAAAGAAAATTCACCATTTTCAAGTCCTGTCAAATGCAAGAAAAGTCCAATTCTCGAGCCGAGGTATAAGAATAGAAATCCTTTTAAGAAAAAAGAAGAAACTCAACTAAGTTACAGTTTAAGTGACGACTCTGTTATAGATAATACATATCCTATGGAGAACTTAGTGACTCCTGTCGATACGCAGGTAATTTATAGTTTTCACTACTAAAAATACACCAAGATCTAATTTAAAAAATATCTAAGTGAATTTTTTTTTAGATGCAACATTTTTTTCATTTTTTGTCAAATTTGAAATTAACTATGATGTATTTTTATTTTGTTTTATGCTAAGTTTATCCGATCATTTAAACATTGCTATTAAGACATCTGAAATAATTTGTTTTTTTTTAAACTAAAAAAATATGTTTTTTTTTTTAAAAAGGAATCATTTGGTGACTCCCAACCTCAAATATCTTCACCTATCAGTCTGGATAAATATAAAATGAGTACAAAAGAAACACATAATGGTTTGAATTGTATGAAAAAAAGTAAAATAACAGGATTGAAGCGGACTGCATCTTTACCGAGCAATCAGCCAACTTTGTTGAGCAAGTTTGGCTTCCAGAAGAAGTAAGTATATCTATTTTAAATATTACTTTGCGATAATATCTACAGAACCTCGATAACTCCAACCTCAGTAACTTAAAAACCTCTATAACTTCAAAAAATAATATGTTCCTAGTCGGTGCCGTCACCGAAAGCTAAAAGCGTGAGTTGAGCCGTTTTTAATAAATTTTAGCTTATAATATGTTCCCTTCGCATCAGAGGTTAAAACCTCTACAACATAGACCCTTGATAATAAAACCTCTATAACTTAAAATATTTTGTGTTTCCCTTGTACTTTAACTTATCGAGCTTCTTCTGTATTTATGTATATAGGACTAACTTGCCCGCGACTTTGTCATGAAATTAAAAATTACATCCTATGTCACCGTTACCATAGCTTTTAAATGGTGAAATAATTTTTAATATCGGCTCAGTAGTTTTTGAGTTATTTCAATACATACAAAAATACGATATTTTGCTCTTTATAATATCGGGATAGACTGACAACAACTATGTTAAAAGATATACGGTGGTTGTCTTAGTTCAAAAGCCAAATTCAAATATATTTCACTAGCTTTCTCCCGTGACTCCGTCCGCGTGTAATTAAAAAAAAAACAAAAGTAGCCTATGTGTTCTTTCACACTATCCTCTACGTCATTGTCAAATTTCATCGAGATCTGTCCAGCCGTTTTGCTACAAACACTGACAAACATCCATCTATCCAAACATTCGCATTTATATTAGTAAGAAGTACGATTAAGAAAAAAGAATTAGAAAAACAAACTTTGTGCAAACTACTACTTATTTAATATTCGATCTTGTAAAAAATTCTCAAAAAAAATCGTTTTCATAAATGTGTACATTTTGCAGCTGTTTTAAAAATTATATTATATTTTTTTTTCCAGACCAGTGTTGAAGAAATAGAATTAAGTATTAAAAATAATTTGTTGTATTTCAATTACTGTTTAAATGATAATACCAATGACTTTGTACAGTGTACAAAAAAGTTTTCTTATAAAAAATTTTTTCGTTTTTTTTACAACCAACTAAATAAAAAGCAAAGAAATTTCAAATAAAGGATATGTATTATTGCCATTTTATTACAATTTATTAAAGATATAAGTGTTTCGTATTAAAATTATGTGTGAATTTATTACATATTATGTATTATGTATAGATTGAATCTACCTCTTTAATGTAACTGCCATTTTTATTACTAAAAATTTATTAAAATGAATAATTTTGGTCTGATTAGTTTCTTAGTAATAAGTATTCCCTAACCTTGAAAGTATCAATTACCTCGATTTTTGTCTCGATTTATAGCATTTTTAAATGTTTTTGTCATCGCTACTTTTACAAAAATAACTAATGGTTAAATTGAAATTGTAAAAAATTCCATGAGTTTGAGACATGATATTGTTATTTCGTTACTAAGCTTTTCATTTATTTAAAAAAAAAACTGCATTTATGAAATAATTTCAATATTGAACTGTGTACTTTATTTATATAACAATCTCAATATTCAAGTTAAAACTGCGATTATAATAAAAACTGTTTTTCTTTGCTGCAGCTTTTTTTTTTTTCAATTTTTCTACCATGATAAATGTGTAAATTTGATTTGACCTGAGATTCCTCATATAGATTAAGCGAAAATGTGATTTATAGAATAAATAAATGTGAATTATGTTGTTTAAATTGTTTTATTTAAAAAAAAAATCATATTACTAATATGTATTTGTCCAAGTATTCCGGCAGTGGAAAACCTCTGATAGTATTTTTCCATTAAAAGAAGAGCTAATTATTTTTAATTAAAACAAGTATTACCTTGACAAAGTGTTCTTGTCGCACCACTTAAGATAATTTACTTTTTTGCATTATAAAATTGTCTCCGAGCCGTAAAATGGACGAAAAAAGTATTTCACCTTGCGCAATTACATCATAGACTAATTGGCAAGATATTTCGACTTTAAAAAAAAAAGAATAAATTGGTGTTTTTATTCACGGAAATAAATTATCTGTGGACATTTAGCATCTATAATCCTTTACATTTAAAATAATAAACGGCATTTTTTTAATTATAAAGGCACCGATGGCACCTGGTTCGTAATATTCTAAAATATTAATTACATCAGCCTTTGCGTTGGCACGCGGGTGTTTAGATCTTTATTAAGTGGCACGATTCATTTGGTGGCGCAATGTAGATAGATTAATGAGTTTGTTTAAAGTAAGGTGCGCCTAATTATTTTGGGTTTATGCAAGATAGAAATTTACCTAAATTTTTGTAGACACTTTTAACTGTGCTTAATTCTTCACATGCTTAAAAGTTTAAGAAAACAAATAAGTAATGTGGTCATTTTCTTCACAACGTGATTGTAATTCATTTTGTTTTATAAATAAGTTTACTTGATAGGCATCTGAGATGAAGCGTCAGTGTAGGCAGTTAGTCTTTCTGTTACCCCGTGTTTCTGCAATCTTCAGTTCTATTTAAATTCTGTGGTTTTCATGTGAAATATTCAAACATTAATGTTACACTGTTAAAATGGAGATCTTTATTAAGTGGTATAATTTGTTTTCAGCAAGTCGGGTTCTGTATAAATGGATATAATGAGAGAAAATTTAAATTGTTGGGGTATTTTTAAAGAAACTATAATTTAATTTCTTAAACACGAAATGCTAGGTTTTTTGTTGTCGTAATTAATAGTAGATAATTCATAAATTTGCTAAATTAAAAAAATAAAACATTGTCCTTTTTTAACATAAAACATCTTCGTATTTGGGCTTAGGACGTAAATAATTAAATATGATTCATAGCACAATAGATTAGAGTGGAGGGTAGGATGGTCTGTTTAAATCATCGGCTAATCCCATTTCGGTGGCCATATTGGCTTTCATCCGTTCCCGCGCTATAATCCTGCCATAAATTATCGTTTGTCTATACTTTCGCAAGGAAAGCAATCACGGCAACTAATTCAAACGTCAATTTGAATAAAATTAACTGTCTTGTGAAACAATACCTTCATTGTTGTGCCACTGCACTGCTTGTTTTACTTCTGCAACTAAACATAACCTAAGTGCGTCGGGGGCTCAGGGGTTTGAGCACTTGACTTGTAATCTACAGATATTAGGTTTGAATCTCGCTCTACCAATGGGGTTTTCGAATTATATATGTCCTTATTGTACCCCGACAGTGTTATGGTGAAGGGAAACATCGTGATGCCTGCACATATCGGCGTAAAAATTTTAGATATGTGTGAAGTCAAGCAATCCTTGGCCAGCGTGGTTGACTATGGCCTAGTCACCCCTTATTTAGGGTAGGCTCCGAGCACCTTATTACAATAAGCTGGTGATGATGATAATCTAAGATGAAGTTATGTTTATATCATAATTGTCTTTTATCATTAGAGATTATATCGGTACTGTTTGCAAATGTAATATAGATAATTATTTTCGAATTATAAATTTGTATAAGTAAAGAACAATAACAGTAAGTTAAAACAAAGCAGAAAACCTAATTAAGATAATGACACGTAATCAAAATAATCTAATTTTTACATAAATAACGTACACGAGGGAGGTCGTAATTTCGTGTTTACATACGAAACCCGAAGACCCTCGTTAAAAGACGTAATAAACCGTAAAGCTTTTCTGATAAGATAAATTTTGTTTAACTTTTGTAGCATTGATAATTATCGTATGAATAGACATGTATTATTCCACAAGTGACAGAATAATTTGTTTTTGCAATGGACCAACACCGTCAGGATAGAAATTAATGTAAATGTATTTGTAGATAGAACAAGGAGAACTTTAGTTATGAGTGTGGAACACCACTAGAGGTAGAAAGAGATGGATGGATTGCGTGAAAGATGATATCAAGAAGGGAGTGATGACTGAAATGACGTATGATTTAGTTTTGTGGAGAACAAAAACCTTCTCCGCCACTACGGGAATAGGATAAAGATGATAATGATTTTTTTATAGATACTTAACCTTAAATCATTAGATTTTTTTATAAACTAGATTTTATTTGTTTATGGTTATTTTAAGGCACATTCAAGTTGAATGACAATTTAATAATTCAGTATAAATTGGGAGTTCTCAGTACGATTGTGTGAATATTCATTACTGTTTAAGTCGCGACATCGACGTTTCTCATCGAATTTGCACCTCATTTTCTGCATCAATTGATTAGGTTTTATTCAATCCGTCAGTCTATGGTAATTTAATTTATATTACCACTTATTCTTTGGTAATTATTTTTTTAATATTGGTTTATGGTACGTATATTTTTAAATCTAAGTTAGATAATTATGCTCTTATTTCAAGACATTTTAATTGTGTTAACTTTAATCGTTAATTAAAAATTTAAGACGCTTCACCTCGATACGTTAACCATAATAAAACAAAGACGAAGTAAACAATATTTAATCAGGTCTCGTTCCGCGGTAATTATAAGCGAAACATATTACAGAAGCTTGAATAATGAAAACTTTGGCCACGTTAATCGGATAACTTTGCCGAAAATTGTAAATTAACTTTACAAAACAAAGAAACAGGGCTGTCGAAATACAAAAATTATATTGTTTTGAATTTATAAGATACAGTTAGTACCTTTCATTGGTTGGTCGGAAAGTGTTTGTCCGTACAAATGACGGAATCACGCAATTTTTCATGGCACACTAACGTTGCGTTAATACACACTGAATAAATACTCAAATAGTGACTTTCGGTTCCTCCCCAAGAAAGGTTCGCAAAATAATAATAATTCTACATGGGATCGTATCATAGAAAGGTTGAAATACTCTCATTTTAACATTTGACATAAAACTACATAACCTAAAATTGATAGAAAACTATTACAAAACACAGAAGATCGTTTGTAATTTAAATTGTGGCAAATAAAGAAAATAATATCTCCATATCCACATGTTGTTTTATGTAAATAAATTCTTTAGACGAACGAATACAAACACAGCGGTGAAAGAAAATTTGACGGCTTTTGAACTTAGCCCCAGCTCTTATATTAAAATGTACGCCAAATACTTATTCATTTGTGGAAGAATTCAGTTTCAATTCATTCAATTCTTTTGGAATTTATAGAGAATATTTTTTTTCATATATGAATAAGACCATTATTATTCGTAGTTTTCTCAAGTCAAATGTTTTTTTCTTTTAATTTTTTTTCTAAAAGTTCTGAGTAGTTTTTTCCGAATGGTGGGTGATTTTTTTGTCAAATTACAACAAAGATTACGAATGAATATTTAAAGAGGCAAAATATGGTGTCAAACGAAAGTCGCGTCAGGAGTAAAATACTTTTTAATAACATTGTTCGCTTCTCTGCTACTTTTTATCGTGTTTTTTTGTCGTGTACGAAGAAAATTACAATACATTTGCAAAGCTCGCTTTGTTATTTGAGTAAATTACTTTGGAAAGACAAATTACTTTTCTTTCGATAAGAAATCTTGTACAATCTTTATTTATTAAAGATAAATACCAAGTCGTTGTAGATTTACGCGAGAATACTCGGTTTTTCTACAATTTATGTTTATTTTTATGTATGGAAAATACCAGACAAGGCTTACAATGTTTACATATTTCAAACTTTTATATACAACTAGCGTTTGCCCGCGACTCCGTTTGCGTGGAATTTAAAAACATTAAGTAGTCTATGTGGTAATCCAGATTATCGTCTACAGCTGTGGCAAATTTCATCAAAATCCGTTCAGCCGTTTAGTCTACAAACTCTAACAAACATTCGTTCACACTTTCACATTTATAATCACTAGTATGACTATTGTATAATTATAAATCTACTTAATAGTAATTGAAAGAATAACATAATGAGTTTGTTTAAATGAGTTGCAAGGCGGAGATTCTAAAAACGAGGAAAGCCGTTTATATTTATAAAGTTTAATACTGGTCGAATCAACTGCTTGTAGGCAATAAAAAATATATAACATTTACCTATTTCATTGTGGAGTACATTTAAAAAATCAATTTAAAAACAGAGATAACATTTTAAAGGTACTTTTAGCAATGGAAATTCGCTGTTAAACTTTGATGAGATAGATGCGGGGTTTATTAATTCTGATCACGTCCATATCTAATATAAGCACCTGTCTAATCCTATTATCTTACACCGGCCGTCCGCTAATGTGTCAATGAATACGTATTGCGAAACGTTATACAACACCTAGTCTTCTACGTGAGATTGAACGTTGGTGTGGTACACCGGTAGAGGTAGACATAGAAAGAGAGGATTTTTTTTATATAATTTAAGATGGGATACGAGCAAGCGGCCACGTGAATCCACCGATATGGAAAGCGACCGCTGCCCATAAACATCCGCAATTGCAGATGCGTTGCCTACCCTTAATTGACGGATGAGGAGACGCACATAAAGAGGACATTTCCCCTTCCTATGCAGACGCATGAGGAGACCCTCCACTGTCAAATCCACTTTTCCTTTCCATCCTTTCCTCTTAAGAAAAGGGTGGAAAGGGAAAGGGTCTAAAATTAGGCCTCCGGCACCGCACTCATCAGACGAAACGCGGAATTGCTTCCACTTCACGCCTATTTTGTGTGTGGTCGTGGTATTACACCGGGTGAGCCGGCATATTCGAATTTATATGAAGGGAGTGGTGACTGAGATGACGTATGATAGAGTTATGTTGAGGGCTAAAACCCGTTGCGCCACTACGGGAGTAGGAAAGGAGGAAGATAATGTCTTCTACGTGATATTGTGTTATAGCTTTATTGAAAAAGGTTTAGATACATTTGACAATACAAAAGCGATATCTTATCTCTACTGGGACTCTTCCCGGCAGACTAAACTTTACGGGACGATAGTTTGATAGGGTGACATAAGATTTGGCAAAAGAAAAAAGTTATTAAAAATTTAGGAATCTTGTAAATAATTGTTTGAAAATTCAGGTTTCTTTACATGTTATCTCCAGTGTATGTCGATATCAAATTGAAGGTAAATAAATGACGCCCGTTAAAAGTCTATAGTTTGCTGGGATACTTGAAGCAAAGACATATTTGGATTTATCTAGTTTCAGAAAATTTAGAAAAATTTAACAGCGGATACACTTTGTGTTAAAATATCTTTTTTTATATAAAAACGGAGATGTGACAGCATATATTTATAGAATGTTAGGACAAATTCTACAGTTATACAAATAAATCTGGTACAAAGAAAATACACATAAGAGGTTGTTTATCATTACAAAACAGTATGCTTTCGGCTCGAGAGTAAACATAGGTTGTTAGCGAGGGATGTAAATAGGACTGCCACTTCGGTTTAGCATAGTGCATTTAGGGTTCTTTTTGACAAGATCTTCAAAAAGTATTATTTCGTCGTCTGTTAAAGAGTATTAGTAAGTTAGTGCCAGTCGGCCTTCATCAAGGAACGTCAGTGTTGCTAGACGTAGCTAAAATTTATTTTAAAATCGGTCTGGATTCTGTAAAAAACTGCGCGTGTTTAAAGTAGACACTACTTTTTTGTCGATGTTTTTTTTATCATTTATAAGTCAGCGTTTTTTGAGGCAGCCCTAAACATAAGTGTAATAGTTTATGGCGCATGAAGTGGTCTGTACGGATTTACGATAATGTTAAGTTTTGTCTGAAGCATTGCTGTAACTTGTACCATGCTCGTATTGTTTATTGTTCTACTTGGTTATATTGTTATTACGACCACAGACTAATTAGGACGTAGACAATAAAGAAAAATACGTTATACTATGCATGTGTAAATACAGATTAAAGTGTAGGTTAACGGAAGTTCGAATGCATTTAAATTTAATTTAACTTGTCCCAACTTGTGTGAATTCCAGAGTTAATTTGAATATTCTCATCTTAGCGTGTAATTAAAATCTACCTCGCTACAATGAGTTTCAATCGAGTTTGTTTATTGGTTAACAATTAATGCCTGTAAGATTTGAAATGAGTTAGTCTATAGATTAATTTAAGCATTTATTCTGTGTGCTATATTTAAAAATGTGTTAAAACCCCAATTCTATGGTTACTTTATATAGAGTGAAAAAAAACAAGCATTGTCTATGGTCTCACATAAATTTATTTCATCATATACATTATGTATAATTTTGCGAATCCACTGTGTCCCGAGACGCAGCGCGGGATATCTTTACAAAACAATCTTCTACGTACCTACAGGATATAACCGCACACCGCCCTACCCGCTACCCGCCGACACCTAGCCACTAGCTACTAGCCACTAGCAGCTAGCCGCGGCGAGTCAACAAACACACAATTGCACTAAAATACACATATATATTTAAAGCTATGCCGCTTTATATGCATTTAAATTGTTGGCAAATCATTAACGCAATATGGCGAGATTTTACAATTTCTGATTTATTTGTACTTATCAATAAAAAGAGGTACACATAAGGTAATTTGTTCATTTGTAATACATTGAAAAATAATTAAAAACAAAACAATTTAAACTGTACATTGATTTGATACATAAAAAGCGAACAAAGATCATTGTCAAGTATTTTTACATTTCATTATTATCTAGATGCACACAATTATAGTAAGAGAAACACAAAGAAATTAGAATATCAGTCTTTTACATTCAAAAAAACGTAACAATACAATGGAAAGGAACATGAAATAATGAAAATACAGATTAAAAAGAAACTTTTGTACTAAAACAATGGAATTATTTCTTACAGCACCTTCGTATGGCATGTCACATTAAAACATAATTTTAGGGATGATCGATGACAGTTAAAAAATAAAAAAAAATCACAAAAAAAAAAAAACTAATCTTGTATCAAACGCAAAAATATAAATCTAAAAATCATATTGTTAAATTGCCTTTATCTTATTAATAAACGTTCATGTGTGGATTGACGTTTTTAAAACATCGATCGCCCCTAGTTCTTTAAAAACTATGAATAAAAACCTACATTCAACTGCATGGATTTAAATAAATGAATCAAACAATTTAAGACATCAAATAAACAGACTTGAATGTTATATTACAAATGTTTGCTATTAAATGATTCAATAAACACAAATTCAAAATCTTAGCTTAAATTTATTTGTACAAGAGATCGGTAATGTGCGTAAAGCGCTCAGGCAAATTCACGATGTTTTAAATGTTCAATTAAATATACAAAATTGTGTAAAAAAATTAAATGAAACATAAAATATAATTAAAAAGGAATGAATGAAATAAAGCTGGCTGGAAGTATTAGCTAAGAAAGCCCGTTCTTTGTTACGGTCCCCGGCTACACGATTCAACGAGAATTAAATTTTCGCTATCAATTTAACAATATTCCCATTATTACTACATACGTACGTTTAATCGATAAATTTAAAATTCCATTACATCTAAGTGACACGATTGGCAGTAACGATTCAACGAAAGTTTTTTTTAATCGTGAATCTATTTTGAAATTCAGAATATGTCTATAAATCGGCGATCCCGAATGCAGAGAAAGTTACATTTTGTAATTGAACAATTAAAAAAAAGATTTAAAATCGATTGAGCTCACATCGAATTGAGTGTTTGTCTATAGTTATATTGTCAATGGTTCGTTTAAGTAAAAAAAAAACATACAGACGAATTGAGTACCTCCTTCTTTTGGGAAGTTGGTAAAAAATAATACGATTGGATGTATGGCGTAAATATTTAGTAAATTGATACATTTCATAATATTTCCACGCATTTGCAAATCATTTTAACAGGTAAACATTCAAATATGTGTTCAATATTTAAGTTAACTCGCAAGTTCGTTCTCGTTCCGCAGACCGCGACGTATTCCCTAACTTACTAAGTTAAAAGCTCAACTTTAACTTATAAGTAGATCGATACAAGTAGGTATATTGTATAAAACGAGTGGAAAACCTAAAAATCTTATACGATACTAGGCAAAGGGATTATTGTAAAAGATTAAATAACGTACTACACTTAAAGATAGCTTAATTATTGTGATGAAGGGGCATACGAAACTGCATAAAACTGCTTCATAATCTATTAAAAAGTAAATACTTAAAAGAAAATACATCGCAAACGTGACTCGAAATCTCATCGCCATATGCCAAACAGATTCGCTTCTCGAATTCTCAATTCGATTGGATGCGAGCAACGAGCGCCGCTCGCATCGCGCCGTCTTACCAAATAGTACACAGACAAAAAACATTTTATCTACCTAAATATAGATATGTTATCGAATCACCTTCATCTCTAAAGCAGGCAGTGATCACTAAAATATCGCACTTAACCTAATTACCGAAATGTAGATCTGTAGATTTAAATTATCTGTGTTACTCTGGTCGCGATGTAAAAAAAAACCTAACTTCTGTCATTGTCATCGTAAATGTCAAATAGCAACTCAAAATTAGGAAGAGCTGTCAAAATAATATAGCAATCCGTTAATAACGTTAACAAGTTGTTTTCGGTTAACGGTTTTAGCGTGTTTTATAGCGGGGAAAAATAACTATTTACATAACACCGTTACAACTACGCATAGGACTGACACATTGTATTCACACGACACAGCCGATTCGTCTATAAGTTGGTTGCAATATGACACGATTCACCACAATTTACACTAAACGTACATCCGATATGAAAAATAAATTTTCTAATTACAGCTGCAATAACTATTTATAAATTTACATTTGCATCGCTTATAGGTGACGATCGGAGTTGGAAATTACATCGCATAGTTTTTAAACTTCCCTAAGCGCACTGACCACACACTAATTATGAAATTCAATAGCAAATCATAATTTCAATGGCATTACGATAGTTTCTTTTAATAGTTTTCTTTTTGTATAACATTTTATTTAACGTTACGTTAACTGTTAGATGTAATTTAGTAACGCTATAACTGTTAACGACATAGCGTTAACATTTTAAATAACGTATCAATACAGAAAAAAAAAACGAAAGTTGATATAGTGATATTTTTGCATTTATGAGATATAATAAAAATGTACTTTTAAATTGTCATTTATGTACTTCATTTTTTTAATAGTTTTTTTTTATCTATATTGATACTAATATTTAAATAAATATTTTGATAAATTGTCAGTATCGAGAGATGAATAAGCCATATCTGTATAAGGCTACCGTAAGATGGGATTCTATATAGAATAATATTTACCCTTTCGTCTCACAATCATAATTATGGTCAAAATGATAAAATTTACATCATAAGTTTCTTTCTCTAGGCACTGGTACATATTTAGCTTCAATGTATATAATATTTAACGTTAGCTGCGAAAACGGTTATAATATTTTCTATATCGAAGGTAACATCACTACGCTACAACCTACGTGGACCTGTCAATGTCAATAAAAATACTTTCATCATAAAATAACAAAAAAAAATGATATTTACTATAAAAGGTATACTAAGATTCAAATACATAAGTAGACAAAAAAATCAATGATTTCACGATAATTTTATAGTAAGGGTTTAAAAATATTATTGTCATTTGCTATGATTGGTTTGTCGGAAAATGGTTTTAGAACTATAGGCGTTTATTTGATAACTACAGTCTATTTACGTATTTAAATCTTGTTAATTACACAATTTAACATCAAACAGGGTACTGTCAATTGTACTAGCTGTCAAAACAAGCTGTCATATGTCAAGGTTAAGTACACAAAAAGGAAATAAAGTGCGACAAGGTCCGCTAGATGTGTTAGAGGAGTATGTCCGCGCGTCAGTTGACGTAGTGGTCGAAGGAGCCGAGGTACTCCAGCGCCGCGCGGTAACAGAACTCGTACTGATCCTAAAAAAATACCAACAGTTAGTATTTTTAGGAGCTCGGAGCCTACTCTATGGTATGTTAGGGTGACCCGGACATACTCAATCCACGCTCACTGCGGGTTGACTTGACATATTTTTAAATTTCTTCGCCGATATGTGCATCACGGTGTTTTCCGTCACCGTAACGTCGGGTAAATTATGTACATATGAAATTGGAAAATCACATTGGTACAACGGGATTCGAACCCAAGACATAATATAAGTCAAGTGCTTAAACCCCTAAATCGACGCTCTGCTTAAATACAAGTATTATTAAATTTTTATCTTCAAGCGTTGAAAGTGTTGAAGCATTAAAAAAAATTGCAAAATTGCAATTCCCACTTACAATACATGTGTATATGCTTTGCGAGAATAGTGGAATGGTAGTAAATAGGTTGGACTGACCTCTGTCTGCACCATGGCGGGGCGCTGCGTGCGCAGCGTGCGTACGGTCTGGAACACGTCCAGTACGCCCTCGTACTGCATGCGCTCCAACACCGTCGATAGCGTGATGAACACGCCCGTGCGGCCCACGCCCGCGCTACACACACAATCAACAACCCCTTACATATATATTTAATATAATAAAGCGTAAACACACACTACTTTGTAGCGCAGGATGTCAGCAATCACAGCATATTTTTGAATAATTCTTTCTTTAACAAAAAGTCCTACACTAACGCTTTAGGCTATATTAAGTATATTAAACTTGGGGGTAAATATTATGAGTAAGGAATTAAGGAAGCAAGGTTGCCATGGTTGCCATGGTTTCTCATCTTGTTATCTCATTTTGACATTTGCTGTTGATAATTTGACATATGTAAAAAATAAAGTAAAATCTTCATAATTTCATGCGGATGAAGCCGCACGGGAACAGCTAGTATTAAATACCATTAAATAATGTTAATAGTACAACACTCTTGGTCCGAAAAGAAAAAAGTATACAATAGTTGTGAGAGCTGACCTGCAATGCACAGTGATGGGACCGTCCTGGCCGAACTGCTCCTTGGTCTTGTGCACCTGTCCTAGGAAGTCGATGAAGCCCTCGCCGCTCTTGGGCACGCCTTGCTCAGGCCAGTCCGTGAACTGGAACTGGCGCACTGTCCTCGACGCCCCGTCTCGAGCGTCTGTCACCTGTGTGACACGACACAACCTATCACCTTACAGTGCTAGAACTTCTTTGTGACAAATGACACATTTACACAAAAACCTTGTGTAATTGTTTAATTGTGTAATTTATAATGTACCTTGAATTCCCTCAAGATATACTGAGGCATGTTATACTCGGCGATCGGGTCGACTACGAAACATTGGTAGCGCACAGAGCGGTCAGACGGCCAGTACTGATGACATTTCTCCTAAAAAATACACACAAAAATTATTTAATCTCCCCACAAGTGATGGTAAATAATGAAAGGTAAATATATACTCACGCGTCCCATTTCTTTCAATTTGGTCAGCATAACGATAATCGTTGAGTTATGCTCCCAAAGCATCCGCCAGAAGTCATCGGTGGTGTCGGGCAACGGTCCTTGAGTGGCGATGTATGCGGCTCTGTACCGGTAGCCGTCGACAAAGGACGCATTGATGTAGTCGGAGCCATCACGGGGCGTGAGACACACGCGGGTCGATTCGAACGGCAATATGTGGACCAGCCTGTTCTTGTGCTTGTTGCACGGCAGACTGGCGGACACGAAGCGACTCGAGTCAGCCTTCATATTAGCCAGCTTCTTAAATTCCAACTCCATTCCATTGATATTCTCGATGGTATCGACACGCATTAACTTCTGAATGTGCGCGTGCAAGTTACGAGCGGGCACTTCTGTGTCACCGCAAATGACAGCCTCTAGGAGTGCGTCGTGAATGAAGATGTACTGGTCTTCGGTTTGCACCATATAGTTGCGTTGAGCGCGGAGACAAGTTACGTGGCCGTAGATGTCTACGGTGCGTTCGTGGCGCGCTCTTTCCAGCATGGAGTCGATCACTATGAAGCAACCGGTGCGGCCAACTCCGGCGGAGCAGTGCACCACCAAGGGACCGGCGTCGGGAGGGTTCAGTGCACGGACACGGCGTAGGAACTGTAAGAAGGGCGCCGGGTGATCGGGGACACCGTGGTCGGGCCAAGCGGTGAACTGAAGTTGCTTGATTTCCCTTCGTTCAGTTCCACCGTTCCGTGAGATTTGGAATGTACGAATGCAGTAAGTCGCCAACTCTTGAACTTCCGCAATGGTTACAGTCATCATGCCGTAAGTTTCGCTGCCTCTGCTGGGCCAGTACTGATCACATTTAATTCTAGTTCGTTCTTCAAGCTTAGTCATCATAACAATAGTAGCAGTCCGTAACTCCCAGCACATTCGCCAGAAATCGACCAAGGTTTCTTGTAGAGGACCTTGAGTGGCCACGTACGCATTGTGTTTTCGATAGCCATCGCAGTAGTTTGCATTAATATAGTCGCTTCCGAGTATACCATCGATAGGCTGCAGAATAACACGGCTATGGTCGTAGGCGATAACGTTAGCGTACCGGTTCTTAGGTTTATTGACCTCCATGTTCGAATGATCCCATGTAAACTGCTGACCCGGTTCGATGCTTTCGTATTCTTGAGAAAACTTCATATTATCGTTGGCTTTAAGCCTGTCAATGTGATCTGCAAGTTCAGATATCGGTATTGGTGGATGAGAAATCATCGCCGGTGTTTGGAAATTAAGTCGTCTCATCTCGACTGGATCCGAGGGTGCTCCGAATCCAACGTCAGCTGACATTAGAGGTCTGGTGACCGCAGCCTGGTCGGGTGTCTTACACGGCTGACGGCGTCTCTTCATTATGAATAACATAACCAAGCAGAGTGAAAGCATCAAAGCTGCGATGATTGGTCCGATTACCCATAACATGCCAGCTTCTTTCCTGTTCTCTTCAATTCTTATTTCCGGATCACCGTTTATATCTTTGGGGTCGGGTCGGCTAGGTTCTTCGCCAGGAGGTGCTCCACGCATGTCCAAAGACAGATATTCCGAAAATGGACTAGAGGTGTAAAGATGTTTTTGTGGCGTATCGACAACCGCTCGGACAAATACCCTGTACTTTTTGTTAGGGTTTAATTTCTTGTTGAGAAAACCTTCGTATGACTCATTATTACCTAGGTGGAAAGTATATAAAATATTCCTTTGTAAGAACTTAGCGGCGATATATGGAGCATTTTCATCATCTATTCTTGCATTGTTTCTTATTAAATCTTCTGTTAAGAACTGATCGGGATGTTTGTGATTGTGTATTTTATCATCGGGGACGACAACTAGATAATAATGTGAAATAGGACCGTATTCTTCCGAAGCTTGGGGAAGAATAACCAATATTTCATTTTCAACAACACCATAAAAATCCGGTTTCACCATTGGTTTTGGTGCGGCCATTTGCGTCGTTACTGTTATTTTAGTTGGCGGTCTGTATGAATCGTCGTTAGGGATAGCACTGACATTCACATTATACGTCGTAAATGGCGAGAGATCGTTAATAGAATGTGATGTTTTGTCGTGCTTAATAATTATCTCCCTTTTAGGTATCTCTTGTGTTTGAGTCATCCCTAGAGAGTCGACAAACTCTTTGATTGCATTGTACGAAATCTTATAGCTTACAGGATTTAAGCGTAGAGGTGGTGACCATGAGAGGGTCATCGAGTGTGTAGATACATCCTGAGCCCTTAGATGTAGAGGCACTTCTTCGGGCCGGACTTTAACAGTAACCTTTTCTGATAGTCTCCCTAATCCATCGGCCGTTTTCGTTGCTACAGCGACGGCATATTCCGCGAATTTCTCCAAGTTTTCTATATCAGCAGAATGTGTAACGTGAACAGTTTTCTGCTGCCATTCATCTAAATCTTCAACGGGTGTCATCGTGTAGAAAATGGAATATCCTATAACTTTTCGCCTCGATGGCACCGTTTCCCACCAGACCTCAATACCAGATTCAGATGTGGCTACAGCTTTGACCGACATGGGCGCCCTTCCGATATCCCTTTCAGTATGAACTGTAATATCTTTACTGTATGGTCCGGGACCTTGGTCTGTATACGCTCTTACTTTGAAAACATAATGAGCATCTTCTTCTAAGCCGGTAAAAACTGCTTTAGTCGTTTCCTTTGTTTTCTCTACGAGTGACGATTGATCACCTTTTTTGTAAAATTGAATGTCATATTTTTTGATTTGGCCGCTTCTGTCTGCTCTAATAGGAGGCTCCCATGTCACACTGATAATGTCAGGTGTTTGAAAATGATAAGTTACATTGGTCGGTGGGCCCTTCGGCGCCCCTTCCGGAGTGAGCCAATATTTGATATTTTCTTGTCCGTAGCCGATATGGTTCCTTCCGGCCAATCTGAATTCATACTGGACACCTCTCTCCAGATCAGTTAATCTATGAGCGTTGACGTTTATTCCAAAATTCTCTTCTAGTGTTTTTTGATTTTTTATTCCGTATTTCAATCGATAACCTTGCAGTTCACCGTATGTTTGTGTCGGTTTGGTCCATTCTAGCTCAATAGAGACAATCGGCTCACGTTCCAGTACCCTTAAAAAATAAAGTAACAGTTACTCAGAGGACTAACGTTTGGAAAGAACCAAAACAGACGAAAGCTACAGTTATTAGAAATGTATTAGTAAATGAGATTAGAACTGACTTAAGGTTAACAGTAGGCTTATTGGGAACGCCGCCAGGAGTTTTGATGGTGACCGGCGGGCTTCTGTCGCCGTCGCCCTTGCGGGTGACAGCGGCGACTTGCACGGTGTACCTCGTGTCAGGTTGCAAGCCTGTCACGTTTAGCTCCAATATCGTATCATCCATCACGTTGTACCGCATTGGCTCGTTTAACAAAGATTTGCTCTGCAATATGAAGGAAACTTTTATATTTGATTTTTCTGAAAATATAAAAGTAAACGTTTTTAAATCTTTTCTTACCTCTTCTCGAATCTCTTGGACATGGACATGATAGCCTCTTATGATACCGTTCTTTTCCTTCTCCTGCGGCGGTTTCCAAGTTACGTGCACCGCAGTTGAGTTGATAGTGGTCACCTTCACGTCTTGCGGCTCTCCAGGCACTGTAATATCACCAATTGTATTTTAACCTCTGCACCGTACCATTTAATAAACTTCGACCTAAATTCCCTATCAGCATCTACGGAAACGTGCTAGAGAAAACTCTACTCAAGCAATTTAAATTCAAGGGATTAAGCGTTTGCGTTAAAGGTTTCTCTTCGGAAAGCTTGGCGTAATTTCGAAAACTAAATTACCGAAGTTGTGTCCGTAACCGTCGTCTGCAATGCTGATAGAGTATTTAGGTCTCCGGCGTGTATCTAATCACACCTTTCAGCATCTCGATCGGGCATTTGAATACCAACACACACACTGATACATTTAACGCCCTTTTACATCACCAAAACAATTAAAATCAATTACCTTCCAATCCATATCGTTTGGATTGACTAAAGTCGTTAAGCTTTTACAAAGAATCAACATTTAGTAAGTTTATCTATTAGTATATAAGCGGCAATTCTATGTCTAGTTGTTTCTTTACAGGCTGCAAGGGAATCATGCTTCAGGAAATAGACTTGGGTGGCGACAAAGCTAAAGTTGGGTTTATAACACGCCAAGTCAGTTCCGAGCAGGTAAAGTGGCATAGACATGCGTCTTTAACCTCTTGCAGATTGTTCCAGAGTTTAATAACGCGAGGAAGTACTAACTAAGTAAAGCTTAGGCACAAGCACAAATGCACATAAATACAAGCACTATAGTAATTTATACTCACTCCTCAGGGCTGTACGGGTTACCAGCGGCCCATACAAAGTCAGTGACGAGAGAAAAAAAGAGAAAAACGCATTCAAATATATTTAAGACAAATTGTGCGTACATTGCAGGGCGAACGGAACTACTCAGTGAGAGATTACGAGTAGAACGCCTGTAGGCAATATGGAGGAATTCTTATTTCACATCCTTATGTTCGTTGAGCTCTTTAGGAGGCGCGTTCCGGTTAATCGGCTTGTGACGCCGGCGTCTCGCTGCTCAGGCCTGCCTCGCCTTTTCCTGTTACAGCCATTTAGAGAGTACTAAAGATACTTCATGCTATTACGATCGAGATCTCAAAAAACACCGTAGTATATTCTCTGAATTATTTGTTGTATTTGTATCGAATATGGAAATTATATTCATGTCGGTTGACCGAGGACAGGAAAAAGCTAGACACGTTGAGACAACGATTCTTCACCAATCGGCTCTTTTGAATCACTCACACGCACATGTATTGATTAACGCGACGGCGCCGATCTAAATGTGTGTGCTTCATCAGTGTATCTTGTTGTGAAGGCGCCCCTCGTTGCTGTGTGTGTGTTGCCTCGCTCCCTTGTGTCCGATATCTTCTGTGAGTTGTGACAGTGTCGTGGTGTCATTGCTGGCTGTGCTCTTCTACGTTTTTTTTCGATTTTATAACAATTATGTATTTAAGGAGTGACCGATGCCGAATTCATTGCGTTCTTCAAACATCGCTTAAATGCGTTAGCTTACGTTAGGCACAATAGTTTTCTGTATATGTCACAATATCTAGTGTGCATGCACGACGATAGTTTGATAGAAATACAGAAGAAGGAAGAAAGGCAAGAGAAATAGCTACTTGCAAGAGAGTGTAGCTTAGAGCGATCGAGACAGATAGAGAGATAGATAAAGATAGATAGAGCGCGTAGTCTAGTCGGAGCCGAGCAGTCGGGGAATACAGGCGAAGTGCGTTACGGTCTATCCGTTGGATCCAACAGGCCAATTATTGACAGATTCAAAATTTAGACTGGATCCTCGGGATTGTGTCGCTTCGACCCGCAGCCTTCCCGCTAAGTACGAGTGGTTATACGGTACAGTGAGTACGGAAGTAGTAGTTGTGAATAGTATAGCATGCGCGCGTGTCGTGTTGAGACGGTATTGGTATTCAAATGCGGCGCTCGGGCCGTGCGTGTCCGGCGTTACTGTGCACGCGGCTCACACTTATCACGTCTGCAGTCACTTTGTGAACGTGAACGTTACATGTTACAGCTGACATGGGCATAAGCGTAACAGTCGACTTAGAATCTAGTAACATTTACGTTCCCATGTGACATGTGGCAGAGAGGCCGTCGCGTCGGAGAGATGTCTTGTGTGACGCACTCGCTCTCTCACCTCGTGTCGTCGCTGATGTGCTGAGTGCTTCCTAAAAGTGAACATTGGCCGCGCGCAATCGTTTAAACTCGGCGCCGATTGCGTACGTCCAACATTTGTAAACCTAACCGGTGCCCAGTGAAATAACCGAACGAAAAACAGTGCTGTGTCGTCAAAGAAAGCATGCAAAATTGTGTCCATCGCTAAATACTCAATAATTGTGCGCCAAAACCAACAATATAACGGTGCCGTCGATACTAGACCAGGTGCAGGAGAAATTCTTTTTGCATTTCAGTGAGTGGCATCATTAGCGGTTTGACAGTAAGTAATCGGTGACGCGCCATCAAACCGAATCATTACATGTGGCGGTGAGTGGGAGCATAGAGACAATGCGACCGACATACTGTGAAATCGAATGGTCTGCGTGATAAATGATAAATTATATATACTTGTACATTGAAACTTATCGGCAAGCATATTATTTAAAACTTTGTTACGAGAATTAACCTCCTTGTTTCGAATCCTGCTATATGCTCACAAGAAACAAACAAAAGAAAAAAAGACATTAGTAACTGATATAATTTGTAGCTCAATATGAGATATATAGTATATACATATATACTTATATTTATAACCAACACCATTTGAACAGATCTCATTTAATGATACGAACACGGCAGGAGTGGAAATGTAGAGGTCACGGGATAATGATGGTCTTCATTAAGTTACGAATTATTCAAGATAATAATGAGAAATATTTCATTTCCATTCGCACCGCTTCAATTAATACGAATATAAAACCATCCATATGTAACACCAGTGGGAATATTTAATATATGAACTGTTCATCTTTTTATGAATGATTTTACCCAAATCACCATACCCATTTCCGCAGCAGTTTTTAAAACATGAAATATTGTTATTGCTATTAAATATGATTGCAATATAAGAGGACACTATTAATAAGACTACGTCATAAAGTGGGTCAAAATATTATCCTCTGATATTACAAATCTCAGAAGTTTTGTTAGGTCACAATGTTCGGATGGAGAAATTATTTATTAGTTCTTGTTAGTTTGAAGACAAGGCTCAACTTTATGACTTTAAGTGGAATTTACGAAGTATTAATTCTAATAGGACTTTAATATAAAATAGATGTTTATAAAATAACTTCAATTATAGTCTTTAGCTACAAATAATAGTTAAATATTGTTTATGTTTCAAGAAACAAGAGTCAATAGACGGACTCAAATTATAGATATCGCGTAATAAAATTAAGAAAAATACAGTATTGGTCATATGATATCGATTTGTACTGTTATATTCAAACAATCAATATAATAATATGTTCATAAAAAGTATTATAATTAAATCATTAAACAAATAAACAAAAAGACATATAGTTGAGCCGGTGGAAGTTGTATGAGTAAATATGTTGGAGACGTACCGTCTTCATGCGTGCGCACGGTGACGGGGTAGGAGGCGGGGCCGTCGCCCACGCTGGTGCCGGCGAGCACCCACACGCGGTACTCCGTCCAGCGGCGCAGCTCGTCCAGCACGAACTCCGTCGCGTTCAGCCGCACCACCGTCGCCTCCGAGTCCCCGCGGCCCGCCTCCACGCACAGCAGCTTGTAGTACGCGATACGGCCGTTGGCGCGTTCCGCGGGCGGCGGCTGCCACGACACGCGCACCGCCGTCGGCGATATCGCCACCGCCGTCACATTCATAGGCGGCGCGCCCGGCACTGAAACGCTCCAACGTCAACTACCGCCCACAACCCACGAGCCCACGCCCGAGCCCACACGAGCACACACGAGCCCACACCCGAGCACACACGAGCCCACACCCGAACCCATACGACGACGCTCGCCACACCAACCTAAACTCCCGACAATATGAAAATGAAGTTTTGCAACAAACCAATAGTTGCATTTAATATTCCCGATGAAGTTAGAGATTAGTTTATGTGAGATTAACCTCGATGCAATCACTGAATGCGATTAAACAAAATGTGTCAAATTAAAAAGAGAGACGATGTAAATCGTCGAAATTGAACATGCACAAAGTTGAAGTTGTAGGATCCGCTCGCCCTTACTAAATACTCTTGTCCTGTCGGAAGAAAATTGTGCTGATTATTATCTATCTAGCGACATGAGGAACACTTTTGTATACTCTCCGGTTCATTATGCCGCTGTGATAAAAGTGAGAAAAAAATTGATATAGTAACTTTTTCAAATAAGATTTAGACGTACGGACAACATAAAGCTACTACTAAGGTATTGTGCACACGCTTTATGTCTTTTTGATTTTTATTTTGTAGTTGGATGTTATTTTTTTAATCGAAAGCAAACAAAGGCGCATACGCAATACCGTTTCGACAATTGTACAATAACGAAACACATATTGTGATATAAAACTTGGTGCTTGTGCTTGTATTACTGGCAGCGTGCCGGGCAGGTGCGGTATGTGAAATATTACAGTAGAAATTACCTGGAAAACCCACAAAAGGTTTAAATATTGTTAATTTTCTTTTATTGTTTTGATCATTGGCTTGGAAAGAGTCCACACGGGATATTACAACTGAACTCTATAAAGTCTATAAAGATGTATTAAAATAATAGTTTTTTTTTTTTTTATAAAAGGGCCCTTTAAAAAAACTTATACGCTAAATCCGTGTTACAATACAAATAAAAATTTTTTTCGTTAGGACACAAAATTTAATCTCATCATATTTTTTACAGATACGCTTCTTCTGAAGTCGTTCCAAGCCATTTGTTTCATGTGTGTGTGTGGCCTTAAGGTTTCAACATAACGTATTAATTGGCCGAGTTGTACCAACATGAGGTTTTACTTGGCCGAGATGTACCAACACGACGCGTAAGTTGGCCGAATCGTACCAACATAAGATGTTAATTAGCCGAGTTGTACCAATATAACGTGTTAGTTGGCCAAATTGTACCAACATACGAGTAAGTTGTTAATTGGCCGACTTATACCAATATAAGGTGTTAGTTGGCTGCTTTGTACCAACAGAAGTTAGTTGGCCGATGCTACCGTACTGTATTGGCAGTACCAACATACCGTATTGCTTTGTCCGGACTGCGATCGGCGGGGTGGTGGCGCCCTCGCCGCGCTGCGACCGCGCCGCAAGCCAGATGTAATACAGGGTGTTCGGGTACAGCCCGTTCAGGGTGTAGGATTCCATCTTATGTATCCGTCTAAGAACAATTTTAGTTAAATACTAGCTTGAGCCCGCGACTCTAAAGCCTATGTGGGCTTCCTGACTATCATCTACATCTATGGCTAATTTAATCAAGATGCTTTCAATGGGTTTGACCACAAACTCTACCAAACATCCATCCATCTAAACTTTCGCATTCATAATATTACTCAGATGTTCATAACGCTGAGTTATAAAAAGATTACGGATTTTTGTTTGGTGCAAACCTGACTTTTTTAAATCCATATATTTACACATAATGTTTGGTTATTACTATATTAGTATTTCTTTCAATTTCATTGTTCTAATGTAAGTTTTATGAGAAGTGTATTTTATCTAATTCCTTACTTCCTGTGGTGTTCCTTTGCGTACGTATCGTTCCAGTATAGTTCGTAGGAGACGATCTGGTCTCCCGCGTGCATGGGCTGCTGCCACTGCAGCGTCACCGAGGTCTCGCCCGCCTCTACTGCTACGAAGTTCGACGGTTGGGATGGTACACCTGAGAGGACAATGGGTTACCGTAATATCTAACTTAACGTAATATCTAAGCTAATAGTGGTAGCGCCTGCTTTAACAACTTCGTCGATACGTCTAAGCACTTGAATACCATGATTTATTTGTAGGATTTTCAAAGATATTAGGATTGTTTCTTTAAGCAGTGAAAAGTATAGAAAGTAGCAGTGGGAGGCCCAATTTTAGTCCCTTTCCCGTTCCACCCTCTTCTTATAAGGAATAGAATGAATGGGAAAGTGGATTTGACGGGGGAGACGCAAAGAAAGGGGAAATATCCTCTTATGTGCGTCTCCTCCTCCGTCGATTTAGGGTAGGCAACGCATCTGCAATAGCTGATATTTATGGGCAGCGGTTGCTTCGCCATTTTGGCGGATTCAGGTAACCTTGCTCGTTTGCCACCTTGTTGTATAAAAAAAGGTAAGAAAAGTAATTTTGCATGAAATTGTTACAAAGACTAGATATGATAGATTGTTTTCACTTTATTACCTTGTTGTGTTTTGACCTGTACTGGTGCGGACACGGGGCCGGGGCCCACGGACGTGAACGCCTGCACTCGTATAGTATACACCGTGTGGGGGGTCAACTCGTTGATGGTTGTTAGATGACTGCTGTCCAACTATTCAAATACATAAATAAATAATTATAGAAAAACTATTTCTTTACGCTTCTTTGACCCTTTAAACGACGGAGTATTGTGTAGCAAAAATATATGTTACCAACACATTACAATCAAAATCTGACGTATTTTTCTCTAAACTAGTCGAATATTTTTTTTTAATTAGTTGTTTGTAATTGGACACTAAAGAATCCAAGGTTAGGGGTGCCAACATAAGTTGATCTTCACTCACAACTTTAACGAACAAAATACTGTTAAAAAGAAAATTAGTACCGCGCTATAGAATTGGCGCAACACTAGATTATTGGCATTAACGTCACATCTCTAACTGACAGCTGTCAATGTCATTAGAAGGATGGATATTCGCGCGCATTATGACGAGTGACGAGATGTCGAGTGCAGTGTTAAAATTAATATCTATTAAAATTAATATTAATACTAGTATTAATTAAATAAATTGTTTTAAAATACTAACCAAAAAGGTTTAAATTATGTAGAACTTTTTTAATGTAATGCAAAATTAAGTATATAAAGACACATATGTTTGCTTACCATCTGAGAATTCCAAGACTGCAACGGTTGTGAAGGGTCCGTGGTATAATAAATTTTGTAGCCCTGTAACAATTAAAATATAGTTATCACAACAATTGCAATAGTTAAGTCTGAATTAACGATTCTAATGTGAATTTAATAAGAATGTGAGGGATGGAAATGTTTTTTGACCGACTTCCCAAAAGGAGGTATTCAATTCGACGATATGTTTTTTTTTTATGTTTTCATTAACACCGACATCAAAGTAATAATAATTGTACAATATAGACAAAACTGTTACAATAAGGTAGGTTTACTATTTTCAAGTAATTATTTCGTTACTTTTTAGTGTACTGTTTTTTTGAGAATATTTTGTTTTGTTTTTAGTGCATTTTGTTTTGTTTTTAGTGTATTTTGTTTGGAAGTCGGTTTTGTTTTTTTTATTGCTTATTATTTCAGTTGAATGAAGGAAATCATCGCTGGATTAAAATTGAAAAAAACGGAGAACCACAATAAAGAAACACTGGAATGCACTGTGTGGGCGTTAAAGTTCGTTTATACTTTTCCAGTTATAATCCAGCGCTGGCTTTAATCTGGAAAATAATTCACTGCTGTTACGTCAGTCCTGGTTAGAGGGATTACCTTATTTTGTACTTAAAATTCTAGTAATTTATAAAGCATTTAATAATTTGTTATTTTCCAGTTATAATAAATTTAAATATTTTAGAAGAAAATACGTTGCTAATATCTTGTTCCATTTCGTGAGAAAATGGTAAAGCAAGACAGCCATCTTATTATAACGAATACTACTTAGAGCATCTTCCACAAAGTAAATATTAAATTGTTTAACAGGAATTTACAGTCTAGCTTAAATATTATTTTATCGCTTGAAACATATTAAACTAAATTTAAAATGCCTTTTTTTTTAAAAAAAATACCGTTAATTGTCCATTTGGCGTTTCTGGTTCCTCCCATTGTATAACCATCGTACTTGAACTGAGTGGACGGACTTGAACGTTCCTCGGAGCTGACCCAGGTTCTGTAACAAATTAGACATTGAGAACAATTTCTCCAAAAAATGGCACTGATGTATTATTACAGACCCCCCGAATAAGCCCGCAATTTGCGTAGAATCAAAAAAAGTTAGTTGTCTATATGGTTTTCCAGACTATCCTCACAACTAAAGCAAATTTCATCGAAATCCATTCAACCGTTTAGTCTACAAACTCTATCAAACATCCATCCATGTAAACTTTCGCATTTATAATATTAAGTAAATATAAAGTATGACTATCCATAAATTCCTCTAAAACATAATGAAAATATCATTTTATGAATGTTTTTTAGGGAAATGCTACAGTACCAAATAAAACAGGAAAGATAACATCATTTCTTCTGTTATTTTACATTAAAAAAATGCAAAGAAAAACAATATCCGATAGCCACTTTAGCAGGAAATAACAAACAGAACAAGGGGATGAGCTGATGTCTTAAAGATTATTTGTCAAAGAAACAAAGAGGTATTGAATTATAAAACGACTCGAATCTTTTAATTTATTTCCTTCCTTAAAAAAACTCCAACATGAATATTTAAATTAATTGTTGCTTTATTTCTTCAATATTTTGACTTGCCCAATAAAAAAATTTCACAACATTCCTTGTAAATCTCTGTCAAAAGAACCTAACGGTCTGAGAAAAAATGGTCTTGGCGTGGCCTCGCCTACAGATCGATATCTATACATTTTCATTGTTATTTCATCAGTAGAGCGTCTTTTATTCGTTAGCTCGAGACAATTTTAGTTACTAAGAGAATAAACGTCGGTAAATTTAATTTTTCCAAAGTAAATTAGACGTGATAGCTACTTGACAAGTTGAAACCCGAGACCGAAAAAATTGCCGAAGTATTTTAATAATTTCGTATATTTTTATCAAACTGGCTTTAGAATTAAAAAAAAATATTTAGTAGTTTGTTCTATATGTATGCTAAATTTCTAGATCCGTTCAGTAGTTTAGGCCACAAACTCTAACAAGAATCCATCCATTTAAACGTACGCAATTATTATTAATAAGAGGTAAGTTTATGAAAATCTGACATAATTACTTCCAAAAAACAATAGCAAATCTGCTTATATGTAAAAAAAGTCCTCTATTTAAAGAGCAATACAAATTTTCACAAAAAAAGAAAACCTTTACACATTATCAACTGCAATTAATGTCCATCAGAATTTAAAACGTACAAAAAACGATTTTTAATTGTGTTTGCGCAGCGAGCGACATCAAGCGGCATTGCTGGGTAATGACGCGCAGTATAATTGTGCGCTGCGGTTACAACTGAATATGTTAAAAACCACCGAAACCCTGAATGCGTATGTACCAATGAGAATTATAAATGAATTTAATAACACGAACATTTTACCAAATTATTTTAAGATCAAAAAATCAGTCAAACGTGAGAAGGCAATAATCTTTCAAGCGAATGATTTATTGAGTAACTCTCTTATATTCTTCTCCTATGTTAAGAATGATAGATTATTTATACTGAAGATAGGACAAGTCAAAGATAATAAAGACAAAATAGACCCATGAGTGTTGACAGATGGAAAAAGTAGAAATGAATTAAATCTAAACAAAAATTTTATAAAATCGATGTGCCAAAAGGTGTGAGGATGAAAACACAAAACTAAAAAATAAACTACAATAAACCAAACAAAACCAAAATTCCAATTAAAATGTATACCTAGTAATAATATTAAAACCAAAAATTGCCCTAAACATGAATATGATACCCATTTATATAGCAAATTTAAATCATACTTACTGGCACCTCCATATAAAGAATCCACTGTAATGCAAGAAAAAACACAGTTAGTAAGCGGAAACACAAACTCCATTAACCATTTACACACAGGGTGCTACAGAAAACAGTAAGGACGCGTGTTACAAAAACCTTAGCCTTCTTAGAGTTAATCCTAGAAACGAAATGGTGCATGGACAACTTAAAAAACGCTCTAAAACTACCACAAAAAGTGCAAAAGAAAATAAACAAAACAACAAACAAAGGACACGAAGATTTAGTATAAACTTACATCAAGCGGCGACGATGCCATGACGCATATAACGTTGGCATGAAAAAAAACGATCAAAGGAAACACCTTAAAACTCATAGTTTAGCGCAAGTAAACAAAATATACATACAAAGAATTCAAAGCGATGAAATAATGCCTCGAACATTCTCAAGCCATTAATTAAATTCGAAGAAGCATTATGAATCGATGTGGAGAAACGTAATTCCTTTATAACCTTTACAAAACATCACATAGCGTCACAAGAAATTTAATTAGATATATAAAAGATATTCAGGTTATACTACAAAAACAACGTAAATGTTAGGTTAAATTAACAAAATTATACATAGGGTCACCTGTTTCTCCCGTGGTGATGACTGCCGGCTCAGAAGGCGCACCCCTGCCGATATTGTTGACTGCGATCACATACATCTCGTATTCCGTGTAAGGCGATAGATTCGTCACCGAATAGTACTGAGTGATAACCCCGGAGATCTCGCTATAGGCCTAGTAGAAACAAAATCATATACAACCTGCTCGAAGGACTAGAATAATACTTTATTGAAAGATAATAATTTATGATGAAATACAAACATCCAAGAAATGAACATCGTATGAACAAGAGAGAGAGAACAAGAAGCTTAATATTTTAGCGAATTAACACTTACTTGATTTGCATATTTAGGTTTGTACTGTATAACATAATACTGGGGTTCTTCAGGACCATTGTAAGTCCACGCGAGCCGGACCGTTGTCGCCGTCACCTCGGAGGCTCTCACCTCAATTGGGGCACCTGGTAATGCTGTAAACAGAACGCAATATTTCAGCAAAATGTATTCATTTAATTGTCTGAAGTAATCCAAAGCAGACTTAATAATAAATCGTCATTATACTGATCCATTTTATTGTACACATCATATTTTCGTAATCACAACACCTTTCACAATCCATCCATCGTTCTATGCCCACCGATGTATTACTACATTTAAGTTTTTAGCATTAATTCAGCTAAAAAATAAATAGAAAACCATTGAGGTATTTAATTTTCGCAAGACTAGAACATTCCGCGCACGCTATGATTAGACACGCATTGTTAACTCTCGGAAACTTTTAATAGGTGGTATCACAACTCGATAACTAGGTTCAGGAGGGGTCTATATCAAATTATATTGTACAACAGTAATTAATCATTATTTAACCAGACATTCGTTTGTCTCCGGAGATCCGGACCAAGTTGGCAAACCCTTTCAATTATGAATTATGATATTAATTTATTACTGAGACTTGACGAAATTTATCAAATTGAACTTCTCTAATCTACCTTTCTTCTTGTTTAATCGATCGAAACTTGATACCTTGGATGAAGCAAGACAAGTAATGCTTATCGCGAGTACATGTTGATACGTTTTATTGCATTAACTAAAAACAGAACTTCTGTTGAATTAACCAATAAATTTGAAAGAATCACGTGACGCAGTATCATAGTCTACTGTAAGTCTGGATTACTTTTTCAACACGCTATAATTATAATTATCGACATAAATTTAAATGAATCAAATAAATTGTAAACAAAGTGTAACATACACGATGGTTATCGAGAGTGCAATAAATAACTATACGTGTACTTAATTAAAAGCGAATTGTGTTGAGTATGGTGAAATTTTCGCAGTAAACAAAGCAATTTCGACGACAAAATTATATTTCGTAAATAATGATGCGATACGCATCAGTTCTATTTGGTTTTAATTAAAATATGAATATAACTATATGCTCTAAAACCGCATATAACTGCGAAAGCATCAAGACAAAAGTTAATTGACAAATAATTTCGAGACATTAATCTTTTTAAAATCATTTAAAAAAGTTTTGTTAAGTAAAATGGCAACACCTTCAAAATTACTCACAACTAATTGTCTACTGTGTACAGTCGTGGAAATTGGCAGTGCTCCACTTTTAGAAACACTGCAACGCGATAAACTGCACCTCTCCGTGCAATATACCAATCAGGTAGCATTATGTTACAAAAACCACAGGATGATAATACCAAAACAATTAGCCGTGTACTGGCATTTTAAACTGACACATTTAAAAGCTTAGTCTCTATATATTCAAAGCTTTCGAATGACTGCAACTAGTATGGTACACCGACAAATTCCCTGATTGTACATACTCATAAAGATTTGTAAGAGTAGAAGGATGGTATTTCTCCAGTTTACTTGATATACTTAAAAGTTGCGATGTTACTTAATTTTTTTTTTTATTTTTAAAGAATTTAATATTTAAGAACTCCACCAATAATACCTCCTACTTCTCCTACACATTTATCAATTTCTTATAAGGACGCTATACAAATATAATAATGTAAGTACAGATTACTAGTGAGTTGCAGTTTATATGTATGGTTGAATAGTGTTTGCGGTGTCATATTGCATTAAATTAGCATTTAAACTATCAGTTAACTATGCGTTTAACCTAATAATTACCATTGCACGTCTTCAGATAATTATTAGTGCGTATGCAAATGCTCTAGAATAGTATAGGTTAATAACCCTTGATACATCCAACCGTTAGATCAATTGGATATTGCTGTTATTAACCAGTATTGTTTGTGTGTAATTTGTTTATAATTTGCTTTGCTGCAAGCTGATCTTACTATCATCATCTTCCCTACCTTATCCGACACCCGTAGTGTCGGAACACCGGGTTTTCGTCCTCCAAATAACTGTTATCCGTCATCCCAGTCATCACTCCCTTCTTGATCATGTCACCTTTCACGCAATCTAGGTCTACCTCTACCGTTGTACCACACTCATAACTAACGTCCATCTCGTAACATGCGATTCATATGGAAGATCTTCCTATCTTGTAAAAATATAAAATTACTCACATTGTACTTTGACTTCTGATGTGGCTTCAATGACACCGAGAACGCTGGCCGCTTCGCACGTGTAGTTTGCGGATTCTCGGATATCTTCTAGAAGCAGCGTGTTAACTCCAAGAGGCGGGTTGTCTTCCGATGTCAGCCATTTTGACAGACCTATGGCGATCGTGAATTACAATAATTAATGCCATCAAGAACTTCGTTGCTTTATTGATCAAATTTGTTTATACTATCAACTTGTTTAGTCTAGGCATTGACTAAATACCTACTGGAATTCGGGAGGTTTAATTTTAAAGCTTTAATCGACACACAGGCCCAATTTTATTCCCTTTCCCGTCCCACCTTTTTCTTATAGGAGAAGGATTGGAAGGGAAAGTGAATTTGACGGCGGAGGAGACGCATAGGAAGGGGAAATATCCTGTTATGTGCGTCTCCTCCTCCGTTGATTAAGCGTAGGCAATGCATTTGCAATTGCTGATGTCTACGGGCAGGGGTTGCTTCGCCATTTTGGCGGATTTCGGTGACCGCTTGCTCGTTTGCCACCTTTTTGTATAAAAAAAACAACAAATTCAATGTCTCTTTGTCTATGAAGTTAATATTGAAATCGATAGCAATTTAACCGTGATATATTTCAATTTTGCAAGTCAATAAGCAGTAAGATAATTACATAGATATTTCGGCAATGGAAATTGGTCAGAATTTGCTTAAAGATGTTACCTTTTCTCCACTTGACAGTGGGCATTGGTGATCCGAAAGCGACACATTTGAGGGTCGTGTTGCCACCGAGCATCACCTCCGTCTTTTGCGGCGGCGGGATAGAGAACTGCGGCGCCACTCGTCTTACTACAAACAATATTAATACATTATCACAAATTCTTATACTGTTTTTAAATAAAGTACTGAACTTACAGAATTATATAGAAGGACCCAAAGGTATTAAGAAAATTCGATGTTATCAAATAAAGGGAGAACAAATTTTTGCAAAGTTAAGAATATTGATTATATTCATACATTTATCCGCTTAATTCTTATCTAAAAGTAAAACACGATAACGCTTTTAAGGCGGCAAGTTAATAAAGGAAACATAAATAACTTTTCGCAATGCAGAATCGTTCAACAACGCTTTCAAGGAAAGCAATTTGCATTTTTTTTAATACGCCACGACCATATTACTTGGAGCTATTATCGTTAAATATAACGGTTAAGTTGGTGGCCGGCGCGGCGGCTAGGCGGCCGGGCGGCCGGGCTGGCCGTTTTGTGAACGCTACGACTACAAAGAAAAGATAAAGGTGGAAAACATTTACCCGGTTCCCATTATGTTAATTAGAATACGCGGGCAACGTCGCTCTCTTAATCGCCACACAAACTTTGTACTTAATTACATGAAACTTAGCCTAAAAATTGCGTGAATCTAGAGACGTGAGTTACGTAAGGTTCCACTAACAGTGAATGTGTAACGATATACTTCACATTTGATGGAGAGCCTTATTTCGAATTCTGAAATGTACATTAGAGAATTAAAAATACGGGAGCAATGTGACAGAATTTGATGTAACTTTGTAGCTGAAAATACGCTGTTACGAACTAAAAAGGTAACCAAACAAGTAGTTAAAATTGTACCTTATGTGTATCTTTTATCTCTTACACGGTATTTCATAAATTTACATCTATACTAATATAATAAAGCGTAAACACACACTACTTTGTGGCGTAAGATGACAGAAATCGGAGCATAATTTTGAATAATTCCTTCTCTAATAAAAAGCCCTACACTCACGACACGCTTTAGGCTGTGTGTTTTCACGCTAATAAACTTAGAAGGTAAATAAATTGAAAAAAACCTCCATGTGGGAAAGACAGCATAAACTACAAGCTGCCAAAATTAAGGAAGCAAGGCTATTATGGAAACGGTAATTTTGACATTTGCAATTGAGAATTTGACAAATGTAAACAAATGTATTAAATTTTGCGTAGTACCTACAATTTTGTTATTTACCCGAAATTCCATCACGAGTAAAGTAAGAATTTTTAAAAGAGCATCTAAATACCACTTTAATCTTTCTATTTAAGGGGATATTAATTACTTAGAACAAACAACATCTAAGACGACACCTCCCTAAAGCGGGCTGTATTAATTAAGCGACAGCGGCGTTTGGTCGAGTCCGTCATCCGAGCGACTTTCATTCCTTATCACCTACACTTTATTATATGTTACGAGTCATAACCTAGACGCGTCTACTTTTAGAAGAACAAAAAAAAACTTTCCTGCTATATAAATAAAAAATAATGAAGCATTTGTTTGAGCGTTTAGGTAAAAAAATTCTCATATTATTTGAATACGTCTGACGAACGCGTATTAAAAATATGAACCAGTAAATGTTAACTAAATAATAAATTACATAGCTTCGTAGTTCCCCTTTGAAATCCGCTATCTCTTTTGAATTACACGCAACGGCTTATTGTGTTTAACAAAATTATTCTTTTGTTGGAAAACTTCAGAAACGTTTTCGTACTTTGTTTTCGCGATTAATTAAAATTAGTCGTGAGGCGAAAAATGCTCGACTCGTTTAATATTTTTGATGGGAGAAGTAACGGAGGCGGTGGTAATTTATTTTTTAAGATCCAAAATGTCACTAAACGTACTGATAACGGTTAAGCTCTTTTAAAGAAAATTGTTAAAACAGTTCTGGTTATTAAAGAATGAAAACTTTAATATGCTAAATTAAAGTAATCGCTAAACAATACATGTACACAAACCTGGGGGCTACAAAAAAAATCGTGAAAAGGAACGCAGCGTTGTCACATCTTTGACACTGACAGAGGTAAAGCGGTTTGAATTTGTGTGAAAAATATACATTTTCTTTTACAAAAGACAATTCAGAATTCAAGCTACAATTAAATAATCTATGAAGAATTTTTTTCTTTTAACACGACGGTGTTCAATAATCAAATACATGTTTAATTTTAATCTTTACATATAATAAAATTGGAGTGTCTGTTTGCAATATCCGAACAAAAAATCCAGATTTCGGGAATATGACGTATTTGCGTTGCTGATATCGAAAATCGCATTTTTGTCTATCTGTCTGTCTGTCCGCAAGCCGCGTTCATTCCGGGAAATCTCCGAAGAGGCTGGGCCGATTTCGACCGGACTTTCACTGAGGCGTAGGTGTAATAGACGGCCATATTATAGCCTTATTTTTTATCTTAATATTGCGTGAACGAAGTCGCGGGCAACAGCTACTTTTGCTAAATTTGAAGGTTAAAGAAGTTTTTGATGATGATATATGAGTACAAAATATGAATATAATTAATTTTGTATTACACTTACACGCAAAATTACGCGAATATTGTAATTTATTAAATATTAAACTCTATACCACCGTCCTTCGTGAAAACGTTCACCTTGGCCTCGTGCAAAGTCGTTTAACCGCATTTTCATAAAAGCCTTCTGTGGATAATCACCTCAACTTTCTGTCGTTTACTTGAGTAAACATAGTAAAGCAGACAAGAAATTTTCTTTTTTTTTTTTTTGCTTATTTACAAGAGCAAGATTGTAGACGTTATTTGTATATTTACTTAATCAAATTATTGACATATTAAAAGAGACTAAAACATTAAAATGAAACTGACTAGAGACCAAGATTATGCTAAATCAAAGGTCTAAAATTAATCATATAGTTGGTAGCTTTTTAACTATTTTGATACATGACATTCTGTTTTCTTAAAATTTATTTGTGAATCTGTGCTATTTATCAATACTATTTATCTTTATTTAAAACCACAATATTGTTAGAAAAATATTAGGAAACGGAAGGAATAGTGGGGGGTAGTTTTATAAAATACATGGCAAGGAGTGGCTCAGTCACAGTCTCAGCCTTCAGTCGCCAACAAGCTCAGTATATTTCTAGTCGTCGCCACAAGGCGTTCGATATTATAACGTTGTCGCCTTGGAGTGCAGTATGTGTATTAAGTAATTTACAAATATTGTTAATATGGCCGTCCGTCTATATTAAAAAAAAAATCATTTGTGGAAATATCTAACATCTTAAACACTAATTTGTTCCCTAGCAAATATTTATTTCAGTCTGCTTAAAGTGTATAGAAAATTTCGACCTCTAATTTGGAAGTTTGAAACATACAACCTTTTTAATACCATTTCCATTAAGGTTAATGTAAAACTGAACATCTTTATCACACGAAATGAAATTCAAACACGGACCTGTGTCTGTGTCGCGAATAAAAAATACATCTGCTTTAACAAAGATCAAAGGAAGTAAATTACAATGGAAAGCCTTCGTACATTTCCGCCACGCTGTCGATGGCTTCAAGAATAATGGAACGAAAACAACGACTTCATTATACCTTCTAACAAGCCCACGTACAATCAGAACACTAATCATTGAAACAAATCAATAAAGACTTTGTTCTGCGAAATATTGAACATTTTGTGACACGCAAAATGACATTAACAAAATTCCTTACTAAGATTAAAAAGAAACTTTTGATTTTTAAACATATGAATCACACACAATAATTATGCTTATATTTGAAATAAAATAATGGGAGAAAATGTATATAAAATGTTCAAAACCTAGCACCAATTTTAATCATCAATAATTAAGTTTGTTTCGCTGCATTTGTATTACTACATTGCGCGCGCGAAGGAGTACTTCTTGTTTTTACTTTGTACAGATGTTTGTATTTTTTTTTTTTTTTTATAACATAAGATGGCAAACGAGCAAGCGGCCACCTGAATCCGCCAAAATGGCGAAGCGACCGCTGCCCATAGACATCTGCAATTGCAGATGCGTCGCCTACCCTTATCCGACGGAGGAGGAGACGCACATAAAGAGGATATTTCCTCTTCCTATGCATCTCCTCTATCGTCAAATCCACTTCCCCTTCCCATCCTCTCATAAGAAAAGGGTGGTAAAGAGAAAAGGGATTTAAGTTAGGCCTAAATTAATTACTGTTCGAACTAGAAACATTTATTATCTGTGCTACTACAGCATTGTTTGCTGTGTGAAAAAACTTTTGCTACATAATATATGGTGACGCTTCCGCTGATCTCTTTCAAGCCAACAACGGAACGACGCGGAACCAAAAATCTCTGTCAAACTTACAATTGTGCCATATTATCTATTACCACAATTCCAAGTTTTATTGTTTCAGAAAGAAACAATAAAAGTTTTCCTTTGTTCTACAATGAACAATTACAATAAATAAATAAATAAAAAATCTTGATAGACTGATCGAGGGGAAGTTTAAATCGGTTGATCTATTTACCTAACGCTGTACTTGTAAAGTTGTAGCTAATGTCAACAGTCATCAATAAACACTTTGATCAACGCCTTGGCAACTGAGCCAACTGTAGCACGCAAAGACAAAGGGCCGGTTGAATTAATAACGATGACAGTTGACCTCATCTCACCCCACCGCGTCCTAATTCCCTTCTAATGGACACTAGCAGACGTAAATTATTACAAACTAGCTGTTGCTCGCAACTTCTCCCGCGTGAATTAAAAAATAATAAAGAATACAGCCTATGTTTCTAACTAATAACGTAGCTTTTAAATGGTGAAAGAATTTTTAAAATCGGCCTAGTGTACTAAACATTTTTAGCTGCAGCTTAGCATTATAGAAATTAATTATTTAACCATACTATTATTGATAAATATATTTCTTCTTCAGAAAATATTTTAAGCGAAATTTGTAAGGACAGCTATACACGAACGTAACAGATTTCTCCCACGGTCTTACATGATACAGCACGTGTTGTGTAGGTCTTATACATGTTTCACACGCGGGCTGAACTTTATGTGAGAATAGTTACATTGTACATAGCATTTGATAAACGATATCTCTAATCATATATTCAAAAATGTCATGGGAACCTATTTATATCATACATTTTGACAATACAATCGATTTTCAAATGTGACTTTGTCTAAAGGCTCGGAGTTATGCGTCCAAATAGTAAAGAAGTGCACCGTCCTACTCAACTCGGCTATTCTACCCTCGTGTGAAACTCACATTACAACTGTAATGAGATGTCGCAACTTGCACGTATCTAAATGTCCCAGATAGTTAGGTATCCGAGGTGTGGCGCGACACTATCTGCAAATATATTGCGTGTATTCCTCGCCGTGGAGTGTTGCCGTATGGAAAGTACGCTACTGCTTCTAAATATAGTCAGTCTTGTCCATTGTTGATTTTTTCCTTACTCTGTTACAAAAGTTATCTAAACAAATTCCAGATCGAGTTCAAGGATCGATTATTGGCTTTGACTATTTGCGAATTTACTAATACAAACATTTTCGCAATGAAAATAGGATTATTATTGATTTATTACTAAGAGGAAATGATTGTACCACATCAATTGGCGTGATTCAAATTTGATTTCGTGATTGAATTTCAAATCTTTAAGTAACGGCCGCAACTCGAAGCCGACGCGTTCATTTCAGCTTTCATATTTCGGACATAATTGTGCACTTATTTTAATTCCTTTAAGGTGATATTAAATATTATCTTAATATTGCGTGGACGAAGTCACAGGCAACATGTAGTATTAAATAATATTAAATCAATAGTGTTAATATATAGAAGAAACCTTACCTTTAACATACAAAGACGTAGGTTTGGAGAATTCAGTTCCAATTGAATTTTCTGCGACGCATTCAAACTTCCCTTGATCTTCCTCTTCGCTTTTTACAATTTGTAGTGTTCCTGCACAAATACAAAGAAATTAGCCTTATTTAAATTCATAAATTGAAGACATTAAAGATATCAAATTTCATCAAGATTGAAACTCAATTTAAAGTTTGTTAACCAAGCATTATGGTAATTACTTATACAGTCAAAGTTAAATTATAAACCAGCTTCTGCCAATTCATTTTAATTTCAAAATCATTTAATAAATTTACTTATTAATTTGACTAAAGACTACAGACAAAATTTGAATAATTAATTTTAAATAATTTAACGATTTGTTTTCAACTCTACGTCTATTATTAAAAACTAGCTGTTTCCGTGCGGCTTCATCCGCATGAAATTATAATAACTTTATTTTATTGTCTATATTTGTCAAATGTCAAATTTCAAATGACAACCTTGCTTCCTTGAGGTTGGCAGCTTGTAGTTTATGGTCCCTTTCCTACATTAGGGTTGTAATCCAAGATATTTACCCCTAAGTTTAATAGCGTGAAAATATATATCCTAAAGCGTGACATAAGTGTAGGGCTTTTAATTAAAAGAAGAATTATTCAAAAATATGTTGTAATTGCTGACATCTTAGGCAACAAAGAGTTGTGTGTTTACCCTTTATTATAATAGTATAGATAATAATATTATATATTAGTATAGATAAAAATAATTTATTAAAATGATTAAATCTACATCCTAACATATATTTTTTTGATATAAACCATCGTACCGGCAAAACATTTGCGAATTAAATACAAGGTTTAAAGAGAAACAATTTAGAATGTGTAAACATCCCTTAACAGTCGACCATCCGGTTTTATTTGCGGCTTTCGTATATATAAAGATTTATGACTTAATAACATGACCCTTGGGTCATTATGACACTGCCCAGGTCCCGGGATGAAGATGTAACCTTTTATAATACCTTCCCTGGGTATATTAAGGTTGTTAAGTTAAAATTTCTCACGGAAATCTGTTAAGTATGCATGCCTCATTGATTTATTGAGTGGCCGAATCGTAGTTTTAGAATGGGGATCTAAAATGAAATTTATTTCACATTCTCTTGGGATATCCTTTAAAATTAATATCTGCCAATCAGGATTCACTTGCCCTTATCCCTTACGGAGGGTCGGCACAGTATGTGCTGCGCTTCCATACATCTCTATCAGCCGTCATATCTGAATCCACTCCTTTCTTAAGCATATCCTCTTTCACACAATCCATCCATACTCTCTTTGGTCTTCCTCTTCCTTTGCAGTTTGTAAAATTAATAACTGCCAATATACAATTAAAATACACGTATTATTGATTTACAGTTTTTACTTATAATTGTCTAAATGACTGTTATTTACTTAAAACATCTAATCGAAGTTTACAAAAAAAAATACTAAAGCATAGCGAATGCACTATTCACATCAGTTATGTAAGGCATAGAGTGGCCCTACGAGCCCTCATCCATAGTTGAATTGATTGAAAAGATCTGTGCAAGCAAACCTCTAATATACAGCCTCAATGATTAAAGGGTTGAGACGTCATTCTTCTGGATGGGGTTGCGGTTTTTATTCTTCTAATCAAAGGTGGAATTAAAGCTTCACCAGTTTATAAGTGTTGGTTTTTTAATTTTTTTTTTGTAAAAATATTAGTCGATTTTTTGTTAATTCGCTAATATTTCCTTTAACCATTCTAACTAAGCTCTATGCTTGTGCTAGGATATAGTTCACGACAATAGTCGAATGGCAGGATTCGAACCCTCGATCTTAAGATCGGTAGTCCGTACCTCAAACCATTAGGCTATTGGCGCTGAAGTGTAAAACATTACTTTGTGCTGCTTTAAGTGTATGTAGATTACACTTCTTTGTTTATGTTAATTAGTTGACTATTCATATACTACACTACACACTTCTTGATACTTTGATAAACAGTAGATAATTATCTAACTAAACCGAAGCGTTAATCATCTGCGTCGAGATGGCGTTGTAAATCAAAGCTGGCAATAATCATTATTTACGCGGGCATTCATTAAGAAGGCATTAGATGTGGTCATAAGTGTCTCTCGTGAGATCACAGCGTACACTTAATCAGGCGCGGTGGCGCAAAGTAAACCTCACGTCCTGTCCCGACCTAAGAGCTAGATTAAACGGGCCGCCGTGATAAAGCCCCCCTCGCCATTGTAAGCTGACCTTTAGAACGGCACCGCGGCGCCCCTTAGCGGTTGTTTTTAATTAGGCACCGGAGGGACGGAGGGGTCTTTCTTGATCGGTGGCGATATAATTCCGCTACGAGCGGGCTATCCCCGGCCCGACGTTTATGAATAGCGCTTATTTTTCTTTTAATTACGGCCACCCGGTCTGTTGACGCGTTTAGTCCCCGCTAGGTGTTATTACTTACGACTGCGGCGCGATGACGTCACGTAGCCGCTGCGAAAGACTTGATCCCCTAACATCACCAATGACAACATAAATATTTTTAGACTGTCATTTGTGTCTCATCAAGAAAACCCAACCTTATATTAATAAGTTAAAGAATGTTTTTATGCTTTACATTCTAGCTTTCAGTTTGTTATCTATACTAGTATTATACTAGGAAACACTTGTATTTTTGTATGAATTGAATTAACTTAAAAACTACTGGGTCAATATCTAAAATTCTTTCAACTTTAAAGAACTACGTTATTGGTCAGTAAAATAGGCTATATTTATACTACTTTTTAAATACAGATGGGCGAAAGCAACAGCTAAATGTCTTTAATAATACCTTTGTAAAAGTCGTATTAAATTTTTACCGTTTTGTATGTTTGTACTAATCATGAACATAATAAATAAATTGGGTTATGTGATAAAAATTAAAAAGTAAACTTAATATAACACAATCGCCGCGGGCCACATTAAAACGACTTAATTACTTTCATACGAGCTTTTTTTTTTCGTAACTTTACCTCGCTCGCTGAGCCAGTTTTGAGTGTTTTATTTATAAACTAAACTAGGTTGGTTTTATGTACATAATTTTATGATTTAATTAAATTGCATAAAACATCAGTTCTCACAATGACAGTTCCCTGTTCTTATAGTGTGTGTAAATAATTTAGATTAGTTTGATAAATGACGCATACGAAGTACCGAATTCAATTTATATGAAGTCAAATGCCATACTTAATAGACAGGTATCGTAGTGACGAAACAAACACGCATAGCGAACAATTCTGAACTATTGATATTCGTTTTAAATAGTTAACAAACTCAACTAAAATTATTATTTTCTTATTCATTAATTAAGAGGACAATTCTAGTATTGATTATAATGTAGAAAATATAGCGATGACAGAAATAATAGCGAAATCCAATTCGATTATATACGGCTGTAGTACTAATAAACATTTATTTACTCTCATTATTTGTTACAGTCATTATTAATGGGAGAAAATAGTGTTATTTTTTTTCTTTCATAAGTTATAACTATAAATCTGTCGATTTCAACTTCTATAAGAATAAAAATTGAAAATCGATAAGATTCATGACTGATTTCACACAACCCATCCCTACTAAATTTGAAATGAATTTTCAAACTAATCTAAATTATTTAGACACACTATAAGTATAACACAATGAAAACGGTTGCACTTTGTGTTTGTAATACGCATTAATAAAGCGTGAACTTTTAAAAACATTTGAATAACTGAATAAAACCGAATTCGTCCGTCCCGTAAGACATCCAGTAATCTAATAAAAATAGTGCACAGTATGCACAGGGATTAAGGGATCTTGCGTCAGCGTTGCCTTCGGGGACATTCTGATGTAACCTACATGTAGCTCGGGTTTTGAATGTAATATTGTTTGCGTACATTACATTCTTGTATCTAAACATTTCTTAGAGCTTTAATATTATGTGTCATACTTAGGCAAGTTTATCACTGTTACTTAATAATTTACGAGCTCATTCGCAAAAATAAATGAAAACATTTAGCAGGATGGATGTACGGAAGTTAGTGTTTTCCGCCTTAACGACTTAACAGATTTCTATGAAATTTTGTACAGATATAGAACATAGTCTGGAAGAACACATAGCCAACTCACATTTGTTTTTTTTTAATTCTACGCAGACAGAGTCGCGGGCGAGAACTAGTTTATAACAAAGATAACATTTAAAATGAACCGGCACATTAAAAATGTTAAAATGAAATGCGAAATAAAAGATTAAAAGTTTGTTTCAAACAATAGCGTTGTCATCCTTTTGAACCAACACTCAGCAATATCCCACACAATTAACACTATCCCAAAACCTCACTGCATATTAACACGGATGATGAAAAACGACCCTTTACTGGATGTGACACGGGGCGTGGTCGCCTTGTAAAACTTTTGCGACCTCAATCAAGTGAGACTTCAGAGTACGCCCGTTGTTGCTTATTATTGTATGAATTAGACGGTTTTTGCTAGAACGGGCAAGTCCATTCAAATGTTTGAATCGCACATTTGTATGCAAATGAGTAGTAATCTGGCTTTGGAGCGCTTGTCGCGTTGCCGACCGCAGCGGACGGCGAGCGTAGAAATATGTTTGGGATAACACAAGCTAGATAGATGGTTTTAGTATTTTAATGTTCAGATTTATTATTAAAGTCACTTTCTTAAAAAACAACTTTGATTTTCACTAACCAGATTTCATATTTATTTCAAATAACTAGCTGTTGCACACGACATGTCCTTAAATAAAAAAAAAAATAACTCACTCACAGAAAAATTACCTTTCTAACGGTGAATAAATTTTCATAATCGGCCCAGTAGTTTTGAGTTATCTGAATACAAAAATACTTTCTTCTTTGTAATATTAGTATAGATAATAACATTTATATTGAAAATGAATCAATAAAGTGTGGTCGTATTTTTGTAATTCTGGTATATGTAAAATTAAAACTACAAAATTACCACTTCAATCATCAGCCGCCGAAGCACAGAACGGTTTAAAGTGTAAATAAACTGGCCGTACATGTTCAGTTAAAAATAAACACGGTTTATGTCAAATAAATACGCGGCGCGGCACTGAGGGAGCTTAAATTGTCGGTAATTTATAATTGTACAGAGTAATTGTGGCTCAGTTACATACAATTTCGATCATTTTATCGGCACATTTATTAGCGACAAAATGCATCTAAACTCCAAATCAGATTAATGTCAGTAAAGAAACATTAAATATGTCAGTTAAGTGTTAAAAAAAAAATTATATCATAGAACCCTTTCACGTAGAGATAGATGACAAGTATTATAAATAAGCGTCTTCGTATGTCCTCAAGAACAAGAAAAGCGTAGCCAACATGTGGTAATCATTACACACTGTAGCATCATAGACCACAGAGCTACGAAATACTAGACGCGGCCAAGGTGAAATAATCCACTCGAATAAATTAAAATTAATGAGATTAAAAGAGCCTGCGGCAAGTCGCTTCGGACCCGCTCTAACTGAATTTTAAATTACTCTCCCACCTCTTGTGAAGTGCATAATGCCATTAAAATTGAAATTATAAACTTTATGACTTTGCTTTCGAATTTGTTGAAGTAACGGTAGATTTCAACACAAGTAATAAAATAAGTATTCATACAGAAGACTAGAGAGAATACAGCACCACTACCATCATATTTAATATTCTATGAATAACAGTTTTCTAAATCCTAAACAATATCAAGAATATTGCTATTGTAAATTAAATATTCAACGTCGCCAACCACGAGATCGCTCGTTCGTTTACCTCAAAATTGATATAATTAACATTTCTCCCTTCCTTACCCCCTCTCCCCCCCACAACTACCAGCTTATCATATTGTGAGCTCGAAACTTGGCGAACTTTCATTAAGAAGTGCAAATTAAATTCGCCTTCGAAGCGATTTTTAAGCGCGTCGTCTTTCCTAATTAAAAACCAATTAATTGGTAAAGTTCCGAGAGTGGAGCAGTGACGAAACACTTTCAGTTCTTGAGGGGAGGGAAGCCAGAATGATATCGGAAATGTGACTTACGATACGAAAACTTCTAAATTAAACTGAGATTTTAGTCTAAAATCCAATGTTTACTTCATAAACTATACTTTTATAAATGACAACATAAAATTTTGGTCAAATGATACGTTAGGTCTTCTGTGGTAGTTTTAAGTGATGTGTAAATTAAATCTATTTTAAAAACGAATGCAAATATTCCTACACAGGTGAGGTATAATCGTTAAAGTTTAAGGCGGCCGTGGTTACGTAGTTCCGGCCAGGAATCCGGACAAAGCCCCAACCCTCGGGAGACGGTCCGGAGTCCGTACCTTATATTATTGTGCGGATAATGCTCCTTACTTCCGGGAAGTGGCGGCTGAATCTAATAACAATTTATACGGACATCGAATAATATAACGTATAAATAATGGATACAACTTTACACGCATGTGTGCGTCTTTTGAGGTATGGCGCAAGTAATAAGCGACTTAGGTCACAAAAATTTCCATCTTGCACTAAAGTATGAACATGACTTCTCCGCTTCAGCATATTACTTGCCCTAGCGTCAAGACCGCAGAATAGATCCCAGTGACTTCGCATTCGGATCAAATAAAGTTGGGCGATGGCTGAGAATCACGGACACTTTATTAACTTTGTGTGTTTCGGTCGCATCGGCCGCGTTGGTGGCGAACGTGTTCCCTGATTCTTGTATTCGTGACCCCGGCGGCCGACATAATTGTGTTTATGTTTTCACTACAACTTGACATATTATTGAAAACTATTGTAATACATGTTGGTATCATTTATACATTTGTCAGTTATCTAATTGATAAGTGTAAATTATTCAGGAAATCTTGAAATAAAAAATAGTTACATTTTAGTTTATCTTGAAGTAGTTGCATTTTTTAAGCCAAGGTAAAACTACTGTCGTTTTACCCTACAAATATTAAAACAAATCTTAGTGGTTAATATGAAATTTAATTTCATCAATTCTTCATATTGTGTGAATAATAAATCACTAATAAACACTTACCGTGCATTTTATCATTGAGCAGAGCGTATCTAGGGTTGGACGCCACATCCAGGGGTAATGAGTTCCAGAGCCACCTGACCCTGGGCGGCGGGATGCCACTCGCCTGGCACGGAAGAGTTGCGGTGTGACCCACTTCTACTACCATTGTCGACGGAGGCTGGACGATGGTCGGGAAACCGGGTGGTACTTTGTCAGCTGCAAGAAGAAAACTAATGTTAAAAACTACATAATTTATTAAAAATGTATTCTTTATCAATGTAGGAGAGGCTAGACTGCGAAACAGTAGTCCACGGTCTCTGTCTACCCCTCATGATTCTGGGTGTGAGTTGCTACAAAAAGATGGGGCTTGAATAAAAGTAATATTTACATATTACAGTAAATATCTCATAAACAAAAATCGGCAAAAATATGAGCTCGTTTCCTCCAAATATACTAGAGGTCAGAAGTGGGGAGGGACGAGCGTTGACCCTTTTGGATGAACAATCCCTGGGGTTCGATAAAAGTATCTCTCAGAAATAAATACGCAATTACAAATATCATTCAAGCGTAAAAAGTGAAATTTATTTATTCTTAAAAAAATACGCTGAAAGTGGACTTTGAAGATAAAATTTTGGAAATCAGGCTGTTTTTGTGATGTTGATGTAGTTCGTATGAGACTTTCAATCGTTTTTTGTGATGTAGGTACCTGCATTCTGGGCGGGTTATACGACGCAATTGTATGCATTGACTTTAGTCGGATTATACATCTCGAACCTAACGCCCGTCTTTTATTTCGTACACCACATTTTTATTTTCATTATTAGGTTACAGTTTCCAAATGAAACTGGAATACAAAGCTTGAATCTAGTTCAATAAAGATCAGATGGGGCGTCCTTCATCTGATCTCTCTGACCTCTAACATTCCTTAAAAAATCTCCGTCCAAAAAATGGATTTAGGGTCCTAAATTATCCTTATATCGGACCATTTCATTAGGATTATTTTCATCACGTTCAGTTTGATACGTTTTAAACAATTTTACGCGTATATCAACAGGAACATAAGGTAAGTTTTGTCATACGCATCATAACATTTAATAAAGTTAGCATTTTATGTAACAATATAGAAGGCCTAATCGACGATCACATTTTCAATATTGCTTCATTGTCCTTTCAATATTTTAAAACAATGTAAATGTAAAAGATACAAATCAGGGTGTCAATGGAAGTAAAGAGTTTCTTTTGAAATTAGCAATAAAAGAAAAAGGGACAATGAATTTTCGTACTGGAATAAAATAAGGTTTTTATACATCACCGTGGCGCAGTAAATTGAACAAAGAAACGTTTTAAAGCGGCGTGCACAAAGGCCGATGATTTTTTTCATGCAGATTTCTTGGAGCTATCCTTTTAAAAAGGTCGACAAAGGTTGGGCAAACAATCTAAATAAGGTCGCTTGTTACTTCATAAATTTTAAGCGCTTTATGCGATTTTCGAGCGAACAATTTCAAATGCTAAATCATTTTTAGAAAATACAGAAGTACAAGAAATAAATACAGCATCGTGATTGTTTTGTAGAGTTTAAATTATTCAGAACTTTTATTTACCGTACGGAAATTGCGAATAACAAACTCCGTGTTTGAACCTTCAAAGAAAACCTCTAAAAATAAACGGTACAAGAAACAATCCGTAAAAAATCATTCGTATAGACAGTTCCGAGAAGAGAACAGAGAGAGAGAGAGAGAGTATTAACTCATTCAAAGTAATAACTTCACGGACGATTCGTAATCGCGTTGTAAACTCAGTTAATTCCGTATCTCGGGTCTATTTGAAGAGCCGTTGAAGTTCCTTATTCGCGGAATTAACGCGAGCGAGTCCCGCGAGCGACGAACCGAATTACTCGACCGAACTTTACAGAGCAATCCGCCAACCGAACCTTGGATTAGCGGGGCCCAAAACGAAATTCGAAATATTCAAGAAATAATGTCAGTCTTGTTGGTTAATCAAATCTCGTTCACTCGGAAGTTCGGGCCTCGGGATGGAAAGATTTCATTTTGCGAATTAACATTTCACTACTATAACCCGGTATTTTATAATTTCTCGAAACACGTCATATTTCCTCGTGTAAAAGTTGCGCAGACTTACTCTAAAGCTTTATAAATACTTTAACAGCAAGTTCAGTTAGTTTCAATGAAGTTAAAATTATTATGAAGGCGTCCTAACTTTATTTAACACCATTTAGTGTTTACAAGTGTTGAACATATTAACACTTTGCATAGCAGGCATAGTAAATCTTTATACATATAATAAAATTGAAATGTCTGTTTGTACTAACAAAAGAAAATTTCCAGATTTCGGGAAGATGATGTATTTGCGTTGCCGATGACGAAAATTGCGTTTAATTTTTTTTTTGTCTGTATGTCTGCAAACCGCGTTTGTTCCGTGTAATCTCCGAAACAGCTGGGCCGATTTCGAAGGGTAGCTGACATATGCAGGCATAGGCTACTTTTTTATCTTAATATTGCGTGGACGAAGTCGCGGGCAACAGCTAGTTGGAATATATTTATAGACCATTCTCGAACAACAGGATATCTTTTAGCTGCAAGTAAACGAAAACACTGTTCTTGCCAATATTCATAGAAAAACATCTTAATATTATTACTCTCATTCCCGAAAATTCTAAATTATACAAATTTCCCTAATAATCTCGAGGCCAAGTCCTTAAAAGTGTTGTATGGATTTCGTGTAACGTATACTTTAATTGGGCCGAAAGCGGCGCGCGGGCGGGGTTCCCCGAAACCAAACAGGTTTCTTTGAAATGGCTCCCTAATGATCCCACATTGAGGTATTTCGTACTCGCTTATATGATTATCGTTATACAAAACTCGTAAAGTTTCGAAGGACTGCTTCTACCGGTAGTCAGAAATTAATCAAGGATAAAATCTGATATACTTTTACACGGCCAATGCGTGGGTTATACTTCCGCACGCAATATTAAAACCTCCATTTATATATGAAGCATTTAAATTTCGTTTACGTCGGAGTTATCTTTGATTAAATAATAAAACAAATTGAAAATAAATTTTTACAAGATGACACAAAATTAGTATTATAAGTAATAAATTAGTAAAAATCGTCTGAGACAGGGGAATTGAAAAAACCAACAATTAAATAAATATAACAATGTCAAATGTCTATTATGTCAAATTATCAAAAGTGAATACGATATAGCCTCTATCGGAATAAGTACACATAGGTTCTTGGATGACGTCAAATTTCGAAATAAACGACGGTCATTAGCCATAAAATGAAGTGGGTCGACAACCGACGAGAAATACTACTGCTTATTTCTAACAATTATTAAGTACGCTTTATATTCCAATTAAAATGAAGGAATTAAGACTTGTCATAAACAGCGATAACGGGATTATATTATTAGTAATGTTGCTAAATATTTAAAACTTATAGACGCGGAAATCGCACCAAAGGTAAGCGTACATCGTCTTTGATTACCACACCAAATATAGGCTAAAGGATTGCGATCCGTGCGCCAATGAATAAAGGACCTCTTTGACATTAAGACGGGTCCAATAATCCTTTACTGAGAATCCCCGTTACGGACACGGGGTCCGCTCCGCCAACTTGTGAGACGACAGGGACTACTCGTTAATGTATTCGGATAAGACCGGATTAAGAATATGAATAATTTTAGCTGTCACTATTGTCACAAACATGTAGACGTTTTGACAGCTGTCAAAAGTACAATCTATGTTTTTATTTGGATTTTAGCAAGCTACTTTTATATGATCCAAAAGGGACAACTATAATTCGACTTAGAACGATGAATATAATCTTGTCGTATAAGATTAAAACAATTTTTGTAGTACAATGTATAAATAATACTGAAACTTCTATGATAAAGTACGTTAACTCCAAAAATCTAGAAATAAGATAATTCATCGTTAATTTATTCATAATCATTTTGACGTTTGATTGTTGGTCCTAGAAGAAAATTAAACTAAATTTCCAATAGTCAATAACATGGGAACCTTGTGTAGTAACACAAGTATAGGAGTATACATTGTGTACATACGTACTGCCCGTTGCCTTTTATAAAATCAATTGTCAAAGTGGACGAAATCAGCTTATCCCTGCGTTAAGATCCCTCTTGATAAAGACGTCCATCCGAAGGAAATCGCTTTCGAATGTGCCTTCGATGCTTTCCGACTTCTCGTAATTGCGTTTTCCCCCATTCCTCGAAACATAACATCGTTACCGTTCATCTTATAACAATGTTTTTTGATCCTTAATTAATTTAGGCATATCAAAATTACCGATTACAGTTTTCTAGAAACTTACTTCGTATCAAAAGGTATATTAACAAACCAATACTTCACATAACATAAATGAGCTTGTAAAAATAATCAGAATCATAGCTGAACTCAATCGTAAAATATTAAATTTATGAATTCCAACAGCCAGAAGTAATATTTGATTATTTAAAAAACCCTCGAAAACATTTCCATACTCGCTTGACTCTACTTAGAAGTAAAACGGGGAATGAAATTCGTGAATTTCACATTCATAAAACGGGACGTACAAACGTATCTCCGCTAACGGAATAAAAATTAAAAAACACACAGGAGCGGATGAAGGAAAATACATAAAGTTTATTGCCTCTTTTTAGGCCCAGAAAATAAGCAACGAAATGAGATGAAAATGTTTAATGTTTAAAAGTAAACCGCAATATATCTCGCGTTGTTTTACAGACCGCTGCGCGCGCCCTTTTCAGGCGTTTAATAACACTTTTTAGCTCTGTATTAAAATTAGCTTGTTTATTGACTAAAACATAACGGTTCAATATATCTACATTAGCTATTGCTCGCGACTTTGCCCGCGTGTAATTAAAATACAATTAAAAATGTACCCTATGTTACTTACAGATAAATTACCTTTCTAATGGTGAAAGAATTTTTGAAATCGGCCGAGTAGTTTTTAAGTGAATCGAATACATACAAAATTAAATTGTTTAAACTATCGTAAGACATTACTTCAAGCGAAAATTAATTAAAAACGGCTCAACTCACGCTTTTTTTTTTTCTCCGGTGACGGCACCGACTAGTTTCGGATCCTTCGGGGATCTTTCTTCAGGGCGAGTATTATTTAACTTTTGTTCGCGGTCGCGTCGCGCCTCGCACTGCGGGCCAGGGCGCGGAGGGCGC